GATTGCTGCCAATCAGCCCAGGACGACGTGCCCTTTGGTACTTCGCTGGTTTTGACAGCAGAGGAAGATTGCTGCCAATCAGCCCAGCTGGAGGCTTGGGTTGACTTTCCTTCTTCAGGCTTGGAAGAAGACGGGACTACCTCTTTGCTGGATGTTACAACGACGACGGTTGACTTTTCGGCCGGGGCACTGGAAGCCCAGTCGTTCCATGTCTGAGAAGATGCTTGTGTAGTCGAAGCTTTTTCAGCCGATTGAGTAATGGCCATAGAGGACTTGTCACCCTCTTGACCTCTGGGCAACACTGCGCTGAGAGCAGGTGCGAGCAAGGAGAAAAGAACGATTGACTTCGCCATAATGGACGAGATATTTCAACGAATGTCGGAAGGAAACAAGGGAAATATAAAAAAGGGAAATAGGATGTGTGGACAGCACACGAGATTTATGGTGAAGGTTTTCTGAGATATAATGATATCAACTCGCAACTGGGGAGGGTGTTGCATTTACTTATACATCCGTCTTACCTTCGCAGTCGTCATAACTTCAGCCACAATTAGCGATCCCTCAACACTCCGGATGAACACCCAGTCTTGGTGAGACCATGTGGGTAACTGGTGGAGAGTGAGATTTGTGTACTGCCCAGCAAAGGGCGACGAGGTCCAGGTACGGTCAGCCGTTTGGTATATCGGGAACATTTATGCAAGCCCGAATGCTGAGGATGCTGATCAATACGAAGGGTGGAGGGGTCAAAGCCAAGCAACAAGCGTCGTTCGCATAAGACCGCATGGATCGTGATCTGTGTCCGGTAGGCTGGTGGCCAACACTGCCGAAACACGTGAATCTGAGCCACGCCTGTCCCCACAGTATCAATTGCTTAAAATATGTATGTCTTAGTGATCGTGGAGCGGAGCAAGAGACATGCCAATTGAATACGCAATGGAATGCACAGCGGTCGTCATAGTGGACATCTTCCGACATATACTGTAGAAATAATCTTGACCTGACGTCAATCCGGATTTGTTGTTAGCTTATAAGAAGTGTAGATTATATACTGCGCAGCATACCGTGGAAGTCTAAATAGACCTTTGATGGGTATACATCCACATGTCTCAGACACGTATGCACTGTATGCTGTGATGTAGACTTCGTACGTCTTCACTTAAGAGCAGAGACCTGAACCTCTTTCTCGGCAACGAGGTGTCGGTCTTTCGGTTCCGGAAATATCAGCCATCTGTACCAAGGCCCCCAAAGTGTTCGGCTGAGGAGGTTCAAAAGAATGCTCGAGGGGCGTAGAATACAATGTCCTGGAATCTTTGTGGCCAAGGTTAGAGGATGGAGATAATCGAGTTGGGGCTATGGCTGACACCGACACTGGCGACGGTTAATAAGTGGCGACTCAGCCCGAGGAAATAGAAACTCCAAGGTTGTTATGATGTCGGCGTTCGGAGACCGTTGGGAGCTCAACAAGTACGAGCACTCGTCAAGTTGCGTGGCTGTGACCCAAGCTGACATGCAGAACGAGGCAATGATGTGCAGAAAGTGGATGGGGTTGGCCGTCACGTGTATGCCAAGAACCACAGGTCCTTGTACCTTAACACTCCACCGTAGCAGCAAGCATCCTTGCCATAGTTCAGTCACGTGCTCAGCATCCATGCTGCGAATCTCTCAGCGTCAAGTCTTTCGGGTTCAACCATGATCTTCGTTTCTATTTTTATTGTTCGCAAGTTAGAATGATACGCGACAAGAAGGCAAATCATGTGTATCTCTATCCCCTTTTCACGCCCTGTCAGACTTCGGAACTTTTTCAAGGACCCTAATCGCTGTTCTGCTGATCATGGGTTGCACGTGACCAGGACTTTCCTGTTACTTTCAAGTGGTCCATGTTAACAGACTAACTACGCAGCATTGCCGACATCTAGCAGTGAAATGATGTCGGAAGTTCCAAACTTCCCGAGTTCTTCATGTGCCGCCATGGGCTGTTGTAAAAACCACATGTCCTTCGCAGATGGGAAAGGCCAAAGTGGGTGTACGATTAATTATCTTGTTACCTTAACTGCGAAAGCTGCAGACGCCACCAACAACACATTTTTGCCCCTGCAGTAAGCGCCCTGCAGCTTGAATACTCAAGCCTGTGCAATAGATGTGGCTGCGACTGCAGCCTTGTGCTGCATCAATATGTATCCCCCTGATGAACGTTTTCCTGAAGTCAAGCATTAACTCGTCCCTTGCGTGCACTCATCTTGCGCATGGCGTTCTCTATTGAGCTCTACTGAGCAGGTAGTCGAGTAAATCCTCTCCCAAATCCACTGGCAGTTCCTGGCAATGAGAATTCGTTTCGCTAATCGAAGGCTTCAACCAGGATCGTGACGGTCCAACCGCACAGCGATGCCATCAACAACTACGATAACCTCTGTTCGCAAGCAACGAAGTCATGCAGACTACACAGTTGCCTGTATCTGCCCAATGGGCATCGAAATGGCCGCTGTAGAAGGTATGCTCGAAGAGATCCACGATACACTTCCACCAAGCCACGGCCAGAATGCCTACACTTTCGGTCGGCTCGCTGGACACAATGTCGTTGTGGCCGCCATGCCACAAATTGGAAACAATGCAGCTGCATCTGTGGCGACGCAGCTGCTGAACGACTTTGGTTCCATCCGCTTTGGTTTGTTGGTAGGCATTGGAGGAGGGATACCGGGGAAAAAGGGAGAACACGATATTCGCCTGGGTGACGTTGTGGTAAGCCAGGCATCAGGGACCTTTGGTGGTGTAGTTCAATACGACATGGGGAAGGTGACAGCCAAGGGTAGATTTGAGCGAGGAGGAGTCCTGTGTAAGCCACCCTCGGTACTCAGTGCCAATGTCGAGCGTTTGAAGTCGAAGCATCACAGACTGGGCAATCGCTTAACAAAGTCGCTCAATGAGATGCTAGCGAAGTATCCGAGGATGGTTGCAGAGTATAGCTACCCCGGCGACAAACACGATCGGCTCTTTAAATCAAGTTATCGTCATACTGGAGGCTCGTCATGCCAAAATTGCGACTTGTCACGGCTAGTACTTCGCACCATAAGGTCAAGCCCGGATGTGCACTACGGGACAATCGCTTCGGGGAACACGGTAATCAAAGACAGTTCAACTCGTGACCGTCTTCAGCGAGACTTGAGTGCCATCTGTGTGGATATGGAGGCGGCTGGGGTCATGGACACGACGCTTCCATGCCTAGTGATCCGGGGAATCTGTGATTATGCAGATTCACACAAGAGTAGTCGATGGCAACCATATGCAGCTGCAATTGCCGCAGCGTATGCTAAAGAATTGTTAACGATGATTCCAGTGGGAGATGTCCAGAAGGCAAGACCGGTTCCGATCAGCGACCCGATTGAACCTTCGGGCAATTCGATGTATGAAGTGAACCAAGTCATGGCAGATGCTCTACAACATAATGCTGATCAGACACAGGAGCATTTCTGATTTAGCACTTCAGCTACCCCTGTTTCTCTCGGACTTCGCGAAGGTCATGAAATGCATTGAAGACGTCCAGAAGGATTTTGTTATGCCTCCGACGATTATGGCTTCTGTGGCGGCCCAATGTCAAGGGATTCAAGCTGCAATAATTCGACTTCAGCGACTTGACATCGAAAGAATCGTGGCTTTCAAAAGCCAGCATGATCGGATCATGCATGTAATGGAAGGTGTCATTGTCGGCTGCAAAGGCACTCTTGCTTTGATCGAGGAATACATTCTTGATTTTCGAACAACAACAGAGAGGGAGGCCTCCAACCAGATGGAGGTCGACGCGAAGCTCGAGTCTGTTTGGAACGGCAATGATATCCAAGAGCTGCTTTCTCAACTTAATGGCTATCAAGCTGGTCTGACAAATTTGTTGGTCATCTCAGAGAGGTAGGTCAAGCCTATTTCGATCTCCATACTAAAATTCACCCTGTAATCACAGCAATTCTATTCATGAAATACGCTCGCTGCTGGTCAATCAAAAACTTGCACTAGACGACTTGGTTGAGCGGTCTCGGAAATCTTGGAACAAGAAACCAGCCTCGACCCTTACACGATCTGGCTCCCTTAGATTTAGTATCATCGCTTCCAGCGATGCATTCTCAACTACTGCCATCCACACGGACCTTGAACGAGATGAGACCATTGAGCCGCCATTTGCCCTCGATCATATAATTTGCAGCTCAAGGGCCTACAGACGATACATGTTTCGCAACCCCAAATTCGGCAGCAGTGCTCAAATCCAGGACGACATGCTGCTGACATCGAATGACCTATCCATGCACCCTAGTCAACAGGAATCAATAACCGCTCATTCCGAAAACACAGCATGCTCCCCTTTCTCGCGTAGTAATGAGTCCAATGACAACATTGCTCCATTCAAGCAATTGAACATTTTTAACGGCCAGAACGAGGCGACCGAGGCCCAGTCAACAGTTCCAGCTGTCATTCAGACTTCACGGAGAACAACCCCAAATTTCTCTCGACGAGAATTGGTGTCAAGGAAGTCAGTACTTGTACTACATCCGTCTGAAGGAGCTCCTTCCCCACAAGCTGTACAAGCACCAGAGATGTCAGAACCGAGCTTGGTGACACGACCGTCTGCCGCGCACGTCGATGCTGAAATTCACGGCGACACGACTCTCAATACAGCGCCTGCCATGCCACCACCTCTGAAGCAGTTTTACAAAATCATCCTTCTTGGTGCGGGTGCAGTGGGAAAATCTCCACTGGCAATGCAGGTAGGTGCTGTATACCCTAGTACGCTCCCAGCTGACTTTATCATTATAATAGTTCGCTTCTCCGCTCTTCGAACTCTTTTGTGCGGGAGAGGAGTTTGACCCAACCATTGAAGACTATCACAGGGCCGAATGCAGCGTGGATGGTAAGCCTGTCGTACTAGAAATCGTTGATCACTCAGGTCAGATGGAGTACTCAGGCCTGTGGGAAGATCACATCCGTGCTTGCGATTGTATCATGCTCGTTTACAGCATTGCCTCGCGCAGGTCATATCAGGAAGTCTTATATTTCATCGAAGAGGTCTCGAGACTTACGGCAGGCGAACGGCTTCCCATCGTTTTGGTGGGAAACAAGTGCGATCTGCGTGATCTGCGAGAGGTTTCTAGACTGGAAGGCCAGGAGCTTGCTGATAACATCATGTGTCCATTCTTTGAGACATCTGTAAAGTCGAATGTCAATGTGAACGAGGCATTTCACGAAGCAGTTCGGGAAATCAGACGAAGCCGTGATGGGTATATTGACTGGATGATCAGCAGTTTCGCCAGGGTCACCACGCAGCTCCGTCAACATGAATCAATTTTTGGGTAATGACTAATGGTCAATTCTGACGCGATATTTCGAGCCACGGCTCTTGATAGCCTGATGCCCGCAATGGAGTTGATCACACACGATTAGAGCAACGGTGAGCGACCTAACAATAAGAGATGCAAGAGCTTCCACATCAAGTGGCGAAAGGATAGAATGGACATTTTGTATGTACTATAAAAGATGCCCTCGAGTGCAATGTTTCAGCTTCCAGCTATAGGAGTAATGATGGGCTCGCGTCGCCCCTAGGCGTGATCAAAGGATAACATGACCTTTCGCACAAGTGTAGGTGACTGACCATTTGTGGGCGGGTGGCTTGGCATGACTGACTCGCGGAATTAAGAAGTGGGACGGTCGCGAGGTGCGGTGCAGGGATACCATCCAGATTTCTCGATGACGATCGTACCAAATAAGCAAGAGACAAGTGCACAGCTCTAGAGCTGTAGGTCCTCTCGATGTGACATGTAGCTGGTCAACTTAACTTCCCTCCATTCACTGCCATCACCATTCTTCACAGCATCCAACCCCCCAACGTTTCGTCTTGCGAGAACCCCGCGATGCCAGAGCAACTGACAGACCTCCCTTGGTTTATGTATGAGACGGCCGACGAATTACTGAATCAAGATTTGGACGATCTGCCTTGGTTCATGCGTGCAGAGGTTGATCAAGTGTTCCAATCTCCTGTAGCAGAACTCCTCGGAGGGCGAGAAAACGACATTGACGTGTTGGCGGAGAAGGGGCGCCGGCAGTCGGCTACTTTGCCAAAGCAAAAGAATTGAGATCATATTGGCCTGCAAGCTACGGTTCCTTGAGTATGGAAAGAGATCCAAAACAAGGCCCTGCCAAAAGACAGGCCACCGCAGAAGATGCCGCACCGAGTGCGAGGTTCCTGCAAGGTGGGTTTGCCATTGAAGGTTTCTATAGTCTGCGAAAATCCCAACTCTCTGACCGATGAAATATAGCACGCATAACTGCCCTCTCTACGACCATGATCAAGAGGCTTGAGAATATCTTTGCTGTTGCTCTGGGTACAGAAGGCAACGCAGACCCTGCCCTTCCACCCTCACTTACCGACACATCTGTGCAGCAGTTTCAGCTCGAGGTCGAATCGAACGCCATGATTCGTGCTGCAGAGGAGATCATGATGCTTACAAGAACTATGAAAGAGATCTGGCTATTTGGCGGCTTGGATACTTTAGCGGCAGATCACAAGAGTGACAAAGATCCCGAGGACGAAGCGAAAAGGAGGAAGCTTGAGCACGATGTGGAGATAGTCGAGGCAGGCTTCAACAAGTTTTTGGAACGGTATGGGGGTACAAGACTTGTGGCAAAGGAGGAGCCGTAGTTTGTAGGCAGCAGTACGTGTACTCGAGGTGTGTTTTCCCCATACGCACATGCAAGGCTTAGAGAGATTCGGGCAAAGTTTACGCCATTGGACGGCTGATGCCTGAGGGCTAGAAGGAGGGCATCATAATTAATTCATACATACAACAGGCGCTTGAGCCATCGGGTCAAGCTTCCAGTTCTGATGGCTGTCATCCGCGTCTAAGTCTCGCTCCAGTGCACTGTTGTCGAGGGGGGGAAGATGAGAGGATCCATAATGGCAAGGACAAAGAAATAGTCTCAACCGTTTCGGTGGTCTAGACTCACGCAGGTCCAACCTGCGTGAAATTAGCAACACATACGAGTAACTTTCAGCTGTCGAAAAAGACTATTTAGAATCAGGTGATAGGGGGCAGTCTCTGATACATACAGTAGCAGTAGTGATAAAGATCGGCCACGCTGACAGTCGTCCTTGTTTCAAATTTGGGAGATTGACTATTGTTGTTCCGAGGCCGAGTACAAGTCCCCCAGCGGAATGAGAAGAAGAAAATCAGGTCGCATCGCGCTTATCTCAACCACGAGCCAAAACTCAATAATTGACTGGTACAGGTACTATCTACTTGAGCTCTCTCTTTAATACATTGTGCGCGACATTCTCGACATCAAGCGAGTGCGCAAACTTGAAGGAACGCGTCTCTATTTTTCGATTGCTCCTTCCCACTGTTTGGAGTTCGCGCTTACCCACTGTATCGATAGTAACAGCACCACTTGGCCACGCGGCGCGTTCCCACTCCAACTCGACGTCTTCAACATTTACTGAGCAGTGCGAGGCTGCTCGAACCAAAGTGACAGACAACGCAACGACCATGTCGAGCCACATCGCCCCTCCTCCAGAAACCTCGTTATCAGACCCACCGTCACCAACTGAATTACCAGAATACACCACCAACAGGCGGCCGTCAAATAATCCATTTAACTACCCGCCAGCCTCTCACGACGACAGTGACGACGAAAAACGCAGTGCGACGCCAATGAATCCATCGACATCGTCAATTATCAAAACGACCATGACTACCATCGTGCCCATCACATTTCATCCAAAGCCCATCTATGTGATCGTCGCGACGGCACTGAAGCCTCCCATGGGCATCGGTAACCGAGGCACCCTTCCGTGGTCGGCAATCAAAGGCGATATGGCTTTCTTCAGGAAATTGACAACAAAGGTCCCGGAGTCAGCCTCTCCTGGCGCTTTAAACGCGTTGATCATGGGGAGGAAAACGTGGGAAAGTATTCCCTCGAAATTTCGTCCCTTAGCCGGACGTTTGAACGTCGTCATCACCCGAGGGAAGGTAAAGGAGCTTGGGAGACGCATTCTGGAGGAGATTCAGGGACGTTCGGAGTCGTGGGAGGCACAGGACCTTCTTCTTTCCACTGCCGCCACGCCATCAAAAGCTGCAGAAAACATCGAAACTCCAAATGCTACGGTCTCAACAACGGTGCTGCTGACTCCTTCTTCCACTCCTGCATCCTCGGCAATCTTGATATCATCATCTCTACCGAGGACGCTCTCACTTTTGTCATCTTTGGACCCACTTCCAAACACCACCATAATTCCACACAAGGTCTTTTGCATCGGTGGAGCAAACCTCTACAGCCAAATCCTCGCGCTGCCACATGGATCACACATCAAAGATGATGGCGAGGATTTGTCACCCACCACAACCAGAGAACCACAGCAAACCCCTGAGGACGACACCGACCCTGAATCCATAGCATTCGACATTCGAATTTTGCAAACTCAGGTCCACAAGCTGAATGGGGAGGCATTCGAATGCGACACGTTCTTCCCAGAGGAGATAAGTTTCTCTACCGCCATGTCGCCTTGGCGCGCGGTTTCGCAAACGACTCTAGAGAGTTGGGCTGACGGAGTCAACATCCCTGGCTCGTCAGTGGTCTCTGCCTCCGAATCTGCCACAGATGCAGATGAAAGAGAGCCATCCGACGATGAGACCGATGGGTGGGTAAGAGACGGGAAAGCAGGCGTTGAGTACCGTGTTGTCGGGTGGGAAAGGAGATAAGGCAAACGGCCTTCTGCTCCAACAATATTCCCCGCCTCCCAATTCGAAATCCAATTACTCGGGGAATCATGATGGGGTCATTGGATAAGAAATGTTCATGCTAGCTTAGTGGGGACGCCCTCTCTGCAATCTCAAACCAAGAAAGCGAAATCTTCGAGAGGTTCCCTTCAAACTTGGGTTATCTAGACTTCTGGGTCTACCTCCCGCCCAAAGTACCGCTTGAATCACCTTCCTGCCTGAGCGCCCGACTCGAACCAGGATACACTTCATAGGCGTTACAGAACCATCTTTGCCAGCATCTAGGCAGGGAATGGGCAATCACTGAAAGAGACAACCCCCGTCCGTACCTTTCAGTTAAAATTGGCGGATGTTCAGATCTGAGCAGTCTTACAAATAAACTATCAGTTCTCTCACAAGACGATATATAAACACCGATTTCATGGGAAATAATGAAGAGGAGGCGAATCTCGAGGCGTCTCGTCCTTCACCATATAACAGACGGCTACGGCTCAGTCCCTCGCCATCTAGAGAGAAAGAAATATGGAGAGCACGCAACAGGAGTGACCGAACCGGGGCCACGTTTCTGGATGATTCTTTCTGTTTGTTTTTGGGTTTGGGGGGAAACGGGGAAAGAGGCTCAGTAGAAAAGGGAGCTTGGTTGATGCCGAGTCACCTCTATAGGCAGGCTCTCTGAATCCTTCAAATACGAACTCTGTTGTAGAGATACACAAACTATTCACGTTCCAATCTAACAGCGAGAACTCTTGCTCAAAGAGAGGGGCAGCCTTGGAGTCGCGGACGAGTTGTACCCGTTCTCCAATTCAATGAGTCGGAGTACAACCCACCGATCCAGGACTGGGAAGGCACTGAAGAAGGCAACATGTAACCTTAAAGGTTCGCCCAAGGCTTTTCCAAGAAAGAATGAAAGCCCTTGACGGAGGAATACTCTGAAGCTTGGTGATGCTGCTCGTAGCCGCAAGTTCGTCCATAGAGTTGCTTTATGCCCCTAACTAGAACACCAATTAAACTTGTCTACGAACAAAGCCGGTTTCAGGCTCAGGCTGGTCAAGTGGGTCGGCAACCAACATAAGACGAAATGTCTCCTCCAAGGAGCCCAAGCTGGCACCCGCCGGTAAGCCATACAAGCCAAGGCAGGCTCGCGTCGAGATGCTGGCTACCAAACTAGTAGTTATCCTCGTTGCCAGCATCTCGTCTCTTCTCAGCGCCGCGTTCCTGCAGCTTCTCGTTCTTGAAAAGACCGCCAGCCTTCTCAAGCAATTTTCCTGCAGTGGAATCTTTGTTGGACGAACTATTGTCGTTGTCATTGTCGTTGTAGCCGGATCCGGCCCCGTATCCCCCGCTTTCTTGAGCGCCTGTACGTCCTGAGCCGACACCCTGTGAGATCAAGAAGGTGTGGGTTAGTTGGATATGTTATGAGGAAGGGGACATTTTGGGTCTTGGTGGCGGGGGTTGAGACTTACGTATTCGTTGTCTCGGCCAGTGGCGGCACCGCCGGTTGCGCCTGATGACCCATAGGTATCGTCTTGGCCTATTGTGCGCATTAGTGAGAATGGTTCCCTGTCAGGCTTGATGGAATCAAACGAAGAAAGGGCCGTATTAATTGGCCCCATGAGAGGCCGAGGTCGTGAGCCCTTGGGGAGAGTGAGGACGACATACCCAGTCCACCTCCGGTTCGACCGCTCGAGTAGTCATCGTCACCACGGCTACCACCTAGAGCTCCTCCAGTTTGCCTCGAGCTTCCGTATGTATCGTCTTTGCCGAGGCCGCCGCTCGTCCCTTGGTCGTCGCCATAGCCGCCGCTGGTAGCACCTCCAGTCTGTCTGGAGCTGCCGTCTAAATATGACACGAGAGATGATGTCAGCCACGTTGAGGGGGCACCAAAAAAGGTCTCCATGGATCGAAGCAGTTGATCTTACAGGTATCATCTCTACCGAGACCTCCGCTGGTGCCTTGGTTGTCGTCACCATAGTCGCCGCCCGTAGCTCCACCAGTGCGGCCGGAACTGCCATCTGAAAACCACGCGGGAGAAGATGTCAGTCTTTTTGGGATTTCTTTTCACCGTTTTTTGCCCACAGATGGAGAAAGTGGACTTACAGGTATCGTCTTGGCCTAAGCCGCCACCAGTGCGGCGAGACGTCGTATTGTCATCATCGCCATAGCCACCACCTGTTGCACCTCCAGTGCGATCCGAGCTCCCGTCTGATGTTATATTGGACACCGATCAGCAACATGGCATGGAGCTTGAGGGAAGCAATGGAATGTCCTGGTGGAAAGTAAGGGCTGACTCACAGGTATCATCCCGACCTAGACCGCCTCCTGTAGCGCGTCCAGAAGAACCATAGGAGTCGTCACCACCACCAAGTCCACCAACTGTGCGGCCTGAAGAGCCATAGGAGTCATCGCCTAGGCCACTGCCGCCAGTCCGACCTGAGGAGCTGTAGGAATCATTACCGCGGCCGGAAGAGCCATAGGAATCATCGCCACCACCGAGTCCACCAGCTGTACGACCGGTGGAGCCGAAGGAGTCATCACCGCGGCCGGAAGAGCCATAAGAGTCGTCGCCTAGGCCGCCGGCGCCAGTCCGACCAGAGGACTATATTCAAACTCATGTCAGTACATGCGAGTCTTGTGCTGAGGTGGGAAGAGGGGAGTCTTACGCCGTAGCTATCATTGCCACCGCCCTGTCGTCCACTGGAGCCCTGTTTCTCGGTCAATTGGAAAGACCAGCTGAGCCGCACGCACTGCCAGGGCACGTTTGAGGGGAATATCATACGTAGCTGTTATCGTCGTTGTAAGACATGGCTTGCGGATTTGTCCAAAGGATTTCTGTCCTGGGATGAGAGTAGTACGGTTGAGGTCTTTCACCGAGGTGCTTCTGAGAATATCGAGCAAGGAGATTTTGACAGTGGAAAAGTCAGGCAATGTGGGAGAGAAGAAGGAATAAGCAGAATTTATGTCAACCAGCTAGCTCTCTCCGAGTGGCACATATTCTTGTAACAAACCTGCGGGAGGGGCAGCTTCCCCAGAAAGCACGAGTGTGCAAGCATGGCAAGGGACAGGCCCGTCACGTCACTGCCCATCGGCACAAGCACGCGAAATATCGCGATACGTCGGTTGAAACGCGCAAGGGGAGGCCACGGGCAGCGCTCAAACTCATCGTGAAGATGTCGTATGGTCTGGACAAAAGTGTCCAGGGACTATGTCATCGGTGACCGATGAGAAAGCAACACAACCAATAGCTTGTCCAAGGAACCCCGCGTGGATGCCTGGCAACGGCAAGGCACGCGAAAGCTTGATTTCAAGTTGTGCCATTGGGATGGAGAAGGGAGATGGCGAGAGAGGCCTCGTCATTGTTTCTCGTCTGGAGATGCACCTGTGACAGCTGGTGATGGATGCACGGATGGATACAGAACCTGCTGAGCGACGAGGAGTGGGGAAGGGAGAAGAACATCTCAGCTGGGATCGGTAACTGGATGGACATCGGGTTACACAGGGATCTAGTGATTGGAGGCGTGATTGCATCTTTGCCCCGGTTGGATTGAAATCTGTCTGGAGGCTAGACGTGTTGCTATGGAGAGCAGAGTTCAGCAAGGTGGTGAGCAAGATGTTGGCGCGAGGTGAGCTACTGCAAGTTACATAAGTCGATTTTTCCCGTTGTTGTGGCAGCACCGAACAATTGGTATTGGAAACTTGGGACTTGTGTTGCTTCGTAAACTGCGGAACTGCATGTCTTGAATTTTCTGAAAAGCCAGACCCCACAATTGTGACCTCGTCAAGCGCCACGAGTCCACGACTCATGGTTGCTATGCTCTGCCTCGTTTCACCAGGGCTATATTACAGCCATTATGGGCATATCCAGAGATCTGCACTTCCGGTCCCACCACTGGTGTCCCCAATGACGTGCGTCGGACTGTGCCACGCTTTTCGCCACCGTACCTGTGCAGCTGAGAGGGGAGAATATGTATGGCTGGATGCAAGATTCCAGCTGATGGGTTGAACACTTGACACGGCTTCCCCTGGTCCTGTCTACACAGCGTGTTGCTAAGTCGCATTATGGCCTCTTAGCGTCGTCGAGACCGAGTCGTGGCCAATAGTGCACAGTGGTCGACTCCAGTCCAGACTCGGCTTGATATAAGGCATTCTGGTTGAGATCGGTTCTGCCCGAGCAAACAAGAAGTGCCGAATCTTTCAGCTGTCCCGGTTTTCTCGTGCTGCATACCACAACCCGAACTTGACATTTTAGTGGTCACTGGCTGTGTTCGGTAGCGTGATGCTCTGGTATGGCGACAATTGCCATGGAACAGCAGGCCGATCGCTGTGCCTGAATTTTGCTTCTGGTTAACCATGAGCTAACTGAATCATACTGCCTTGCTGCTCGTGCTGCCTCGGAAGATTGGATGCCTCCCTCATTAGTGAGTGTAACGGAGGCAACCGCCGACATCACCGAACGTATTTTGACTGCAGAAAAGTGAGTATGACCTCAAACACATAGTATTTGATCTCGCCTTACCATGAACTTTTTGTGGAAGTCCGACCTCAGAAGATCCTGTCCCCGTGTCAGTCTCAGGCTGCAAGCAAGCAAAAAAGAATCTTGCAATCTTACGTTGACAAATTCCTTGTTGCCCTTTTGTTCGGTCCCTCTGGCTTGATTTTTGAAGACCACATCATCGTCCCACCTCCGCTTCACATTGAATGCTTTGGGATTGAGCAACGGGTTGCCAAGTGCAATATCTTCTTCTCGTCGATCTTGCGCTTTTTTCGATTGCTCAGCCTCTTCTCTCGCTTTCTGCTCTGCTCGTTCCCGCTTGATCTTTTCAAGCTCGCGCATAAGTTCGGCCGTCTCATCCTCTTCGTCACTTTCTTCTTCACTGCTTCCTGAGTCATCGTCGTCTTCAGAATCCGCATCGATCTCCCGAGTTTCTTCCAATACTCTTCTTCGTTTCGCATCAGGATCTTCGTTTTCATCGTCACTTAATGATTCCTCGAGTTCTCGTTTCGCTGGTTTCGGAGGATTTGTGGCGGGGTCGGTGGGCGCGCCTTGTGTCTTTGCAAAGTGCGCAGCTTCAGCTGCAAGTAATTCGGCTCGTAGATCACGCGGCTCTGCATCTGCTGCTCCTCCCTGGCCGGGTTGTCTGGTCGCAGTTAGGCAACCTCCAATGATCGGAATGTGGATGTGGTACCCACCGAACTTTGAGTAGAGTGTATGCCGGGAGAAGCCTTTGGTGATATGCGACTCCTCGCTGAGCTTCTTTACCTCGCGCAGGGTCAAAGGTCGGTCTGTGAGCTATAAAGCGGTCAGCTCGTGCAAATATTTGGATCTGTGAGCTGTTGTACCTGTAGTCATGGCGAGGAATCAAGGAAGGAGGGTGCGGCGTCAATCTAGTACAGGCTAAAGGCTTTGAGACCTGAAGGAATATGGCTACACAAGCTGTACAGGTAGCGCTTGAGTGCTGGTTAAGAAAATTGTCTGGTCGAGTGCTCGCTTGCCACCTTCTATTGAGTCGCCATGAGGTGCATTTCAAGTATTTATGCCCCACAGTAAATAATACGGCGCAGGTCAAATGCCGCTGCTTGCCAATAGCTTGGCGCTTTTCCTGTCCCCGACGAGGCTGCTTTTACAAGGCTGAGATCAGCAGACTTACTAGCACATAGATCTCCCCCTTGGAACTAAGATCCCATTTCAAATTATGTACGTAATGCACCAGCTTTTGGAAATTCGATAAGACCTTTCATGAAATATATCTGCGATGTTGTTGGTTGAGCAAGGTTTTGGGTTCAGCATGACCTGACAAGCCCAGGCTGGGCGTCTGCAAGAGTGACTAAGCAACGCATGAATGAGATTACTCGTACATACACAATATTCGATCTTGCATTTCATTTGCCCTGAGGAAGCGGTACCAATTACTTCAGATGGTTAAGCGAAAAGCTTGGAAGGGCTTTGTCATGAATGTCGACTTGGTATGTTCCTCAACACGTACGTCGTAGAGGGGACGGCCCCTCCATCGCTACCAGGTAGTCAGCATGCTGTCCCCCGTCACAGTCGTAAAATCCAGGGATTTTCGTATCAAGTTTTCTTCTTCACATGCCGTCAACCATCTCCTGAGCTCTACCCACTTATTGTTCGTAGCATAAACGCTGCTAGCTCGTGTTACTCACCAAGAATGCATCGAGAGGTGTGGACAGTGATGTTGACGATATGATGGAAGAACTCAAACGTCCACCACCAACTCCCAAATGCGGCAATTTGCCTAAAGATTTAGACGCGAAACTAGCTTACTCAACCAACAAGGCCGGGGCCAACGACATGCAATCTTGTATGACAGTTCTGTTGAGCTGTGGAGGGTATATAGAGATGGGATATCGCATCACTGAAGGAGTAGTCACGCACTTGCATCACCATCAATACTGATTTCGTTCGACCAGGCTTGACCGTTCTATCAGTCAAAAATCCAATATTCAAAGGGGTTCAGCATAGAAAATGGCTCAAGAGGAACGTCAAATAGTTCTCATCAGTGGCGTCAATGGCTACATCGCGGCTCAAGTGGCCAAAGCATTCCTGGACGCAGGATTCAAAGTCCGGGGCACGTCAAGGTCAACAGAAAATACTAAACCTCTGACGGAAGGTCCATTGAAGGCTGCGTTCGAGGCTGGCGATTTCGAGGTTGCCGAGGTTCCGGATATCACCATTCCTGGGGCTTTCGATGAAGCTGTGAAAGGCGTAACTGCCATCCTCCACACAGCGGCTCCGGTATCCTTGTCGTTCACTGACCCGGAACCGGTCATGTATGCCGCGATTCAAGGGACTTCGTCGATCCTGAACTCCGCCCTCAGCGCAGGTTCGCAGCTGAAATCTGTGGTGTTCATGAGCTCAATTGCTGCTGTCAGAGGTGCTCAGCAGCCACCGTACACCTTCACCGAGCAAGACTGGAATAATTATTCAGAAGGGGAGGTCAACCGGCTGGGAAAGGAGGCCTCCAGCATTCATATTTACTTTGCTAGTAAAACAGCTGGGGAAAGGACGCTGTGGGAGTTTCAGAAGCAGCACACACCGTCATTTGCAGTCACGGCGATAAATCCTGTGTAAGGCTTCCATTTCTGTTTGCAAATACCCGCATCTTTATCAATCGCTGATCTTGCCTCAGACTGGTGACTGGACCACCCCTCGTTGCGCCCAAGGACTCGAAGAAGGTAGGCGAGACTGTACGCAACGTATGGGAAGTTCTCTCAGGGCAGGATATCACTCCACCATTCGATGGTCCAGGTAACTACGTCGATGTGCGCGACGTTGCCCGCCTTTTCGTCTGGGCTGTCGAGCATCCGGAGAAGGCGAATGGCGAGCGGTATATCGCGTCCAGTGGTCTCGGATCTGGAAACAAGATCGCCGCAATCCTGCGAGAGCATTATCCTGACCGCCGCGACATTATTAAGGACTATCCTGCTGGGCAACAGCAACCTGGGTACGAGATTGATGCGTCGAAGGCGGTCAAAGCGACAGGCCAAGCCTTTATCCCTTACGAAAGGAGTGTCCTAGATGCTGCGAAGTCGTTTGAAGTATATTTATGAGCCTTTTCCATGAATGAGGGATTTCGTTGAGAGATAATAAAGAAATAAGATCAAGCCCGCGAACGTATGCCTCATGTGAGTAGAGAATAACGCTGGAGTGTTTGCTGCAGTGACGCAATTTCCGAAGATTTCCCGTTAGTGGCTTGGCATTACAGAGCCTTGTGAACCTCGTTCAGCCTTGGACTAATTAATGTCGGGTGCAAATTCTGGGTACTGTATTCCTTGCGTCTGTTGATGTGGTTCCACAATCTTTACTTGACCAGGGAACACGTGAAGATACAATCGCGAACCAGCCGTTTCAGTCAACATTGTGAACGTGTCAAACTCTTCCGCTTGATCACGACCTCCACTCTTCCAATGTCACCACGTTTTATCCTTGACTTCAAACTTGCGTACAAATTTACATGCTAAGCATGCCTCGAGAAATCGAAATTTCCACCATTGAGCGCAACTTTATTCTGGATGCCCTCAGCCAGAAAATTCGGGTGGATGGCAGAAAGTTAGATCAATTCAGAGATCTTGATCTAGAATTTGGCGATGAGTATGGTACAGTTACACTCCGTCTAGGAAAGACGAGGTTTGTCTCCAAGCAGGTTTAACCAACATCAAATTAACGAGTGTTCCCAAGGGTGCATGTGCAAATATCCGCAGAAGTTACCAAGCCGCTTGAGGAGCGTAAATTCGAGGGCGTTTTTACAATTACCACCGAGCTCAGTCCCCTTGCATCCCCAGCATATGAAGTTGGCAGGTATGTAGTTGACATGATTGCATGTAGCCTAGATGCATTCCGAGCTGACGAGGCTATACAGGCAAACGGAGCCAGAAGTGATTCTTTCAAGAATCCTGGAGAAGGCAATCCGGAGGTCCAATTCCATCGACACCGAGTCATTGTGCATTATTGCTGGGGCCAAATGCTGGTCTGTCCGGGCTGATGTGCATGTATTGGACGCTGATGGTGGGTTGATCGATGCTTCTTGTATTGCCATCGTTGCAGCATTGCGCCACTTTCGAAGACCGGACGTCTCCGTAGCCGGAGAGAGGGTGACCATCTACAGCATGGCTGAACGAGTACCCGTTCCATTGAGCATCATGCACCATCCAGTGTGTGTGACATGCAGCTTCTACCACAATGGCCAAACAATCTTATTGGATGCGACACGGAGCGAAGAGCAAGTGCGGGAGGCTGAAGCCATTCTCACAGTCAATGATTTTGAATTATGTCAAGTGGCTAAGCTGGGAGGAAGCCCGGTCGATGCGGTGGTACTCCTCAAGTGCATTAGTACAGCCCTGACCAAAGGAAAAGAAATCAATGGAATGGTCACGAGGAAGTTGGCAGAGGACGTAACGAGGCGAGATGTGGGTGGACTGATAGCCGAACTGAGGGCGGAAAATGAGAGATAGTGGTGTTTGGTTACAACTGCATCGATTGTATTGAAGACACTGTCCGAACTTCGGGCCTCTACGAGTGAACGACGAGCTGCTAGTACGGAACTCCGTCCTGCGGCTTCTTAGCAGGGATGGATCGAAATGTGTTGTCTTGTCAGGGCCATATTGTGGAGGGAATGGTAAATCATACGGCAGACCGAGTGCGGATCACTACTCGTAATTTACATAGATGAGCAATGATAGCCCGCCTTGCCCGGAGGAGGCAAAGGTGGTACACGCGGTAGAAGGTGGCAGTGTTCGTCTCAGGTTGGGCTATTTAAATATGGGATGGGCAACACTTGTGCAGAAGGATGACGAATCTGACCCGGATACTTAATAGGACTAGATGTGATTCATTGTGATTCCCACGAAGGGCTTTGAGTGGGTTAGGTGTGCTGGGGAAGAGAGTGGCTTTGCTCTCCCCATGTCTTGCTGTTCCTCGATTTGCATCTTTGCTATTCAGGCTCCAGGCAAAGTAACAGCGCTTACGAGTACTTGGCTGAGAACCGTGAGAAGGCGAAGGAGAGCGGGCATTAGCATCAATTCTCACAGACAGGGCCTCCTGGTTCCTTGCCCACAGCGGTGTTTCGGGTGGTGGTCTAAGCACCGTTGGCACCCTGAAACCGCCTGGAAGTGGACTCTCTCAGGCTCGAGGGAGCCCTTTAGTCGCCCTTAAGATCCCTCGAGCTCGGAGTCCCATTGGGCCTTTGCGGGCACTAGACGTAAACAGTGGACCTGGACGCGGAGAATGGCCCAGTAGCCCTTGGGCTCGCCTAAGTCCATCCCACTAACTTAACTAACCCAAGTTAAGGTGGTTGATGGCACTAAGGGAACCCAACCACCACCGGGCACCACCAGGTGCTATTTGCAATGGGCACGTTCAAGTCCTACTGGGTACGTAGAGGCACTAGGCAGGTGGCATTGGCATTGGCAGCGCTGACATCCTTCTCCGCCCCGTTCCTGGCTTCCCTGCGCATTATGCTCACAACAATCTGAACCTCAACCCCAGTTCTAAGGATCACTCAAACGCAAACATCTTCTCTCATCGCTAATGCCTTCGAGCTTCACCTCATAACCAGTTGGGTGTTTTGAGAGATGGATGGGCGGCCGAATGCGCCTGCAGCGTCCAACAACTACAATCAAGATCATCTCCTCGACCTAGGCAATACCCAACCTGTCTACAGCTCAGGGCAGCGGCCACCAGTTGACGATTCTCAACTACTACAGACATATAACATCGATGACTCAGATGATCTCCAACCGAGACCCTCCACCAGCTACGACGACTTCGTTGGCGGAGGGAGGCCCGCCCCTCAAGGCCATGCGCAACAGTCGTCGATAGCCACAGGCTCAAATCGTCCCTTTACTGCCCCTTATATGGCCGATGGCTCCAGAAATTACTCCCAAACATCCGACCTCAACAATTACTCAAAATATGGCGACGCCGATGATTATGCCGAAGATGATGCGGGATACAAATACTATGACGGCGCAGGCACCGCCGATGAACACATCCCGGGAGGCGGCGTCAAGGTGGTTGGACACCATGGCCGGAATCGCAGTAGTCTCATGTCCATGAACGGTATCATGGATAGGGCTAAGGGGGCGCTGGGGATGAGAGACAGCAACTACTCCGACATGAACCTGCCCTTGACAGAGCCCGGCATGCAGAATACCAGAGCCAGAGCCGACACAGCTGGAACAGAAGAGACCTTGCCGTCGCAAGAGAAGAAAGGATTCAGTCTAGACAAACTCAAGGCGATGTTTGGAAGGAAGAAGGTCGATCCTGCCTCTCTTGGCCCTCGAATAATACACCTCAACAATCCGCCGGTCAACGCTGGGAATAGATGGGTGGACAACCATGTCTCCACTGCCAAATACAACATTGCCACTTTCCTACCGAAGTTTCTGTACGAACAATTCTCAAAGTACGCCAATTTATTCTTCTTATTCACCGCCATCCTACAACAAGTCCCCAACGTCTCCCCGACGAATCGATTCACCACAATTGTACCTTTGGGCATCGTGCTCCTGGTGTCTGCAATCAAAGAGTTGGTGGAGGACAATAAAAGGAAGAACTCCGATAAGTCACTGAATGATTCTCGCGCTCAGGTCTTGAAGGGCTCCGATTTTGCCAATACCAAATGGATCAATGTTGCTGTTGGGGACATTGTCCGAGTCGAATCTGAGGAACCCTTCCCAGCTGATTTGGTCTTGTTGGCCAGTTCCGAGCCGGAAGGACTGTGCTACATTGAGACCGCCAACTTGGACGGGGAAACCAATTTGAAAATCAAGCAAGCCATCCCAGAAACTGCTCATCTTGTCAGCCCAGCTGATTTAGGAAGACTCAGTGGTCGTGTACGCTCTGAACAGCCCAACAGCAGTCTATATACCTACGAAGCGACTTTGAGCATGATGGGGGGAGGAAGCGAGAAAGAGCTACCGTTAAATCCAGAGCAGTTACTGCTTCGAGGGGCAACTTTGAGAAATACCCCTTGGGTCCATGGGCTAGTTGTATTTACTGGCCACGAGACGAAACTGATGCGAAATGCTACCGCGACACCGATCAAGCGCACCAATGTCGAGAGAATGCTCAACCGACAGATTCTTATGCTGGTCGCAATCCTCCTCGTACTCAGCGCCGTCAGCACAGTTGGCGATATTATCGTCAGACTCAGAGCTGGCACCAAACTGACTTATCTGTACTATGGTAGCCTCAATGTGGCCTCACAGTTCTTCTTGGATATATTCACGTACTGGGTTCTCTATTCCAATCTGGTACCGATCTCGCTCTTCGTCACCATCGAGTTGGTCAAGTATTATCAGGCGTTCCTGATAAATAATGACTTGGATATTTACTTTCCGGATACGGATACTCCTGCGGTTTGTCGAACTTCATCGCTTGTTGAAGAGCTGGGTCAAATCGAATACATTTTCTCGGATAAGACCGGCACGTTGACCTGCAACATCATGGAGTTCAAGCAATGCACAATTGGTGGCATCCAATATGCTGGAGTGGTTCCGGAAGACAGACGTGCAAATGGCCCAGATGATACCAGTGGTGTTCACGACTTCAAACAACTTGGAGAAAATCTCAAAAGCCACCCGAGCGCGACCGCTATTCATCATTTCCTGGCACTACTAGCGGTCTGCCACACGGTTATTCCGGAGCGAAAGGACGAGAAATCTGAAATCAAGTATCAGGCAGCGTCACCCGATGAAGGAGCTCTCGTTGAAGGTGCCGTTCAGCTTGGGTACAAGTTTGTCGCCAGAAAACCTAGGTCGGTCATTATCCAAGTAGGCGGACAAGAGTTCGAGTACGAGCTTCTAGCCGTGTGTGAATTCAACTCCACGAGAAAGCGAATGTCGACCATTTTCCGATGTCCCGATGGCAAGATCCGGGTTTATTGCAAAGGTGCTGACACGGTCATCTTGGAAAGACTAGCAAAAGACAATCCTATTGTTGATATCACCCTGCAGCAGCTCGAGGATTACGCCACGGAAGGTCTACGAACACTATGTCTCGCCATGCGTGAAGTGCCGGAACAAGAATTCCAGGAGTGGCGTCAAATTTTCGATAAAGCAGCAACCACCGTTGGAGGTAACCGTGCTGAGGAACTCGACAAGGCCGCCGAGATCATTGAGCACGACTTGTTCTTGCTGGGAGCAACTGCTATTGAAGATCGCCTACAAGATGGAGTTCCAGATACTATTCATACTCTTCAGACTGCCGGTATCAAGGTCTGGGTCCTCACTGGTGATAGGCAAGAGACGGCCATCAACATCGGAATGAGTTGCAAATTGATCAGCGAAGACATGACATTGTTGATTATAAACGAGGAAAATGCAACTGATACGAGAAACAACCTACAGAAGAAGCTGGATGCCGTCCGCAACCAGGCAAAATCTGGAGAGCATGAAGTTCTAGCTCTCGTTATTGACGGGAAGTCTCTCACATTTGCTTTGGAAAAGGACATGGAGAAATTGTTCCTCGACTTGGCGATCATGTGCAAAGCTGTTGTTTGCTGCAGAGTATCACCGTTGCAGAAGGCACTGGTTGTCAAGCTTGTCAAGCGCCACTTGAAAGCCATCCTTCTTGCCATCGGAGATGGTGCTAATGACGTTTCCATGATTCAAGCTGCCCATGTTGGTGTCGGCATCAGTGGTGTTGAAGGTCTCCAGGCTGCTCGAAGTGCAGATGTTGCCATTGGACAATTCCGGTATCTGAGAAAACTGCTCCTCGTCCATGGTGCTTGGAGCTACCAAAGAATCAGCAAGGTCATTTTGTACTCGTTCTACAAGAACATCGCTATGTTCATGACACAATTTTGGGTGAGTGAAAGACACCTGCTGGGAAACATCGGCCTCGCCCTTCTGCTAACCACATCCAGTATTCATTCCAAAACGCTTTCTCAGGCCAGGTCATCTACGAGTCATGGACCTTGTCCTTCTACAACGTCTTCTTCACCGTGCTTCCACCTTTTGCAATGGGCATATTTGACCAATTTATCTCAGCTCGACTACTTGATCGATATCCGCAGTTGTACCAACTGACGCAGAAAGGAGTGTTCTTTAAGATGCATTCGTTTTGGTCGTGGGTTGGGAATGGCTTTTACCACTCCATTCTTGCATACGTCTTCTCGTCCTACTTCTTCTATGAGGACCTCATCCTTTCAAACGGGCAGATTGGAGGCCACTGGCTTTGGGGTACAAGTAGCTATACCGCCATTTTGCTGGTGGTCCTCGGTAAGGCTGCGCTGATCACAAATGTTTGGACCAAGTATACCGTGCTCGCTATTCCGGGATCATTTGTCATCTGGCTCATTTTTATTCCGGCGTACTCGTATGCCGCGCCAAACATCGGAGCCGGCTGGTCTACTGAACTCGAAGGAATTATACCAAAGATGTTCACCTCTCCGGTATTCTACGCTATGTGCCTCGTCCTTCCACCCGTTTGCCTCATCCGAGATTTCGCCTGGAAATATGCCAAGAGAATGTACTTCCCCCAGGCGTACCACCACGTGCAGGAGATCCAGAAGTACAACGTGCAGGATTACCGACCACGGATGGAGCAATTCCAGAAGGCCGTGAGGAAGGTCAGGCAGGTACAGAGGATGCGAAAACAGAGAGGTTACGCTTTCTCCGCTGGCGATGAGGGTGGACAACAGATGAGAGTGCTGAGTGCTTATGACACTACACAGCAGAGAGGTCGCTACGGTGAGATGGTCAGTAGCAGGAACACAGCTACTTTTAGCTAGTCGTCAGTGTGGCGTTCCACTTTTTTCTCCTAGGCCGGGACTGGAGCAGGTTTTGCAGGATTTCGATGGCAGACGGGAATGTGTGAAAGTGACATGAATAAATAGGTATGACGATGACACGTGCGTACATGCGTGCATTCACGCATTCGCATCCATGGACTAGTATGTACGGGTGTATAGCAAAATTTGATATTTGTGATTGTCTTGGTTTTTGGACGTTCTGGATGAATACATTGTTCGTCGTTCCTTAGGGAGTACGGAGCAACTACATCTACCTAATACTGCGTATGGGACAGCAAATTGGTGAGCTCGGTTGGCTCCGTAAAGGCTGAAACAAATAATTTCGCCAGTCCGTTCGCTTCCTTCTAGATTGGTAGCGAGCTTGATCAGGAATTACATCAAGGTCGGGTTGTGACCAGGAAGGACTTACATAGTCTCTACTCGGCATAGTATGGAGTACTTCGCACAAGCACTATGTATTAACCAACGCTTTCTTTCCTTTGTAGAACGCGTCAACGACGGCCAAGGACCATTCAGAACGGAGGAGAGTATTCTCACCTTGCCTTCTCACTTTTACAGTTTCTCCTACTCGGTGCATACCACCAGAAATACTGAACACTTATATCGTGCTGCCCAGCCTTGACTGCATAGCACACCTTAAGGTATCAACGTCAAGGCTTACTCTCTTCGACTAATCCCAATAGTGCCTACCACCACCCAGAGACGTAAGTCGGACTAGCGAAGTGCCTCGAAGATAGGACCAAGTAAGCTGACTGTCCTTATACAGGGAAATTGGAGGAGTTCCTGGATGCTGCTCCGTCTCCATCTGCGATCGAAGCCAAAAAGGCCAACTTAGCCTCATTGATGAATGAGGAGTTCGTTGATCATGTCATCGCACTCGAAGCAGAAGTATTCAACTCACTCAGACCTATCGTCCCTGCAAAGCTGAGGATGGACGGTTCATGATAGTCGGGACTGACGCTCTCCAATAGAACCTCAGTCTCAAGACCCGACTCACAGCCAGCAAGCAAAGGACAGCCAAGGCGGGTGCCAATGCCGACGCTGCCTCAACCGTCGGATAGCCTGAAGGTCGAGGCATCTGTATCGAAGCTCCGAAATACCATTCACCGTGAGGTCAAGGAGCAGATGAAGTGGCAGGTGCGTCTGATCTCTTAGGCCTCTCACTAACACTGAGGCCAAATGTCACTGACGCCCAGACCCATGATCTATCAGCCATCCTGCAAATTTGGTTCAGCGAAGTGGTCGTACACGAGCGGCGTAGCCAATGAAGCCTTCTTCTTCAACGCCATTAGACTTCAGCCCAAGGATGAAAAAGGAAAGAAGTGGAAGCAGAAGAAGATCCCAACAGCTGACTTTCACGGGGCAGTGGGCCACATCAAGGCGAGCGTAAGTCTCCAGGACCCTCAAAGACACACCAAACGTCCCAAGCAAGTGAAGAGTTCTGACTCACATGCTGATTGGTGCCGATACAACCACCTTCGCATCTCCAGTGAGTGGGTGAATGTTAAGTGGAATGAGGAGGATCGCATGTTCACCGTGAGTGGAACGTATGGCATCTGATGATGTGTCCTACTGCTGGCTGGCACTTGATCATGATGTGAGTGTTTGGATTCACAGGTACCGCTGAAAGTGCATAACTAGCAGGTGTATGTTCGGTCGTGAGGCTCCGATGGTCACTGTGAACCGTATCCCTTGATGGTGCCATCCTAGCTTCATATCCATCCCGATCACATACGGATTATTATTACAGGATATCATGGTCCGTCAATCCCTAGATCCATAATCACCGGCCTCGTCGCCGAGTTGCTGAAGCACACACAACACATAAACTCTCCAAAGTGCATCGATATCACTTGAGCCGTCAGCGCTCATGACACCTTCAATGACGTGCTGTCGTTTGAAAGGCGACAGGTGAATGGGATTGGTACTCATTACTCGCCCACTTGGTGGCAGGCAGCTCGCGTCTGGCCAGCGAGTGTAGAGTTGGCGCACCAGAGGTGTTTAGCTCCGGTCTGTATCTTCGGGAATCAGCTTCGTGGGTATCGCTCTGCTCGGAAGGTGTGTTGAGGTCTTCGAGACTTGCCGGGCGACTTTTTCTCTTCCGCACAATCCACCATATGAGAACGCCAAAGCCCACCGCACTAACTCATCACGATCGCCGGCAACAGACATCCAGATAGGCCACTCGAACGTTCTTGCTCGTCTGGACTCTGGTTCGGGTCACCAGTACTCCTGGGTGTAGAGGTGGATCACGAGGTAGCCTCAGTTATTGCGCCATACGTTGAAGTGGTCGAGACAGAGTATGATCGTGTCACGGCTGCCCCCTGGGTGCTCACTAGGAGGAACGTGCTGGCGTCGAACGTGTCCGAGACATTATAGATGTCGATCAATTGAAAATGACATGGAAGTGGGAACTGCGTCGCACCGATGCCTTGATTCAAGTCGTCGATGTCATAATTGCCGGTCGCTTTCACGATTTACCACGAGGGAAAGTGTCAGTTGGTCAAAGACAGTAATATCAGAATACAACGGCCGAGAGGGTTGCCTTCTCTCACTTGGATTGATCAGTGGCTGTCCTGTAAATGTCCCTGTTGCATTATCGGTCAAACACCACATGCTCGCATTCACGTTCTACCATTCGCTCTTGTATGACATGCGTAGTGTGTCGACCACATTGATAGAGAGCAAGCTGTGGTCAGGCCCTTGTGCGGTCGGAAACCACATGCTGGCATGCCCGTTGGGCGAGACCTCCAGGTCCTGGGCACGGCTGACGGCTGCGAGGAGCTGTAATGTCACAAGCGTCAGTCCACGCGCGATCTGGCTGTTAACCATAGCTTGGAGGGGGACGTTGATTGTTGTTGTTCTACCCGCGGGTTCAAGTTGCAATACTAGTTTGTCGAAACATGCTAGAATTGAAGGAGGTAGGATCATTATCGTCATCGTAGGATAAAATGATAGCCTTTCCGTCTGGTTTTCCAGGCTGTGATAGTATCGATCTCCTTCTACTCCTGCTTCTGCTCCTCGCATCCCTTCTAAGATAGCATTGTTCTATCTGTATCGGCCTTTCCCCAGAACAAGACCGCTGCAATTCCATTCATGCACGCGACGTTGCAAATCCTTCCGTAAGACTGGGCGCTATCAGCCTGCTTTTTGGGGAACGCTTGCATGGACGCCCCCGTGTGCCATGTCTCCAATGCGGGGCCGCTTTTCCGTATTTTGAAACCTTTGTGCGAGTCAAGTCGGACCGCCTCCTTTTTCGACTCCAGGTTAGTGGTTGCCTCTTCGTCGAATGGTACTGCGGCTGATTCGTCACGTTGTGCTGACTGCAAGTCGATAGAGGGTGTGCCAAGATCTATCGACCTAAGAACCCAAGGTCGGCTCCTAAAGTACCTGGATGGCTTGTTGTTCAACACCTGCCTGTTTGAGTTTTCGGAGTGACAGAGTACTCTCGCTCACTCACTTCTCTTGATATACAGAAATAGCTTCATTGCCAAGACGTGGGTCCAGAGTCCAGACTACTGGGTGAGTACGAGGGAGTTGGGTTTTCATTAGTCAATAGCGATTCTTGGACTGGGCGGATTGTTTGAGGCTGGTTGTCTTTTGCTATCGTTGACTCGTGAGGGAGAGGTATCAGCCTGAGACATACAAATGGGAGTAGAAATGGAGAACCGCAATTGATTCTGCCTCGTCTGCATCTTCAACCCCGTTCTTTGGATAGCTCTAGAAGGATCAATCAGTGCTTGGAGATCCGTTGCATCGTTTTCTTGCTTTCTAACGACTGTATTTTAAGAATTGTCTGGAAAGTAGGAAGGCCTATCCTTGGGGTTCGGCGTAGGGCAAGGCTGTCAATCCATTTTCTTGGTGAGGCTGTTGAAGGCGGGATGAGTGCTCCACACCACGAGCCCACTAAAGGATCTCTTGTAAGAGACGCCTGGTTTCCTGCATAATGGAGATGACGTGGCCTCGTCACTACTAGCAATTTGATATCTCCATTTCGGCGGTAGCATCATCATACTCACCTTTCTTGGAAGGTCCAGTCCTAGGCAGAGCCTCGTCAGTCGTCACTGAATCTGTTATGGTTGGATGTTGATATCGCTTTCCACAGTCGGGCAAGCAGCATTGCTGGCAGCCCCTGGCTAAAAGAAAAAGGTACGAACATAGCTAAAAGGTTGATACTACAATTGGTTCTCTTCCCAGGCAGATAGAATGTTCAATACACTTCTAGTAGTCGTCTATCTTGGTAGCTCCAAAAAAAATGCTGAAAAGAACGAGTTTGTGCTTTTCAAAGACAACGCAACCATCGGCAGTCCAAATACCTGGCTCATGTCCGAAAATGGAAGATTAAGAACATACTTGGAACAGCCGCCCTTGAGCGATCTGATCACCTCAACTCCTCGACCTCGTAGTCTTCCGAGTCAAGTGTTTCTCTTACCGCCTCTGACTTTCGGAAATTAGCGCCTTGTAGATGTTCAATATAGTACACCAAAAAGATGACCATAACAGTAGCCATTAGAATTGTGTCAAAAACATAAAGGAATACCTCATGTGAGATTAGGTAACCGTCGTTTCCTTGAAGATACTCGACAACACGAAATACGCTTCGCACTAGTATCAGTCCACTGGTAATGTAGAGGACGTGAAAATAACGCCGCCAAGGTATGCTGTTGCTCATTGCCTTGGGAGTTGGCCGCTGAATAAGGCGGTGGTGGAACAGGACTGATGTGGCAACGAAGAAGCCAAAGATCAGGATTTGGCAAAACAAGCCGGCAATGATTATCTTTTCTCCCGTTTCGTATAGTTGTAAAGTACCACCTGCTTGGATACCACCACCGCCGGCTTGGAGGCTGAAAGAGATAACATCCCCGATCACGAAAATCCTTGTAATCCATCTGACAGGTACCAGAGAAAGGTGTTCGCCACGAAGGGTACTAATCAGGCGGCCAAGGATCATGTAGATTGAAGCTGCATAAAGTGCAGGCGCGATGAGGATCAATATTGCCTGGATGACGAAGCCGCCAATGACAAGCTTATCATAGTGAGACCAAATGCGTCCTCCGTAACCAATTGTTTGGACTGTTAAGCATGAGAATTCAGGATTCGGAGCCAACTAAAAAGGGTAACTCACAAATTCCGCCGACAGTAAAGGATATGAAATAAAAAGCTCTCGCTCGAACAAGTCTCCATGTATGAAGTCCCGTGAGAATAGCGAAGACAGATAAGCTGATAACCGCCGCTGGCAACGATGGAGTATATCGATAGAGCTGGAAGTTGTAGCCTGCTGCTGTATCGGCCATTATATAGCACCACCCAGTCTAGAGATAAACTATGCTGAACAAGCTGACGTTGCAAGAGTATTCGGGAAATTCTGAGAAAGCGAGAGGAGTTGAAGGGGAGTAGAAGAGTTCGTTGAGTGTAGAGTCGGCGGAGACCAACATCTCTTAGCCAAATTGAAACATTTTTATAGTTGACCATGGCTCCATGATGTTGGTTCCCATCGCGTCTAAGAATGAACGATGTGGATCTGCCCACACAAGTCTCGGGACGATTTTGCTTCTCCACGTACCTTGCTACCTCGGGCCTCGAAAGAAACGCCTTGGCGGGCTCATTGGGATTGATCACTCCTATACTATCACCTATCCCTTTGCACTACGCCCCATCGATCTATGCGGAAGTTGCCAGGGAGGCAAAACTCCACTACATACGCGTATTCACGGTTTATGCCGAGGAATATGGGCAGATACGCGGTTTTGGAAAAGGGGAGGGTGAGAAATACGAGGAAGAGTCCTATCAATACGGGGATTGTCGAAGCTTCTTGAAGGTAGTACTAGATTGGCTCCCCTTACTACCCGGGGGAAGCTCACGTGGTTGTCTAATGCTAGACGCCTTCAAGATTGCACGAATGTCTGTTGAGATGGTACGGAAACCTATTCCTTCGGGAAAGAAGACGATATCAATGGAGCCTGATACAGATTTAAAACGTATTCAAGTCGCACAAATCACTCCTCCCCGCAGAGATATCTCATATTCCAATGGCGCCTTTGTCTCCCAATCCGCCTTCCCCGTCAGGATCTCCTAGACTGGCGACAAGCCTTCGCATCGAAGGCAAAGACTCAATAAAGCAACCCGCCGATTCCATTGATGTTCATGGTTCAGGCTGGTTTACAACCAAGTGGCTCGAGCACCAAGGGATGAAAAGATCTGCTTCTGCCTTCCAAGTCAGGATCCAGGACTACAAAGACGCCATCGGCAGATATAAAACAAGCATCATGCAGGATCTCGGACACAGGACAAACAAGTAACAGTGATCTGGTCAACCAAACGATCGACAGCATGCTCAAGTCGCCACATGAAGACACAGTTTTGACTTAATGCGTTCCACTGCTTCCAACCACTCTGGGCCCAGCCCTACGAGCTGAGACGAGGTTTCATTAAACCACAGCTTCGTCGTTTCTCTGACCCACCATACCCTATTCATGCGGTTAAGGAGGAGTGTCCAGTGTATAAACACTAGCTGAGCCAAACGCTGACGTTGACCGAGAAGGGCCAGGAAATGCTTTCCGCATAGAGCGAGCCAGGCTAATGCCATCATGTCCCCTCCGCGAATACATTTCTCGAGCACGGTGATCGCGGAGGCAATAGTCATGTGAGCAGTTGGATCGACGACGGCGAGGAATTTGTCGTTGAACTTATGAAGGCGATTGATTATCTCTTCGTCCTCGGCGTTGACGTCCTCGAGCGCGATGCTGTTATCAATGTCAAGAAACATGGCGAATGGGCCTTCCTTGATCCATTGCCATCCCACCACAGCAACAGTGGCGATTCCCTGCATAAAATCGCAAAGGAGAATTACACGGTCAAAGTCTTTGTTGTTTGATGTGGCAACGTCTTGCGGAGATGCAATGGCGAATATCATGGCGATGACGGCAAACGCAAACATGGCATGACAGTTGGTTTCGTCAATGTTGCTCAGAGCCTCACTGAAACCTGTAAATCCACGGTTCTGATGGTCCAGAGACGATTGTTGGTATTCTTCTCGGTTGTCACTTGCTTCTACGGACAGATGCAACGCGGCGAGCCCGAGTATGGCATGCATCAAGAAATCGTATTTGAGTGCTTGCCTCGGCACAAAAACTTGCCATGTTTCTTCGTTGATAGTAGGAACAGACACACTTTTGTAGGTGAAAGCTGTGAATTGGTGCATAAGTTCGAGATCCTGCACCTGGGAGCCCTGCCTGAGACAGTGTCCGGAAACCTCCGGGCTATCTTGATATAGACTGGCGTCCTGAGCATTCCCCTGCCCGGACCCCAACTCTGTAGAACTTGCAGAATGAGCATGAGGGACAAAATCGCAAGCGAGTCCTCGGATAGTGCAGGCTACACAGGGCGGACCCTGTTCATCGCACTAAAGCATCGATGTTAGCCTAACATGATAATCAATCAAGGCTTGCGGAAGTGGTAAGGATGAAGAACAGCCGACGCATGGGACAACCACCATCAAGCCATACCGACTTAGATATTGGGGATGAAAAGGGGCCTCAAGGGGTACCTTTACACGGCGACTCTTACATGGCCCACAGCCGGTCCGAGATTTGGTGTGTGACTGCCGCTTTTTGACATGTTCTCTACGCCCAGGACCGGAGGATTCTCGCCTCATGGTGAGATCAGGGAGAGATCAGGTGCAGATTTTAACGTAGCTGCAAAGACTCCTTAGCACTGACTTCGCCTGCCGACAAGCAAGGTTGGAATGAAAGCGCGCAAGCAGGTCAGGGACCGGATCTTAAACTCCATCGGTATCCTCGTATTCAGCTTTGCTATCCTCGTACTATGGATTTGCCACCTTCCCTGAACGCGTATTGTCCCCAATTGGGTCTGGCGCCCCACGGGATCGCCGAGGCCCTTGAAGTGTAATTAAGGTTAAGGTTACAACACCCAGATCGAGGCTCCCTACTACATTGCTACGTGGCCAAGTTACCGAGTCCTCGTACTGTACCCGGAAACTTCGACTACTTACATAGCTAGGTACTCTATCAAATGTCCTTGCACTCCCTCAATTCGTTTGACTGTCAGCCATCAGCGGATCACATAAAATCCGTCGCGCCGGAAACTGACGAAGCTAAAGCATCTAGCGAGGGTCGTTTGAACACTACCCACGCATCATAATACTTAGGTATCTAGGAAAGGCTGCGTCTCTTAAAATGCCGCGTTTAGTCACCAGTGTACTGGACATTCTCAAACCACGCCTTTACGCATTCTGTTAAGTCAGTATGTTTTTAAATCAACAACCGGCTGCTGTTCCCTCCTCCTGCTCCTGGGAATTGGAATTCGGGCCTTCACATAATTAAACATAACTGTCTGTGATCCATGCAGTTCTTTTAAGCCACATCAGGGTTTGAACAGTTGTCGTCTTCACAAGTTCACATTCACATGCCTATAGGATGCCTGTCACTTCCAACACCACTAGGCCCTTCGTATATGACAAGGAATTCTTTCCAGGCGCACCAGTCGGGGACCCAAGAATACCGACCGCCTAAAGTTCTAAGCACCGATAATGCTTGAAAGGGTAGTGCCGCCATTGGAGACAAGTTCCTGTCTTGCTTTGGCTTTTCTACGAAGGATGGAAGTCTCGACTTTTATGCCTTGATCAGACCACAGAATTGGCTGCAATGACCTGACTCGCACCCTGGTTCGCGCCGTCTCCCTTTGTTATCGACATTATATGGACCACAAGAACGAACATTGGCTTCCGTCTAGGCGTTAGCATCCAGTCTGACTTTCATATACTCTTTTTGCGCCCTTTGGCGCAGTCACAGTGATTTACGCGGCCACACGGCGGCCGGATTCTGTCCACTCCTAGAAAATTTCATATTAGACAGAATGTAATTTGTTCATCGCTCACGAACTGATTAGAATAGGAGATAACCCCTACGGAGTAGTGAGTAATTAGTGTGGCTAATTTACCGAGCACGGGATTCCCCCCCTCCACCTCAGCCTTGCAACTCCAACTCCATACACTTCGCTCACACACACTGGGGACGGACATCACATTTACTCCTACCACCTATCTAACAGAATTTCCGCCCAGTAGCACATGAACATTTGCAGCTGATGCTAAGAGCAGGCCGCCAGCGTAAGTAGCATTCGCAAGGTTGACAACGACTAAAGTTGCGCTGCGTGTCAACCTAGGTCTTGGTCACGATCTAGGACTCTGCCTACGAAAAATTGGTTCTGGATCGCCAAGACATCAACCCCCCGCAAACACAGTCCATTTACGAGATGGAAGAACGCAGTGATCGAGAACAACTCGAAAAGCAGGACAGAGTTTGTGTTGTCTCCGCCACCAACGTCAGAACAACCGAGTCGCCGAGAAAGTGACTTTCCACGTGACAATCTTCCGCATGAGACTGGCTCGTATTTCGTGTTCTGCCACGGATTCAGAAAGCCGGAAGTGTGTTATGGGTCTGGCCAACTCCTCACATGTCGCCTGCCGATGGAGGTACTTTGTGCAGGATTTTCGACAACAGCAGCGGACTGATTCGAGGTGAGAATCCCCAGTATGGGATTCGCCCTTCCTCGTAACAGCTGAGGGACACTGCTGGCTGCCTGCGCTTATCTCAAGATGACAAAGCCGGCTCTCAATGCATTTTTTCCCACAGCGAACGCCGTGGGGATATCGCGAGAATCTCATCGACCTCCTGAACGGCCAACCGAAATCGCACCAATCTTGGACAAGGGAAAATCCTGCAGACCTCTTCTCGAGTACGATGAAGCACTTCGTCTATCAAGTTTCGGAGATGGCGCACCTGCGACGGCTGAATCCTTTGCGCCTCCGCAACCAGAGACGTTCAACGATCCCTACCTCTATCCTTTCCTCGCACGGAACGAATGCCTCAGACTTACCCTTCTTTGGTACTATACGAGATCCATCACAAATAATGATGCATTGATGTCCAAGTTACAAGGGATTCTCGGGATTGTTCAGAAATTCATGGGATGGGAATTTGCTATCATTGGGATGGTGGAGGAAGCAGTCTTCACTAGGGTGGCAGCAATAAATATGCCGGTCGCATTACTGCCGAGAAGAGAGAGTCCTTGTTCTCATACCATAAATCAAGAACCTGGAACTGTGTTCAGCATTACCAATCTGGAAGAGGATTGGCGGTTCAGGTCATCACCGCAAGTTACCGCTGGCGGCTTACGAAGCTACGCCGGCACGCAGCTACGCATAAGAATAGATACAGGTGAAGAAGCTGCGCTCGGATCCTTGTGCATTGCTTCCAACACCGTTCAGAAACCATTAACCCAGGAACAAAAGGCAGCTTTGGTGCGATTCGCCGACATGATTACTGGCGAGCTTGTGAGTACACAGAGACAAAACCGCATCCGTGAAAAGGAGAGAAAGATGGAGCTGTTGATGCAACTAAAAGAGGAGAGGCACGTGGTTGAACCCCAACTCAGAGCTAAACTTGATGACTTGATCAAGTCCTTCTATCCTGAGGCATCCATATCAACCCAAACCTCGAGCGAGCAACTTATCTGTCTTCAAGATGGTGCGAAGATACACTTCTCTGACGTGAAAGCCGGCCTGTGGGAGGATACCGGCTTTATCAATGAGCTGATCAAGACGGGAAATCATTCGAGGCTGAGTTCGTCGCAAACTGTCCGTGCTATAGTCAGCAAATGTGGAAGCTCTGATATGTTCTTGGTGGTTGCTTCTTGCGACATCCAACATGTCTTTGATGACTACGACGCATGGTTTATCGAAGGATGTTCCCAAATCATTACTGATTTCATACACCGACAAGATCTGCAGGAGGCACTACTCGCTAAGGAGGAATTCTTGCGCGGGATCACACATCAACTAAGGACCCCAATCCATGGGGTTCTAGCCTCAAGCGAACTGCTTGCGGAGGTATTATCGTCACCAAATCTTTCTATCACAGGCCAAGAAACATCTATCAATGAATCAGCCTTGACGCATTTAGGAACCATTCAGGCGTCAGGGAGTCTATTAATGGCCACCGTGAATGACCTGCTCAAATTCAATACCTGGTCTCGAAACAAGGCGGAGGAGCTCAAGCCAACATCTTACGACCTATATTGCATCGAGAAGGACATCATGGATCGTCTCCGTGAATCAATGGCGGAGCCACTTCGACCCGAAGTCCCAATCGCCTTCGTAGTTCAACTTGCTAGAGAAAGAAGCCTTGTTGAGATTGATACCGTCATTTTACAAGACGCCCTCCAGCCACTAATTGTTAATGCAATTCAGGCAACTACTTGTGGTAACGTTACAGTCCAAGTATTGACACAAGCAGAAAGCTCAGCATTGCACATTGATATTGTTGATACTGGTTCCGGTATCCCATCAAGCGATCGAACACGCATCTTCCAGCCCTTTGAAAAGGGATCCATTCATGCTAATGGAGTAGGACTTGGGCTCACTTTAGCTGTAAAAGCTGCACATCTACTAGGTGGGAAAATTGACCTTATATCCTCGGAGATCGGGACAGGATCTCATTTCCGAGTGGAATTCCCTAGCCTCATTTTCACAGACCGAGAAACATCATCTGAGATGCCATCTGAACGCAAGGCGCTCACGCCAATAACAGATTCTTCGCAAGACTTGTCGGGAGCTGGACTACAGTTAACCACTTACGGCATTGAGAGCAACGCGATCTCCTCATTTCCCTCACTGAGCATTAATCCTCACACTGACCAGAAGCGCTCTCTCACCCCAAGAGCACTTTTGGTCGACGACAACGCCATCAACTTAAAAGTCCTTAGAATGTACTGCGAGAAGAGAGGAATCCCTTATTTGCTAGCAACAAATGGACAGGAAGCAATCGACCAGTTCAATGCGGCTTCCGAATCGAAAGCCAATCGGATAAATCTTGTCCTGATGGATCTCCAAATGCCCATCTGCGGTGGACTCGAAGCATGTACTTCGATCAGAGCCATCGAAGCGGAAAAATCGTTACCGCCGAGTACTGTTTTTATGGTCACGGGCCAGGATTCGCCGAGCGACCGTTCGCTGTCTCTGGAAGCTGGCTCCGACGAGTTTCTTGTGAAGCCTGTGAGCTTGAAGCTGTTGGATAAGCACCTCGCAAGATATCAGTTTAGATAAAGGTTTACAATAACAAAGAATCTCAATTTTGCAACCATTGACCACCTTGCTTCGCTGATCCATGCCAGGGCGCTAGGCAGTGGAGAGGTGGGATGGGCTCCAGAACACCAAGCAGGGGTGGCCATTGCCTGAACCATCAGGCCGAAACTTTTACGCATCGCAAGGCTGCTAGATACTGGAGCCTACGAGTACGGAGTACTTCACACTAGGCGGATGGTGGACAGACATTCATCCGCGACCATCCCGGATTGGGGAACATGTCCCCTTTGGGCGGTGATCCACAATTCCTCCAACGAGGCCCAAGAGGCTTGGCCAGGAGAATCAGTATCGCTCCCTTCGAAAACTCGAAGCCATTCTAAGTTTGTATGTTAAATGGCATGCCGTATGCAGGCAGACAGATTTCTTGATGTATGAATGGCTCTGGGAGATGGAAAGGAGCGCAGCCCCAGACCTCAAAGGAAATTCAGGGCGAGGATCAAACTTGCTCAAGCTGCAAAAGCGGCATCAATGAAGCCTGTCCATTGACCCAGAAGAACCCTGACATCGCTACTGAAATTTGATGATGCGGTATCTTGGACAGATGATGGGCAGTTCGAACGCAGTGGCCGCAACTATAAAAGAAGGGAACTGCCAGTACTCGTAGCTTCTCACCTTTGAGTTTCCAACCTTGCGAGGCACGAGATCCCCGGCAACCTGCCTTCTTTAGCTGTCGAATAAGACAAATAATAGAAGCTCAACAATTGCCTCGAAGCCTTCCAAGCCATCATGTCATCGACGCCACTTGACCTCAGCAAACCTAGTCGGACCATCAAGGTCGGGGTTCTGCTCATGGGAGGGTATGTCTTTCGGATCTCGAACACGCCTGTGAGACTGTTGCCAACTAACACATAAGATGTTCAGGGAGACCGAGATTCTAGATGTTGGAGCAGTGGACATGCTGCACGGCCTATCCAAGAGTTTCTACAAGGGTTGGGACGACAAATTCATTGACCCGAAGCTCAAGGAGCAAGCAATCGACTTCACATTCCATTGGGTAAATGAAAAGGGAACGCCAGCCAAGTTAACCGGAGGCATCACCCTTATACCTACGGTACGTATTCCGTGTGCCTCGCTTTGGCGCGCACACCCAGCAATGAAATCTGGGTGCGTCAGGACTGACATGAAGTTATGTTTCTGCGACTTTAGCACGATTTCTCAAATGCCCCAGCCTTGGATATCGCCATCATGGGCGCGCATGATATTACTTATCAGCCCAGCGAGACCGAACTTGCGTATGTCCGCAAAGCATATGAAGATAGCGTGGCCTTCATCGCCATCTGTGGCGGCATCCAAACGCCACTCCTTGCGGGATTATTCAAGGGAAAGTCGGCGACGGGACCGCGAGCCATGTTAGCTATGGCCAAACAGATGGGCCCGGATACCCAGTGGGAGGAAAAGCGCTGGCATAGAGATGGCAAGCTTTGGACCAGCGGAGCCTTGATCAACGGGTTGGACCTCATGTCTGCCTTTGTTCGGGAGTATTGGGGTGGTGAGGGAAGTCTGGCTGAATGGGTGCTTGCGTTGACCCATTGCCCTAGTCGAGATGTGTACTATGCCGACGCACCCACGAAGCTCTAGATGGCCCAGGTTCGAGTGGTCGTCGGATGGCGATGTGTGAACCCACTGGAGATATGAGCCAGCTAGGGTAGATGTCAAGAAAATTACTTGTGGCAATCGATTCTCATTCTAATATATACGTGGCATGGAAGTTGGTCGGACCCTGTCTATCGCGTTGCCAGGATAATAGTACTGGTGACGGAGAGTAGTAGAACTGTAGGAGTAGATGGTTGAGGATGCTGGGCAAGGAGCGCCTCGGTCATAACGGAAATAAGAATATGCACGCCAAGACATCGAACTGCATTGAGGCCACGCTTGACATTCCGTTCATCGACCATCTCCATTCTTCACATGCTCACCACCGCACCGCACCTCCCCGTCCTCTCCTCTGTCCTTGGTGAATGCTCGACACAGCCATTACCTCCAGCCAGCGTCGATGCATTTCTTCAAACTCCTGGCGCTGACTGCGCTATCCTGGACGGCCGTCAGTGCCAAAAAGGCCGCCTCGTCGAGCACATTCGACACCTACTTGGGCAAACAAGCCTCCTCCGCACCCTTTGAATTGGACGAGAAGGCATACAATGACTTGACGGCTGCACCTCGAGACTATGCCCTCGCTGTCCTCCTGACTGCCCGGGATGCCAAATACGCTTGTCAAGTCTGCCGAGCATTCGATCCGGAGTGGAAGATTATAGGGAACAGTTGGCAGAAGGCTGACAAGAAGGGGGCGCATCGGGTTCTGTTCGGCACTATCGACTTTGACAATGGAAGAAATGTGTTCATGAAGGTGAGCTCAACTGTCACATACCGGCACTTTCTACATTTTGTAGACACTTGCTTACACCAGTCTTCCCCAACAGCTACAACTCCAAACCGCACCGGTCCTCCTCTTCTTCCCCCCAACAGTCGGCGAGAACGCAAAGCCCGACGGCCAGCCCATCCGCTTTGACTTCCTGGGACCGCAGACCGCAGAGGGCGTACACGGCTGGATTACACGCCAGCTACCCGCCGGAAACTATCCAGGCGTCAGTCGACCCATCAACTACGGCAGGATTGGCGCGACCATCACGATCCTCCTCGGCCTCTTCACCTTCGTCACCGTGGCATACCCCTACATCCTGCCCATCGTCCAGAACAGGAACCTGTGGGCCGGAATTAGCTTGGTCCTGATTTTGCTATTTACCAGCGGCCACATGTTCAACCACATCAGGAGAGTGCCCTACGTTGCGGGCAACGGACGCGGTGGAATTAGTTACTTCGCGGGTGGTTTCTCAAATCAGTTCGGCATGGAGACCCAGATCGTCGCTGCAATGTGTGAGTATTGGATATCCTAGCGTCCTAACCTTTTCGATGCTCCTGTGCTAATGTCTCCAAATCAGACGCTCTACTGGCTTTCGCCGCCATCAACTTAGCACTGAGAGTCCCACGGATTAAGGACTCACGCACGCAACAAGTGGCTGTCATCATTTGGGCATCGGTGGTCTTCGGCATGTACAGTTTCTTGATGAGCGTTTTCCGTATCAAGAATGGCGGCTACCCTTTCTGGCTGCCTCCATTCTAGTTGCACCGGGAATAGCCATAGGGTGGTCCAAGTCCAGGTAGCTACTTACCAAACGAAGGAAAAGCGACGAGAAAAATGTACGATATCACCCTTATAGAGATAGGCTTTAAAGTCTTCCGCCAAACCCTAAGGAAAAGGAGGGTGGAGATCCATTTAGGTGGGAAATAGAGGAAGAAGATCAAACGACAATTCATCGATTAAATCGATAAGTGTATTAAATGGTCTCATGTTCCATACAAAATTATCAACACACAGAATCAAGAAGAAAAATTGGCATCCATCCGTCTATATCCTCTTTCGTAAGACATTTCCCGGTTCGTTCATGCGACGTTGAATATCATTGTTGTCGTCATCATTCACAGTCCCAACGGAGAACACCAGCGCCGACTCTATCATCTCAGCTTTTCCAGATCTACACATTTCTAGCTGAGCCCAAACTCCCGTACAAATATACCTCGGTTTCCAAACGTGATAAAATTACGCCAGAATAGAAGCGACTCTAAAAGGACCGGGCGAGTAAAAGGGAGCCGGTGGACGTGTTGCAGAGAGAACCGTGTGCAAGAGTGCACAATACGCTCCATCTCCGAACAGTGTTGCTGTCCTTCGTGTGTGTGTGTTGGCTTGTTTGAGGCTTCTAGCCCCCTGGTGGGTTTGGATTCAAGGTTGTTATCGGACCGCGGCTCGGCCACTACGGAAGCAATGGAGACATGAGAAAGGTAGAAGAAGACCAAGTGCGTATCAGAAGAACATCAGTGCTGGGTTGTGAGTCTCGCTCCAGAAAGGAGAGTCAAAAAGGCAAAAGGCGATTGCGGAGGAGCGACTAATTGAGCTGACCGTTGGAGGCACACCTGGCACCGTCATTCGAGCTAGACACAGGCCCTTGGGAAACAAAGGAGGCCGCGCCATTGAGCGGGAACCTCCAGATCTGGCCGGTGGCATTGTCTGACGCGAACAAGCTGCCGTCGGGGGCGGCGTAGCCGGCGCCCCAGGTGTTTCCAGCGACGGAGCCGTAGCTGCGCAACTGGGTCCAGGCCTTGGTCGTCATGCTGAACTGGTACAGGAAGGAAGCGCCAGTCCTGGAGGCGATCGCGTACAGATTCTGGCCTTGGCCCGGCAGGAACACCCAGTCGATGACGCTGAGGTCGCTAGGCAGGCCGGTGGTGCTGCCGGAGTCGACGAGGCTGCCGAAGTTCGAGGCTCCGGGCACCATGTTCACGCGTGCCCAGGTGGTGCCGAGAAAGTTGAGCCAGAGGATGCCGCTGGAGTCGATGTCGCCGGCGTTCCAGCTCATCGACCCCGAGGCCGGGAGGGTGGAAATCCTCGTCAGTGTCCCGTCCGGCGCAAGCCGGTTGATGGTCCGGTCCGTTGCCGCGTACCCGTAGATGAAGTTGTCCAGCAGGTTGTATCCGATGGCGTTCATGGATTTGCCCACGCTCGACTTGACTAGCGTCGGGGCCCCTGTGCTAATGTCTATGCGGTAGAAGGCTGCGGACTGGATCAAGTACGCGTTCGGATCACAGTTGAAGGTAGGCCCCACAACAAAAGTGGTACTCGTCCTGGTTGTGGTCGTCGTCGTCGTCGTGCTAATCGTCGTGCTTGTTGTGGCCGTGCTCGCTGTAGAGCTTGTTGGAGTCGCCGTTGAGCTACTTGTCGTTGTTGAAGGACTAGTGCTTGTAGTAGTCGTACTTGTGGAAGCTGTGCTTGTTGTAATTGCTGTGGAAGTGGGAGCCGTATTGGAGGAAGTGATGCTGCTCGCCGTGCTTAGACTACTGCTGGCGTTAGGAAGGCTACTAATGCTGCTGGCAGTTGAGGTGGATGATGTTGTGAGAGCACTCAAAAACGTTGTAGTCAGTGTAGAGCTAGTGCTTATAGTGGTAGATATAGGTCCCGCGGTGAATGTGGATGTTGCAGTCAGCGAAGAAGTAGAGCTAGAGCTCGTGGGTTCTGTTGAGGTCGTGGAAGAGCTCACATCGGTTGATGAACTTACTACACTAGTTGTCGAGCTTGCAACTCCATTTGATGACGTCGTCGATGAGTCGCTTTCAGTTGTTAAACTCGACTGGCTTGAACTTGGGATTGTGGTAGATGAGTCTGCTGAGACACTTGAAGTACTAGTTGTAGAGTCTGTGGAACTGGTGGTGGTAGAATCTATCGAGCTAGTAGTTATAGCAGACTCTGTGGTGCTGGTTGTTGTGGAATCTATCGAGCTGGTGCTTCTGGTGCTTATAGTCGGCTCCACTGAGCTAGTGGTTGTTGTAGAACCTGCAGACGTCGTAGTGGGAGCAATACTTAAGCTAGTAGTCGGAGAATCTGCTGAGCTCGTGGTTGTGGGGCCTATTGAGCTGGTTGTGGGGCTGAAGCCTGTCGTGGTGGTAGAGTCTGTTGAGCTAGTAGTAGTGGATTCTATTGAACTCGTGGTCGATTCTATCAAACTTGTAGTGCTGGGATCCGCCGATGTAGTAGTCATGGTGCTACTTGTCGAAGTAGTGGAGGAGGCAGGATTATTTGAATTAACGGAAGAGGCGACGGAGCTAGTGCTACTAGTAGGTTCCACGGAATTAGTAGTCGAGGAATCTGTAGAAGTGGTTGAAGCCACATAGATAGGCGTTGTGGTTGTGGAAAGCGAACTTGTAGTGGTATCGGAGGAGGTCGTGATATCAGAAGTCATGGTACTGTCAGTAGTGGCCGAGAAGTCCGTGGAAGTACTTGAAGTGGCTGGTGTTGTGGTAGTAGAGAGAGAACTAGTAGTTCCATCAGAGGATGTTGTGATATCGGAAGACGTTGTAATCTCAGAAGACGTGGTAGCCGAAGTTGGAGTACTGTCAGCGGTTGTAGCGATATCAGAAATAGTTGTGGAGTCGGTGGAAGTGGTTGATGAAATATAGGTTGGTGTTGTCGTCGAGGTGGAGAGCGAACTTGTGGTTATATCAGAGGACGTAGTGGTATCGGAAGTTGTCGTGCTGTCGGTAGACGTGGTGGTATCCGAGGATCTAGTGGTATCCGTAGACGATGTTGTGGTAGCAGAAGACGTCGTAGTGGAAGCATCGAAAGACGTAGAACTCAGTGAGCTTAAGCTTATCGATGTCGTGGTTTGAGAAATCGGATTTATTGTGGCTGTTGATGATGTGGTAAGCGAGGTTGTGCTTGTAAAATCGGTCGTGGTCGTTGTCGTTAATATTGTTGTGGAAGATGTCGAGCTTGAAGTACCTGTCGAGGATGTAGTACTTGAGGTATCAGTTGAGGACGTCATTGTTGGATTATTAGTCGAGCTTGATGTCAAGGAGTTAGTTGTGGTAGCGTCTGTTGATGTGGTTATGGAAGTCATACTTCCTGTCAGCGAAGAAGTTGTGGCCGAGGATGAAGTGGAGCTGGAAACCGAGTTTGTTGAGGTAGAGCTAGTTGGGCCAGTCGTCGACACAGACAATGATGTGGTCGAAGCAGAGGTTGTCCGGGAAATAGGCATGATACCTGATGTTGGAGCAGATGTGGTAATCGTTGGCAAAGTTGAGGAACTGCTAGACAGGGAAGAGGTGGAAGAACTGCCCGTGAATGTTGTTGCAAAAGTCGGAAGCACACTCACACTACTGGCTAGGCTTGTAGTTGTTGAAAATTTCGAGCTGATATCTGTTGTCCTTGAGAACATACTTGTTGATGTAGAAGACTGGACAGGACCTGTTGAAGAGGAGGCGGTACTGGTGGGAAGAGCACTGCTTGTTGTAACAGAGGTGATCGAACTTTGAAGTGTCTTGCTAGTCGATGCAATGATTGGGGCATTTGCCGCTGTCCTTGTGGTTGTCGAGGTCGTGGTGAGAATCATGCCACTCGTAGTAGAGATGCTCGGACTTCCAGGCGTTGTACTCGACGATGCAATCATTGGAGCATTCGTAGCTGTACCTGTGGTTGTCGAGGGGGCAATGGCAGCAGTCACACTTGAACTTCTAAGCGTTGTACTGGTGGATGCTATGATCGGGGCAATCGAGGCTGTGCCTGCAGTTATTGAAATGGAAGAGGTGGACATGATAGAACTTGTCGTGGACACAAGTATAGGAGAAAGCACATTGTTACTTGAGGTAGTGAGGACGGAAAGTAAGGCGGTACTGCTGCTGGATACAAGTATAGGAGAAAGCGCACCTGCACTTGATGAAGTCGGGGTAACAGCCGTAGTCAAAGAACCCACAGTGGCTGTAGTCATCGGAGTCGTCGTTGGAGAACCAGCGGGAATGCTATAAGTTGAGGAAGATGACGAGGTTCTCCCATCAATTGGGCTTACAGAGAAGCTGCTGCTGCCTGTGGGAAGCATGTTGGTCGTAGCAGGGAGATTCGGAATCGTCGAGCTTGTGAAGATTGTGGAGGACGTGGTTTCCCAATAGTTCGGGCTGCTAGAATATGGCGGAATCGAACAAGGTTCACTGTAGTCGGGCCAGGACATCCATTGATCTGGCAGCAGAGTGGTGGTTTCAGTGGATGGTGCGGTCTCACAGGGGGGGTCATAAGTCAATGTAGTCGTCAGCGTAACGGTGATTTCGAAGGTTGTAGGACCTCTACACGATCTGGTTACATGGAACCAGCAGGGGATGGCGGCAGCTGTCTCTGTGGAAGGTGGCAGTGTCGAGGTCCGGAGAGACGGGTTCCCTCCCTTATATACCGTTACCGTAATAGTCCTTGCTGGAAGAGCTATAGTCCGCGGTGGAGCTCGCCGAGAGAATTTCCAGGTATAAATACCGGCGGTGGTGACTACTTGGGTCGTTGTTGCTGTCACAGTTATATCGGTTGTCATTCGAGGGGCTGGAATTGCCATCCGAGTTTCCATATATCGGACACATTCAGTAACTGGACCTGAATACCAACATTTCCTCACAGCCATTCTCTGTATCTGTTCACCATTAGCGTGGGGTAAGCATCCTTCACAAAGACCTCCTCCACCATAACCGGGAATAGCGAGAGGCCCAATGTGCTCGTACGGAGCATATTTCTGAAGAGCGACAGTTGTATAGAAATATTTAAGAGAAGGATGGTGGTGATACTTCGGTCTGCCTCTTTGCTTTGCATTTATCGTACTTGTGCTAGTAATAGTTTGAGTCTCTTCTGCACACAGGACCATCTGCTCAACACTGGTCACCATTGTTGTAGAGACGAAATCTCCATCCCATGCACAAGGAATCTCTGTTGAGACCCAAGGATAGGAACGGAAACGAAGTGAAGTTTGGCAGGCACCACGGAAACATGCTGTTGTCGGAGCACATGTTGATACAATCTGGTGTTGAGATGTGATGGTGATAGGAGACAATGTCCTTGTAGCAGCAGGACATGGAATAAAAGTTGTTAATGGTTCTGCTATCACAGCCGCCAGCAAGGAAATCCCAATTGCAAACGCGGCCATCTCGTAGGTCTATTCCAATGGAGAGAGGAGGTAAGCTTGGTGAGACGACACACAGATATGTTTGGACATCTTCTGCATTTGATATGGAAGAAAAGGGGAGTGCAGCAAGACAGCAGTGTTTGCCAGTCACTAGCAGCATGGCCTCCAGGCCCTGTAGCAGGCGGGCTTTCAAATGAAGCATTGCTCAGAAGTTGCCCAGTTCAAAACAGTGCTCGATGTGGTGGCTAATCCTCGCAAGGCTAGAACTCAATTTCCAGCCCAAGTCGACAGAGAGGATTGAGACAACCAGGTTCCAGAGGAAAAGAAGTAAGCCAATGTCTGATTGGCGACTTGGGTTGGAGTGCATAGACCGGAGGTCGATGGACGGCCAAGCAGTTGACAGTACAGCCCCCAGTATATCAAAATGATTAATCCAGAGATCGACACATCGGGATTAGACCGCTCTCAGATCATCGAACACTCGTGTCGCTAATGGCTGGCTATCGTTGGTTCAGAAGTGGGTTGTTTTCCTTCACCTTCTCACTCTCCCGCCTGGAATGCAAGCCAACCAAGTCCCAGGAAGTCATCTTTGGAAAGAGGAGAATAAATCCAGCTACCTGTTTGAATGGTGCTCGAAGGGTGATCTGGTTTGAGAGCTGCCTGAAAAATCTATGTAGTCAACCATCAAGACCAACCATGAATCCGAACATACGGCAGTCCTGGTAGCCAGTGACGTGTTGCCAAGTGGGTTTCCAAGAAGTTGGATGTTCTGACAGTGTCGATACATCCACATACACGCATCGGCAATTTTTACTAGGGAAATTCCTGGGGCTGGTGCAATAAAGTGGAAGTACCGATCCTTGAACGCCTCTATGCTTTGCATGACATCCGGACAAGGCACAGGACCAGCCTACCTTCACACATGCGGTCCAAACCAATGAATGTTCTATCTGTCTTCAAAAGAGAAGGTTGGGCGAGTTCCAACCAACATAGCGCAGAAAACACCGGCTGCACAAATCTTTCTGCAGAGCGTAGAAAATTCTGGCTGGTCGTGGAGTACATATGGTGAGACGAGGTCGAATGCTTAGAGACGAGGTATCCGAAACCCGGTGAGGATCGGCAGGGACGTTATTGGGGAATGCTTAAGCTTTTGCGGGACGTTGCCAACGATCTGACAGGTGTCTAACATAAGGGAGATCTTGAACCCACTGCCAGGAATTTCGGGATTGCCATTCACCGTTTTAGCAAGGCCAAAATCCCATCACCGCCACCGCCGCAGTCCTTGACATTTGATTGCTTGGTCAATGCTCTGAGATGCCGGACGTTGATGATCGCCAGCTCGCCCCTGGAGTGCCAGCCGTTGCGTTAATTTAGACGCTCAGCTGTTGAAGCGGGAAGTCAATTGGAGAGACGTTTAACCTTTCCTGACGATTGTTGTGTTGATGCATTCTCGAGCATTGGGTGAAATTCGGCCTTTAGGCTCACGTCTGCTCAACTTCCCATTGAAGATGAAGGCTTTGCGGCGCGTCTTAAGACCATGTGGCCTGAGAAGTCCCGTGCAGTCAGGATAAACATGCCGCTATATGAGGCCGAGACAGAAAAGGGGGCGGAACAGGAAACATAACTCTCACTGACAGTATTGTTATGAGGGCGGCTGGAGAGAATCTGGTGGTTTGGAACGGCGGGAAGGGGTACTTGGCAGTAGACTGATCATATCAACACCAATAAGAGCAGTCTACGGCGTGTTCCCTACCGTGTGCTAGCTACACCAATCTGGCGTGCATCTGTGCTCCCCATGTACCCAGTTTCCTTGCGGGCGTAAAGACAACCACTCTACTCTAGGCTCTAGCTGGCCACCACTAGGCTCTTCCCTGAGCAACGAACCAATACCATAGGGGACGACTAACAACAGGAGGAAATTATATACCGTTCAGCATCGCTTGACCACCGGACGTCCGGGACTGCTTCTCAGAAGGAATCCCAAGAAAAAACGTTTGCGTCGAGTAGATCTGGTGTAAATTCAAACGACAAGGGTATAGTCCGCCCTACAAATTTTCATTCGCATTTTTCAATAAGATTATCCTCCAGGTAAACCGCAGGATGTCACCGAAGTGCCCTTTTGAGAAGCTGCAACATTGATTAGAGGATTGATGTGACAAGCGTGAAATTATGTCTGCTACTGACCTCCACGCGTTCCTGCTCAATCTGGTGTTGACTCAGCCCAGTTTCGCCAAACGCCCGGCTGATCATATCCACTTTGTTTTTCTGAATCTGTTGGACATACTGGATCGATTGTATCAGTATGCGGGACCAGACAATACAAAGCAAGATCCTACAATGAAAAGACTCACCTCCTCAATCGGATCTTTCACAATATAGCGGGTTGCTAGCACTTCACGAGTTTGCCCCAGTCTGTAGACCCTATCGAGAGCTTGTTCCTCTGCCATAGGATTCCAGTGCGGTTCCATGAGGTGTACACGATTTGCTGCTGTTAGATCAAGCCTAGGGAACCACCACATCAGAGAAGGAAATACTAGGACAATCAATGGACATACCCGCAACCAGCACCATCAATGGATGCTAGCATGACGAGACAATCTGAGTCGTCACGAAAGGCTTTCAACGCATCACGTCGTTGAGATAGTGGTTTGCTTCCATCGATCCGCTGCATCATAAATCCATTCTGATTTAGAACAACCTCGATGAGATCTAACATTCAAGTCCAGCAGGAGAAAACAACACTGCATGCTATTAGGGCTAACAGATCACAGGTTTGGATGAGCATTACTTACCTCTTGTAGGGCTGTTCGGTTGCCACTAATCGATCTTGTTGGAGGTTCTGGAGGAGGGCGATGATCTTGGCCGAAGATTCCACCAGACTTCATCAGGCTTCGGGAAAACAGCCTTCAATCCCGGGCTGGTACGACTATAGCTTGAGGAATCATTGTTGCAAACGGGACAAACAACACTCCAATTTGCAGTTCTCTCACATTCATGATTCTGAGCCATGTGAAGACATTTGTGACATAACGAGTGCGAGCAAGGCAAGTCTTGCTCTGCTAGATCAATGTCCTGAGTACAAGAAACCACTGAATGACAATTTTCACATCTGTCTTGCTGTAACCTAGATTCGTAGAGGGTTTCGCCATGATGATCCCCAATGGCAGCCAGCAGAGCTGGCGCCAGAAATGCAGTGCTGTGATTGCATATTTGTCGGATTTTAGTTAAGGGGGGTAAAATGTTGCCCACATGTTGAGTACTATCGGGGCCGCGTTCGAGGTCGAAAACAATGTTTGCGGCCCGTTTTCTGAAAATTTCGTAGACGGGACCTTTCTATGCCTGCAAGTACAATGGATTGAACCTCCACCTGTCTTACAGGAAGGTCACTTTTGCTCAACTCTGATCTCTTTGTACGTCGCAGCGAAGTGGCCTGGACAAGGGTCTTTAGGTTTTCCCACCCTTCATTTTTGCCTGATTGATTTGGATCCGCAATGTAGTGGCTGAATTGCTGTTTGGACAAAACCGGGAATATCCGGAGAAATTTCAGAATTGCACCGTAGTCTTCGATCCTGTTCTGAACGGGAGTCCCAGTCAGACACCATCGATAGTGAGCTTTAAGGTCACAGACAGCTCTATGCTTTGCTGAATTACTGTTCCGTATCACATATGCCTCGTCAAGATGACACGATACCAAGTGTGGGCAAGGAGAGGCTTCTTGGCGTGTCTGGACCGTTTCTGTGCTCGGTGTCTCATAGTTAGTGATGACAATGTCATGATCCAGGGACGCGAGGTTCAAGGGTTCCCGAGTCAGACCGTGGTAGACAAAATGTTGTAGAGACTTGGGCAGGAAATGTTTTCGAATCTGCTTCTCCCAGACTGAAATTGCTGTCTTGGGTGCAACAACCAGAGACATTTATCGGTGCCGCCGACAATCGGTCTTGAGGCGCTTGCTGCTGTTGCTTACGGCAATTGACGATGCAATAGGTGCCAAAGTAGCAAGTGTCTTCTCGAGTCCCAATCGTCTGCAATGAGGCCACCACGGCGTAGCTCAGCATCTTGCTCTTCGAATGCTTTTGTAAACACATTGTAGTATCTCTTTTCTCCCAAAAAATCACGACCTTGCCACAAGGAAGGAAAATTGGCACCCTGGATGACTTCGTTCTCTTTTTCGAACATCATAGCAAGAGCCAGTATTTGGTAGTCTTTCAGAGTTGTCTTTAGGCTGGATGCTATTTGGGGCTTCACAAATGCTGAAGGTCCCTTGAGCAGAATGGAAAATTTGGAGTACACGGGCTTGACCGAGTTCATCGAGTACTGATTCATCTGGGTAAGTAACGATACCTGAAGAGATATTGTTTTGCGGTATGTCTTTGTTTCTTCCTGGCCAAGAGAGGTAGTGTGGGTTCAGATATAGCTTGGTAGGGTTGATCTCTTGAGCTTGTTGCAAGAAAACATCTTTAGTCGATAACAGAGCTCCAACTGCACCAGCATCTTCTCTTAGACCATAAATGCTGGTCTGAAGCTTGTATTTCCAGAGTGAATCTTGCTTGGAGTGGTCGTGGGGCACAATAGAACGGCGATATGCAACCATGAATTGCTTGCTCAATCGACCCATTACTTGCCCAGTCGTCCTATCAGCAACACCAGCAAATTTACCAGAGTTTTCGTGATACAAGGAAACAAGCTCTTCTTGCAGCTCTAGGCGGACCCCTGTCGGAGATTGATCTTGATCTGGTACAAAGTTTGAGTTCAAGAAGCTGGTTTGGATCTGTCAAATGAATTAGCTTCCCATGTACTCGACTTCAGAGCATGTGGATTTCAAGCCGTACAACCCCGACTACGTAGGTTCTCCTAAAATTTCACATGGAGAGTGCAGGGAAGACCAGACATACCATTCCGAAACATGTATCACACATCTTGCAAGTACAGTCAGGGTTGCAAACATAATCACCGCCCATTACCTTGTTGTCCTCTGCTGGGCTCGCAACGCTGCGTTCACTTGATTGCGCAGAGGGAGACGAGGTCTGGGGTGTATCTTCTGCCGAGGGCAGTTGTTCAGTCGATAATGAATAGTTGTCCCCTTCAAGCTTCATGGAAACATCCACCGCCTCATATTCGAGAAGGCCATTGTCAAATTCGCTGCCTGCACAGGAGAGCGCATCTAAGGGCGTTTCTTGCAGGCCGGCTGAGTAAACGACCTCCTAATCAAAAGACCATGGATACCTCTCTCCGCTGCGTTCGATAGAAGGCTGGTCATAATCGGGCATATATTGATCTTCAGGAAATATCATGGCTCGAGTGCATAGCCCAGACTTATCTGACCGACCCTGGAAGGGAGAGAGAACACAGTATTCACTTTTGCTCTTGCACCGTTTTACATTCGGCTCAGAACCCGATGTGGGAACCACGTCCTCAGAGGGATCAGCATCTCCACTATATGCAAACAATCTCTTTCGGCACTCTATGGAGATGTGACTCTCTTCACAACAAGAAACATAGTTCAGCGCTTGGTCTCGAGGTTCGGCAGCATAAGCCCATTTCGAGATTGAAAGTTCACAATCGATTTGCATCAGCTCAGGCTGGCAGGATGGGGTCCATGAAGTTGAGGTCTGAATGCTCCAGGTGGACTCGTGGATCGCAGAGTGATATGGTTTGGAGACATTCATTCTGTGAGAGCAAAGTCTGGTCCCTACCTGAAAAGAGATGTTGAGAAAACCTTGAGGTGCCAGCCGTACGGTGGTGGTGGTCCAGACCTACTGTGTGTACAAAGTAGGTATGCGGGAGTAGGCCACCACCTAAGAGATTGATCTTCTTCTTTGAAGCGGAATTGAGACTGTGCTTCGGGAGTTTCAAAATTTCCAGAATATCGATGATGGCACAATCTGACTCACTTTTATCCCGCTCCAGGAGATAGCACATCTGGGACTGTCCAAATTGCAATCTAGTAACATCAAATCTGTTGTTCCTCAGAGTGAGAATTGTGTTAAGACGCTGTTGTGGATTTCTCGTTCGGACTGCATAATAGAGTGCATTCCAAAAGAAGTTGGGCCTCGGCCACTCTATATCAGCCAACCCAGTTTCGTAGAGTTCGCAACCACGGGTGAGAAGATATTCCATAACTTCCAGGTTGCAAGCTGCAGTGGCCACAATCAGCGGTGTGCTCCGTCTCAACCCGAACACGGTCTCGGTATGAGCCAAGTCAATAGATTTGCCAGCACCGAGAAATTGTGCAACCATCGCGCTAGTAGAGTCGCGTAGAGCAACAAAGTAGAGTTTGTCAGTCAGTTCCTCTGGAGTATCTCCAAGGCATTTTGAGACAAAGGCGACTTCGTTGGCCTTCACTGCCTCCGTCAAAACAGCCTCGACACCCTCCGGATCGATTTCTTGGATAGATGGGCGCTTCACCAGGACGAAATCCCCATAGATGGCATTGATCCACATGTTGAGCTAGATTATGCTCAGATTTAAATCCGATTTCACCAAAGGTACAACCAGATTTTGGACATTTAAATGGCCTGTCATGGTCTAGGAGATGCTGGTCTCTATCTCTCTTGGTGTCAAACCCGTATCCGTGATGGACGCAGGCTATCTTGTCACACTTATGGAGGTGCGGTCCACATTCATTTTTCAGCCTCTGGCAGTGACAGTCTGGTCGGTGTTCTGTTTCGGAGCAGAGCAAAGAATCAAGCGTTTGGTAGAATTTAGCATAAATAGGGAATATATTGAGGGTGGTTTCAGATTTAAAGAGCGTCACTATCAAGGAAGAAGATGGTCAGTGGAAAGCAATTGGCTTGGAGAAGTCCGGCCACCTGAATTTAAGCTCTTAAATGGCGCTTTGAGCATCAAGAACGCATTTCCCATTGATAAGGTGTTTGAAAGATCTGGCCAACTGTTCTGGATAGAGCAGAAATCCCGACCCTTCGGTTTTCCAGTATGTGAACCTGCAATTTGATCGTAGCTTTGCATATGCTGCACTAGGTCCGCGACCTGTTCACAGAGAGAATCTCTCTCCTCCCCATCTATGCAGCTTTCAAAGTAGAGTTTCAATTGGGCAATCAATTGAGTTTGTTGCATAATGGAAGAGAACTAGCTCCCCTGAAAGAATGGCTTGTTCAAATTCGTCATCCGTTTCGTGACTGAAGCATCCAAACCCGAGGTACGTGATGCATGTCCGGCAAATGTCAAGTCGGGAAGATTGGAGGTCGATGATAGCAGTGGTTTGTTGGTTCACGAGAAATTTGCAGAAATGTTAGCATCAATTCCACGTAAAGCAGTCTGGTTCGATTACTGTGTCGCGGTGAAATGAGCAAATCGAATTCTGTCCCTCTGAATTTCAACGATGAGGTCGCACAGATGTAACACATTGAGGAAAGCTCTTCGCCCCATCGACATCCCTTTGTCCCGTCTCGAATAGAGAATGCGATCTCAAGCTCACGCTTTTCAATGGGTACTTGGGATGCATAAACTCAATTCAAGATTCTCTTCACTTGGTCGCAGTCCTTTGGCGGCAATTGCTCCGTGAGTCGTCGGAGAATGCGATCATATCTAGGAGAGCTGCGTCAGCTTTGATCGCTCAGGGACTCAAATGTAAGATTTACGCTTCATCAAGCCCACGGGGAAGTGTAGCTAGCTCCTCCTTAACATCATGCAAACTACTCTGATGAGAAATGTTGTCTAGTACGAGTCTAGCATAGAGAATCATTTTGATAAAGAGGGCTTCGAGATAAGCAGAGGTGCTGGACATGTACCTGTAATTGCCTTGCACTTCTCGACAGAGCACCTAGTGCAGGTCTAGATTTTCGAGCATCAATTAAAAGATCAACGATTGGAGACCTTTGGCAGTTGTCACTTTCTTGTCCTGGAAACTGAGGAACGTAAATAGCGTGCAGCTGTTGATTTGGGGCTGAGTGAGTTCGACGACATAAGCCGAGAGAAATGATTTTCCTACCTCCAGTTAGACCAAGTAGGGATCAATTCTTCGACTTTCGATGGATAGCTAACTGCTCAGGGAATTCCTTCAATTCGAAGAACCTGCTTCAACTTGTTGCTAGCGTTTGCATTCAACCACTTGCAAATTCCTCATTTCTTTCAATCTAGGCCCCAAAGTCCAGAGAACGCTGCCTGCGAAATCTTTCGAGGTCGTCGTCGTCTTGGGGACAAAGACTGCTGTACAGTAGCAAAACCATGGCGGTGCTGAAACTCTTCATCACGTTCGCAGTTCTTCACAGCCTCAGCATGTACGTCCTGTGCATCCCTAATGCTGGCCAGAGTGACTTCGTTGCTGATAAGCGTTGTATGCTGCTCGATGTTATTCATGATAATGGTGATTTTGTTGCCGTACTTGGGCTACATCGATTCAAAGTAGAGCTCCCATTCTACAGGGATATGAGGCATTAGTGTGTCCTTCTGATAGTTTCAACTTACTTTTTGATTTGGAAAAATTCAATGCCGTAACATGGAATTCTAATATATCTCAGAGAAACACAAGCAACAGCCTTTTCAGAGTATGATTGGATTTGAACAGCTCAAAAATTTCTTGAAGTGAGGCAGGCGATCTCCGATTTGACCCATTGTATCAATGATTTTGTCATAGCTTTTGACATGAGTAGTGGATATCTAGATGCAAGGATATGAGCCACTTTAAGTCCGAGGAAGGTGCAGGCAGAGATCCAAGCGGCCTTACCTGAATCAAGAGTTAAATGGGACCCTGTTGGAGTTTTGTTAGGATGATGGCGACGCTCAGCGGGTAGGTGGTTTTGCAGGACATCTTACCCAGATGAGTGATAAGAAATCCCCCTTGGCCTGCGACAGGACATCGATGACTCCCACGTATTGCTGCAGGTTTTGGAGGTATGTCTGACTCTGTTCAAATATCGCATGTTCCCACTTCGGGCCTGTTCCGTCTGAAGCTTTTCGGTATAGTCATAAACGTCGTCAACGGATGTAAACTTGGAAAAGTCAAAATCTTGAGGCCGTTTGAGGTCTTTGAAGAACTCTCTCTTCGCGATTTCATATGCTTCTTCAAAGTTGGAAGGTAGCAAGGCTGCTATTTCTCAGCCTTGTTCCGAGCTATGTTACAAAATGGCGAACTCCTGCCTTATCGAGAACACTGAAATGTCGGTCAATTCCAGAGCGTAGTATTCGGAAGTTCTACCGCTAGAATTGTGTTAACATCGGATGGAACCAAGACTGGAACTAAGTTAGAGCATTGCAAGAGGAAAATCCCGTCTCTTCTGCCCGCCGAAGTAAAAGAACGCCTGGGCGTCTGCCCTGCCTCCAGTCGACGCCCAAATTATTAGCGAGACTAATAAGGGCTCAACATTGAAGGCTCTGGTTAGTTCGCCAGGTCATACCCGTACGTTATGCACCACCTCGCAGGCCTGCGCCTTCGTTCAGCCTCACTGGGCGAACACATTTGGCTATTGAAGAGGATCGGGCTCACACTGTGTACCCAATGAAGGCGTACGGGGCAGTCTCGCCAGACTAGCAAACAGAAAGGACTTCTTCTGATGTATAAATCGGGTAGCCCCGAGCTGGAGTTTCATGACTCGGGGAGACTCTCGCGACACTAAAACAAATTGACATATCGACGTCGCAGGTTGGAGACTAGGAGGCTCTTAATGCGTTCTGATGACTGCAGCTGCTACGTAGTTATTGCAGGTAAAGAGGCATCTAGATCATGACAGCATTTCAACTAGCGTGTAAGTGGCCTCGGTGGTTGCCAGCTTGCCCTACGAGTACTGGTTAAGTCATCCATGGTTGAACCTGGGCACGGGGTGGGCACTCCTAACAGTTAAGATTGATTGCGGGGATGAGATCCTCGAGCCTGGAGCCCCTCAGTGGGTTTACTAGACCTTCACTAAGAAGCCCCTAACCAGGACAACTCCCCTCCTATTGCCAGCCCTATTGGCGACCAATTTTGTTAAGCAGGTGGCTGGCGATTCAGTGAACAGGACAAGTCCTTGCGTAATGCAGGCAGTTACTTGCACCGCCAAGGACACCTGCCCACCCTGCCCACCCTGCCCGCATTGTTTCAGCACCTGCAATGACGGTGCCACGAACAGGAACGTGTCTCCCAATACCAATAGCAACATGCATTTTCTTAGGCTGTGAAAGCCTTGTAGCACTACGGGGTATAGTATCTGTATTTCTCTAAGACCCCTTCCCTTCCAAAATGGACGAATTTGCTCAATCCAGAGGCGATGACGATTTGTTCGACGATGAGATTGTTCCCTTCGATACCCCTCCTTCACCAGAGAAGGTCGCCGCACAATTAGAACATATCTCGCTTCAATCCTCCTCTTCGGATGCTCCTGGTGAAGTGGACGCTGCTACATCACGTGCACCTACCGCTCGACACGACTCGTCTGAGGCCTTGAGAGCGAGACCTCGAGGACGAGGATCTAATGCCATCTCCAGAGCTGATCCAGGCAAGAGGGTCGGCTTATCAGAGTCGAAATGGGCAGCACATCCCGCGGCCTCTAGTAAACCCAAGTCCTCGGTGAAAGAAACTGCATCTACTTCCACTCTCGAAACACAGCCAGCACACGTCGAGACACCGGCGACATCCCATCAGCCTGAAGACTCTACCGCAGACTCAACCCCTACCATGAACACTTCAATCAGTTCTGTGAACCCTAATCCACGGCCTCCTGCCGTCCGCGGCGATCGAACAGCTACTGGTGGTGTCCGAAAACCAAAATTGACAGAGGAGGAACTCTCGGCAAAACTTGCAGAAGCAAAGGAGCGATCTCAAAATCGGGCGGCAGCTCATGCAAGGGCGCAGGCTGACGCCGCGAATTTTGAAGAGCGGGAACGAATCGCTGAGCAGAAGCGTGCCAAGGATCGTGTAGAGAGAAAAGTCATGGACAACGAGCGAGAGAAGAATCGACAAAGAAAAATAGCAGTCATGGGCGGACGCGAATGGGATGCGGGCAAGAACGAGGAGGATTTCAGAGCAAATGGCAGCGGTAGAGGAGGCCGCAGAGGATACCAGCCGGGCCTGACGCCGCAGCAGTACTACGCGCAGGACGAAGATGACTTGAAGCAGTACGAATGGAACGAGGATAGAGGGAGGGGCCGGGGCACTCGTGGAAGAGGCGGTCGTGGCGGAAGAGGAAGAGGCCGCGGAGGGAGAGGCGGGTTCGGAAACGATGACAGAAACTCACCGCACTCCCAGCAGCAACCAGCCTGGTCGGCTGATGCGGATTTTCCCGCTCTTCCTGGCTCTGAAGGCACACAAAAGAAGCAAACAGGAAACGAAACGACTTCTGCAAGGCCAGGTCCGGCGAGATGGGCTTCTGGTGACTTGGCAACTTCAGGAAACGGGGCCGGCGGCGGTAGCTGGGCCGAACAGGTTGAGGCAAGTGAGCTGTGAATGCTTAACGGCTGACCAAGCCTAAGCCGGGCAATGACAGTAACGAATTGTACATATGGGACCAAGCCTGTGATGGAAATTTTGCATTTTGCGCATTTTGAGCATGTTTTGGAAAATGGTTGAAATAAAGCATCACGCCTAGACGCCGTTAGACCCTCCACCATGCACCCCGTCCTATTCGTACACGAGGTCTTGGATATCGGATGCCAAAGAATACTAAGAGGCCCTAAATAGGACACAGTGTGGATTTCCCTCTCAAACTCCTTCGCGATGCAGGGTATCATTTCACTTTTTGATTCTGGTCTCATGTCACCATCTTCCTCTTCCTCGTCCCCGATATCCTCCGCCTCCACGATAGCCTCTCCCACCGTACCCTCCTCCACGGCCACCCCAACCACCCCCTCCTCCATCTCCATAGCCGCCGTCATCATAACCTCTGGGTCCAGCAGGGCCGTTCTCCTCTTGTCGCATCGGCGGGGCTCGACCTTTTAGTTCCTTTTGTAGTGCCTCGTAAGTCCTCCGCATCTGCGCATATCCCAGATGCATTTTCCCGTAAAAGTGGTCAGCCAGGCGCCGGTCATTGTCGAGTCTAGATAGATATGCTCCACAGACATCACAAACTTGGAGTTTCTGATGACCGGACGGGCCACTGGTGTCCGACAACGATTTTAGATCCCGCTCTGCCTGCTCTTTGGCCATCTTAGCCGTGCGGACTTTGTAGAACTCGGCGCAAGCAAGACTCACGGACCCAGTCTCTGCGAGGCAATTAACCTCCAGCAAGCCGGTATTGACAGTTTTCGTCAGATCGGATATCGTCTTGAGCAGATTGTTCGTCTGTCTTATCTCATCCGGAGTCTTCTCCAACCGCCGCTGCGCCTGATCGATGCGCCGATTGCAGTCGTCGATGTATTTCTGTAGATCGCGCATGTAGTCGTAGTCGAAGCCGTGTTTGGCCTTCTCGGCCGGTGTGAGGTTCTCGTACTCGATCTTGAGGAGTTCTGGATGCGCTTTGGGACACGCGCCAAGGTCTTGCTTGGTATTGGTGAACAGATCGTGTGGACAAGTCCCGACCAGGTAGGATCGACACACGGTGGGTGAATTCAGTGTCAAGTTCGCATTTCTCGAGCTGGGCCCACCCATGTATTGATCGCCCATCAGCTGCTCAAGCAGCTTGCGCTGTTCGGCGGCCATGGTGGCGACTCTTCTGGGACTGGACGATCAGACTTCCCTAAAAGACTGGACTCAATATTTTCTTGAGGCCAATCGCGCGATAGATTGTTGTTGTCAAAGGCACTCCGGGAAGTGAGTTGGAGAAATATAGAATACCGCAAATCCTCTTGAATAATAGGCGGGCGCCATATGCGCTTATTCATCTGCCGCGCGTCTGCCGGCGCTTAAATTGTGCCAAAGTGTCGTCTTCGATTGATCGTACATCCACCCACATCAACGCCTGCATGCAACATTCAGGGATATCATGTTGGTAGCTTCTCTGACATGACGCCGGCATGTCCCGGTCTCTATTCTTTCTCTTGTTTGTCGCTGTCTTGGTCTTCACCGTCACTGCGACCGACTATTTCGAACAACTGACACTCACTCCTTTACCCCTCGGCTCCCTCCTCGCCTCCTTCGACTTCCGCAGTAATGAGACCCTAGACGACTACGAAGCACAAAACTTCAGGTACTTTCCTCGGTCCCTCGGCCAAGCGTTGAGGCATGCAGATGCCGAAGAACTACATCTAAGGTTTACAACTGGCCGCTGGGATCCAGAAACATGGGGGGCAAGGCCATGGGATGGAACAAAGGAGGGGGGAACTGGAGTTGAACTATGGGCATGGGTTAATGCTCCCTCGGAACAAGAAGCATTTGCCAAATGGACCACTCTGACACAATCACTCTCCGGCCTGTTCTGTGCCTCGCTGAATTTTGTGGATTCGACGAGAACCACCAAGCCAGTCCTCACCTTCAAACCCTCAGCGACCCAAGACAGCCGTGATAAGAACCTTCATCTCCTCCATGGTGTCCTTCCGGGAGAAGTCGTCTGCACGGAGAACCTGACTCCCTTTCTTAAACTACTTCCCTGCAAAGGCAAAGCAGGGATCTCTAGTCTGTTGGATGGGCATAAAGTGTTTGACGCCTCTTGGCAGAGTATGGCCATCGATGTGAGGCCCAAATGTGACCTGAGTTCAAGCCAATGCCAAATGGAGATCACCCAAACTATTGACGTGGTCCTTGATATTGAGCGTTCGAAACGCCCGAGAGACAATCCAATTCCCCGCCCTGGGCCTTCCGACCAATTGGTTTGTGACGAAACCAAGCCCTACCATTCCCATGACACCTGTTATCCGCGAGATCTCGATGGCGAGATGCCATGGTCGTTGAAGGATCTTTTTGGCAGAACAATGGCTGGGCAATGCCCACTTTCCGAACAAGAAGGACCAGATGCAAGCTCTATCTGTATAAATGTTCCCCATGAGCGCATGGTATTGATGGGCCTGACTGGATCTGAGATCAAGTCAGAACCCGGACTTCCAGAATCTCGATGCTATCAGCTGATGCCGCATGAGGAGTTCGATCTCGAACTTCCTCAGCAGAAGCTAAATTCTCAGCAAGATCTAGGCCATGAGTTGGTAAGAGCTGAAAGAACTATTACTGGGCACGGCGCAGCAAAGGGGAGCATGCGTACGATCTTCACCAATCCTTCATCCACAAAACCAGTGACTTTCGTCTATTTCGAAAGCTTACCTTGGTTCATGCGACCATATATTCACACACTAAAAGCACAACTGACGCAAACCGACTTCCCTTCTGGCTGGAAAATTATCACCGACATGTACTATCGACCAGCCATCGATCGACATCGAGGGACGCAGCTGGAACTAGTGATTTCTGTTCCTCCCGCTAGCACGGTGATGCTCACATATGATTTCGAAAAAGCTATCCTGAGATACACGGAGTATCCTCCTGACGCGAATCGAGGCTTCAATGTCGCGCCAGCAGTAATAAGGATTCTTCCAGACCAGAACTCCGGTGGGCATGCTAAGGATGTTTATATCCGAACGACGAGTCTGCTATTGCCGCTGCCAACTCCTGATTTTAGCATGCCCTACAATGTGATTATCTTAACGAGCACGATTATGGCACTCGCGTTTGGAAGCATCTATAACCTACTGATCAGACGCTTGGTAGCAGCGGATGAGGCAGGGGAAAGTCGCATTCGGCGGTTGTCTAATAAAGCCTCCGGGCTGGTGGTCAGGATAAAAGATAAACTCCGAGGAAAGGGAGAAAAAGTAGAATAATGCTTTGATGATAGTCCCAACCACTTGTTTTTCAATAGGGCTTTTGACTCTGTTGTTCAGTCTCTGCCATACTGAGGACTGGTCTTGCTTCTCACGGCATGCTGGCCAGACTGTAGCAGTACTAATCCTCGGGTCTGGAGGGCATCAGTTATTATCACATTATATGTACTCCGTGCACTCGGCCTGTTCGTTTAGGCCTCCCAGCACAAGAAACCAGGCAAACACGTATATCTGGGTCCCCTTATCGTGAGATGTCCACCTGCCACAGCAGAGCCAGCCTCGACGTCCCTTTGTAAATATGCAACTGAACAAGCAATGGAGTTGAGTCAGACCATGCAAGAATGTGGCAGGGTAGAATGTGGCATGTTTGTTCCATTTATGACCATTACGTTGTATCGGACGTATAGATAGTAGTTGGCAGTCATAGTATTAATCCGTGGGTATCGACCAAGAAAGTTGACTATTAATGTATTGATTCCGCTCAGTATATGACCTTCTCCCACCTCGGTCACCCCGTATCGTAACTCAACTTCTTTTCGCCAACAGCCAAACCCACTGATCAACAACGAACAAATCCAGAGGCCTGCACCAATAATTGGAAGTTGAACATAAGTAGACAAAGCCATGCAAACTAAAATCCCCATTCGACCCGCCAAATTAATCTCCTCGACCTCCCACCAGGTCCCTGGGAAACTGACCGTCACAGAACTGTTCTTCGAGGTGCCACTGGACCATGCTGACCCCGACGGATCCGAGAAACTGCGAATATTCTGTCGCAGTGCGGAAAGGTTTGAGAAGCCGGCGGCGCCGAAATGTAAGAAGCCGAAGACGAAGCAGCAACTCGACGGAAAGGCTGAGGATGATGGGGATGGGGACAAGGATCAATTGCCCTTGTTTGTCTATGTTCAGGGTGGCCCAGGGTTTGGGTGCCCGCCGCCCCAGGACTTTGGGATTACTGGGGAGATCTTGAGCAGGGGCTATAAGGTATGTGGTTCTGTTTTTGTTGATCTTCAACATTTGCATTTTTAGGCACGAGGAGGAATGGAGTTATGTGCCAGCGGATCGGTGGGCGAAAGAACCATGAAGTCCCACAACGACAGGTCGGTGTCATTCTGAACAGATGGTGCATGTCCTTCGTGGCTACATCATCTAGATATGAATGGTGACTTCGGTTTGGATGCCCACGAGCCGTATGGGTCTTTCATGGCTGACTGTCGGCTTTTCCATTTGACAGTTCATCACCTTCGACCATCGCGGCATGGGCCTCTCGACCACAGCGACAGCGGAAACCATCAAAGCCAAGGGCTCTCCTTCTGACCAATTGAACTACTTGCAGCACTTCCGCGCTGACACTGCCGTCCGCGACCTTGAGGCCATCCGCCTGTGCTTGACAGCAGGATATCCAGAGGAGAAGAAGAAATGGTCCGTCATGGGCCAATCGTACGGCGGCTATGTGAGCACCACGTACCTGAGCTCCTATCCGGAAGGGCTGAGGGAGGTCTTCACCCTCGGCGGCCTCCCGCCGGTCACACTGACCACAGGCGACGAGCCGATTCGCAGGTGTTTTAAGAGAGTTGCTCACCGGAACGAGGAGTACTACGGCAAGTTCCCTGAGGATGTGGACCGCGTGAGGACACTGGTCCAGTTCATTGAGAAGAAGAAGCCTGTCTTGTTGTCTGGCGTGGCGTTGACGGTGGGTCGCTTCCTACAGATGGGCATCATGTTTGGGTTCCACGGAGGGTTCGATATCGTGCACGATGTAGTGTTGCGTGCGAACAACGACCTCGAAATGTTTGGGTTCCTGACCCGCCCGACGCTGAGTGCCTGCGAAGGATTCCCCGACTTTGACAACCACGTCCTGTATGCCTTGATGCACGGCCCTCTCTATGTCAATGGAGACAAGTCGAACTGGGTCTTCGACCGCGTGTTCAAAGAGTTCGGCGCCTTCGCACACAAGACCTCGACTGAAGACAAAGGGAAGCAGTACTTCACAGGTGAGATGGTGTTCAAGGCCGCCTTTGACGAGAACCACGAGTTACAAGGTATCAAAGAAGTGGCAGAGCTGCTCGAGCAGAAGACCGACTGGCCGCCGCTGTACGATCCCGAGCAGCTGCGGAAGAACGAGGTGCCCATCTATGCGGCCATCTACGTCGAGGACATGTACGTCGATTACGGGTTCTCTTCCGAGACCGCCAGGATCATCAATGGTTGCAAGACCTTCGTCACGAATGTGCTGTACCATAACGCCGTAAGGGCCAGGGCGGCGGAGGTGATGAAGGGGCTCTTTGACTTGAGAGACGACTCGATAGACTGATTGCTTGGTGTGGGTGCTGGGATGGCCTTGAGAGAGCTGCCATTTGAGAACGTTTCTGTGCTAAGTGTCGAGGGTGATTGCTGCTAAAGATGATGCATCAAGTCGCATATCAAAGGGTCACGAACATAGAACCTCGGTGAATTTCATTAACCCCCGACCTCTATCTTGAGAACAGATGATCAATTAACATTTCATGACGTTTTATGTTTAGCGCCGTCTCCCCGCGCCAACAGCCTCTGCGCCCCTATCTGCAATACTAATAACCTCACCGATCCCAGCGGCCTCCTGCTCGTCCTCAAGGTCACGGATCTCCTCTCTGCAATCCCACCATCTCTCCTCAGACTGTTCGAACGCTCTCTTCCTGATTTCCTTGACTGATTGGTCCGAAGAGGCGGAGGTACCAGCGCCTTTTGACTCCAAGACAAGCTTCTGCCACTCCCCGGAAGTTCTCGCGTAGAAATCTCGCAGACTCTCAAAGGGCCTTGGAAACGGTCGTGAATCCTGCTGTGCGCTTGTCTCGGGTTCGGTTTCTGTCAACGTGTCTGCTTCGATTGACGGTGGTGCTGAAACTTCTGCTGGCGGGGTGTCAATGGACATGGTATCATCATTACCATCGTTCTCGTCCAACTCGGAGTCGTCATCACCGTCGTCGTCATCGTCCATTTCCTCGTCGCTTTCTGGTGCAGCAGTCACACTCCAGTTGACAGGCTCGACGTAGTAGAGTTCTCTCACACCGTCCAATCTGCCGAGGTCAATGCTGTACATATCTGAGAAGGTGATTTCAATGTCCTTCTTCTCAAAAGTTCCGCCGAATATGTATAAGGCGTCGTCTTGTACAGTTAGCTGTGCGTTGAATCGTACATGTGGCATCTCAAAGCGCACCGGAACTTCCTTTTTGGTGACTGGTTCAGGTTCCGTGTCACGGGGACTACGATCAAGTTCGATTTCGTCCGCTGCTGAAATACTCCCTTTTGTTTGGAGTGCTGCTAGGTTTCGGAGGAGTTCTTCTTCATCTGCTTTGCCTCGATCCCGGCCTCTGGCCACTTGTGCTTGCTTTTTTGGTCCCCCTGATTTTGGTCTTCGCAGAGTGAGCGGAAAGAATCGATTACGGTCGATGTTCCAGATGAAGAGTTCGTTGAAAAATTCGCTCTCGATACCTTCTTCGCTCTCTTCAACATCGTGTACGCCCCCAAACGCGACACCGCGGCCTTTATGGAAGGCCATGGTGGATCCGGCTCGTACTGGATTAGGTGCATTGGCAGGTCGCTTTCGTCGTTCCCAGCGTATAGACGGTGGTGTGCCGCTTGGAGCTTCGGGCAGGGGTGACGTGATGCGGAGGAACCAGGTGTCTTGATGGACAACTGGCTTGAGGAAGTTTCGAACCAAAGCTGAGCCAGCCTTTGCTTGCTTTGCGCTTGTGCTCACGGCTTTTACGCGTGAGTAGCCACCGTACAGGACAGCACCAGATTCATTGGGAAGAAAACTGAACGAAGATCTGGGGTCGGGCTTTTGAGAAGCCGGCGGTAATTTCACCTCATGCCATAGATTCTCCTTGCAGTCGTAGATCCAAGTATCATTGAGATATTTCGTCTGCTGCGATGTATCTTGGAATCCGCCGAAGAGGACGATAAAGTTCTTGAAGTAGGTCATCCGATGGCCACTGCGAGCGGGAGGGCTCCTTCCTTTGCCCTTGGGCTCAAGCTTCGACCACTCACGGGTCTCCGTGTTCAAGTGCCAAAAGTCATGGTAGTGGTAGAATTGATTCTGCTTGGGCGAAGAGAATTCTCCTCCAGACACATAAATGCCGCCAGTGTTGCCGCCTCTACAGCTTGCATGCCCACTCCGAGGGAGAGGGCTGTTCCCTGATGAGACTTGACGCCACTCACCTTTGTCGATCTGGTAGACAAAGAGATCATTGTAGAACGCCGCAGTACTGCCGTCATGATACTCGCCACCAAATACGAACAATTCATTGCGATTGGAAGGCGAAGCCACGAGGGTACTGGATGATCGAGGTGAAGGAGGACCACAAGGCTGCTCGGTGATTTTGAGGAACTTGGCCTGCTCTTCTGCGTAGGCGGCCAGGACAGCATCTAGGTCGACATCATCAGCGTCGGAATCGTCTTCAAATGCCGCCGCTTCTTTAGCCTTGCTCTTCTTGTCGCCTTTTGCTGCCTTCTTCGACTGTTTGGCAGCTTTCTGTGCCTTCTGCTCTGCCGACTTGGCTTTCTTTTTGGGAGCCATGGTAGATCAATCCAAGGCAAAACGATGTGCCAATCAGAAACGAACTGGTCTCCAAACCTCACACTTTTCAGATTTCGCAGTATCTTTCAGCCTGGCCCATGAATCTTGGTATTAAGTTTCCAGAAACCATAGGCAGGGCATTAAGTTAGGTTACTTGCTCCAAGAAAGCATGACACTCTCCGGTCTATTCGAGGGTCTGACTTGAATGGCCGTACTACAGTGGCTTGAGTCTAAGTTCTGAGGGTGTGTAGGGAATAATACTAACACAGCAAAAACTGGCCCCGCAGGTGGGTTATGTACTTTGGCGGATTGATCTTGGCACGCCCAAGATACGATAATGGATTCGACGTCCGCTTCTTTCCTCGCCCCTCCCATTCTACGCGTTGTAGTAAGGGTGACAAACAGATCAGCGCATACATGCTAGAGGGATATGAGGCACATGCTAATGAAGATATTGTGAATTCTGGAAGCCGTTGAGGCCTGCTTTGCCAGGAAGCTTACGAGCGTGGATTCCTTTCTAAAACCCATCCATTCATTTTTTCGAGGCTTCCATTTCCGAGCCATGATATGTTCGCCTACTCACCGCTTACATGTAGTTGATTAATTCCTTGTTCGTCTACTATGTCGTCTCTGTCATCTAGCACCCCTGAGGTTGGTGTTCATTAACTGTTCGCTACGGGTGGGAGCTGGCGTTGGGCATAGAGCGGCATCACGCTAGGCTGGAAGAAGGGGTCCTCGTTTGCAATTTTAAGCTGAATACGATTTGGCCGTTATAGCGGCAGGCCGACGTCCCAAAATTGACCATCCCGTCGAGTTTGCCTCTGACGCGTAGCAACGCGTGCCCGCCTGCTGCATCCGAAGATACACCGACAACCCTAAGTGACTCTCAACATCACCAAATAACATTGCCCTTAGTATTGCCGTCCCCAAGTGATCTTTGTCTGTGGTCGAACTGCTCTGAATTGAAGCATCTGCAGATTTCCACCATGCGACGACCCTATGACCAAAAATAACCTTAGCAACTGTCTGTCCTGGCTGCTCCAGAATCCGCACTCTTTTGGTTCCCATGCACATATTTCTACAGTTGTTGTTGATGCCGGGACTGAAGCATACGATGAGCCTGAGACTTCCCATAATGAGATGGCAAGACTCCAATTGGCGCCCCAAACAAAATCGAGATCAAGGTTACTAGGGCAAGCATACGAGACGAAGGAATTGCCAACACCTAATCCAACACGAACTTCAAGCGACTACAAGTTGACACCCTCCTCGTCACGGCCACGAAAGGCAGACACGCCCTCGGCGTCACATCGACCTCCTCCCGCACGAACTCCAACAACCACTTTTGATGACATCGAGTTTGACGACGGTACTGACATTTTCGATATCGATGAGATCGACCTTACTGCTGGAGGCGACTTGACCACCTCCTCCTTCGGTGAATTCGGCACTCCAACAAAGTTATGGAGGGAAGACTCTGCCACACGTCCAGAGCCGCTGCCGAAGAAGAAAGGGAAAAAGCGGAAGAGCGAGGAATACGAGGCTGATCTGCGTTCGCCTCGCTCGGTCCGCTGCAAGACTCCGCGCAAAAACAAACACATTCAAGCTGAGACCAACTCGTTTCGTGGCAGCCAGGCTCGACGGGGAGAGTCCAGTTCGAAGAATCCTCGTAGACAGGATATCGCTCCCGTCTTTGAGAAAGAGGAGTTGCTCGGATCCGATCTCGGGGCGTTCCACGATGCCGAGCAATTACCTATGCCTACCAAGCATAGGTTTAAGCCGTCCCCTTCCCCCGTTATTGCTGGACCAAATCGGACACGCAGCCCGCGGAAAACCGTCCCGGATTCTGATGATGAGGATGACATCGACCTTCCTTCGAAGCGTGTTCTCCGCGCAGTTGCCATGGAACCCCAAGGAAAACATTGGCGGGATGTTGCACATTCGCCCTTACAACCTCGTCTAAGTGGCAAGATGTCCCAGACACCGCCGAAGCCAGATCCAAGACACAGAGCTGAATCTCCTTTGAAAGCTTCGCAGACTTTGAAAAATGACTCGCACCAGTCCCACCTACAGCCACCTCAGAGCAGTGCTTCGAGCAATGGGCCACACTGCGCACTTACAGAGGAGCAAAAGCATATTGTTCGCCGATTTGTTGAAGATGGTTTAGCTCAATGTCAAGGGCTGCTCCAAAGGCTCGAAAAATCAAAGAAGACTACTAACACTAGGATCGCTGATACAATGTGTGAAACCGACGTGGTTCCATATCAGTTGACTGAAAATCTGAAGTCTACTGAGACAAAAATTGTAACGGTCAAGCAATTGATCGAGGAGCACGCTTCTCTGTCCGCTGCCTGCAACAAACGTGCACGAATGCTTCAGGAGCGTAGAGATCTTGAAGCCGCCGGGCATGAGATTGACCCAACAGACCCGGATAACAAAATTATGGCAATCTGCTCAAATATCCGACGAGCGAAACTTGATATCGATGCTCGAGAAGCGGCAGTATTCAATCTGCTTCAACAGGCTGGCGTTTCAACCAATAGCAGTCTGACTGAAGGTCATAACGAGAGGCAAATTTTGGTTGCATCAACGCAAAGAATGTTGATGTATGATGAAAGGCTGGATGAGCATCAACCTGAGGACGAGTACGGTAATTTGAGCACGCAATCAGCTGTTCAAACGCCTCTCGCGAATGGCCTCGGTTCGCTGAACAGCAGAAATCCGGGGATTCGTTCTGGGCTATCAATTAAACGGCATGCACTGGAGCTGTCACCCGCCACCAGGATGCCTCGACAAACCAACCAAATACTAGCATCTACTTCAAGAGTGGAAGAGTCGCCAAGCAGGGACCTCAGTCGCAACTTCCATACTGCTGCTTCTCGAAATTATTCACGCTCGATGGGCTCTCCGATCCGAGACTTCGTTTTTGATAACGACGAATTCGAATACGATGAAGATGACGAGGAATTGTTGAAAGTAACTGAAGCCCTCGAAAAAGGACAACATGGTGTTAGGAATTCCAGAGCCCCAACAGAGCGACCACCGTTGAGCGTAATTAACGATAATCTCCAGCGAGTTTCTCCGAAGAAGCGGAGCTCCACTCAAACGACATCATTGTCGGCTTTGATGCAATATCCATGGTCAAAGGATGTTTCCTCGACGTTGAAGAAGAAATTCCATCTTCAAGGCTTTCGTATGAACCAATTAGAAGCGATCAATGCAACCCTTAGCGGTGAAGACGCTTTTGTTCTGATGCCTACGGGAGGAGGCAAATCTTTGTGCTACCAGCTTCCCTCGGTTGTGCAAAGTGGTCGAACTCGAGGGGTGACAATCGTTGTTTCCCCATTGCTTAGTCTTATGCAGGACCAGGTTGACCATCTGCAGAAATTGCACATCCAAGCTTTTTTAGTGAACGGCGAGACAACGCCGGAGCACCGAAAGTTCGTGCTTCAAGCATTGAAGGACTCTGAACCCCAGAAATTTATCAAACTGCTCTATGTCACTCCGGAAATGCTCAATAAAAGCACAATCATGATAAAGGCCTTTGAAAATCTCTACAATCGTGGGCTCCTAGCCAGGATTGTCATCGATGAAGCCCATTGTGTCAGTCAGTGGGGTCACGATTTCCGTCCAGACTACAAAGCGCTTGGAGAAATTCGCAAGCAATTCAAGAACGTTCCAGTCATGGCACTGACAGCTACAGCTACTGAAAACGTCAAATTTGATGTAATGCACAATCTTGGAATGGACAACTCGAAAGTATTTGATCAAAGCTTCAATCGACCAAATTTGAGCTACGAAGTGAGAGCCAAAGGCACTAATCAGGAAGTGCTCGAAAATATCGCACAGATCATCAGGTCATCCTTCCATGGACAGGCTGGAATCATTTACTGTCTGGCAAGAAAAACCTGTGAAACTGTGGCCGAAGCATTGAGGGATAAATATCAGATCGACGCCGAACATTACCATGCTGCCATGACTCCCAGTGAAAGAGTAGAGGTCCAGAAGTCCTGGCAAGCGGGGGAGGTCAAGATCATTGTCGCCACAATTGCCTTTGGGATGGGCATTGACAAGCCTGATGTTCGATTCGTCATCCATCACTCAATCCCCAAAAGCTTAGAAGGTTACTATCAAGAGACAGGACGAGCTGGTCGAGATGGTAAAAGATCAGAGTGTATCTTGTTCTACGGGTACCGCGATGCCACAACACTCAAGCGCATGATTAATGACGGTGACGGTGACTGGGAACAGAAGGAGCGCCAGAAGCAATTGCTGCGGAATGTCATTCAATTCTGCGAGAACCGCAGTGATTGCCGCAGAGTTCAGGTTCTAGCCTATTTCAATGAACATTTCAACCGAGAAGACTGCCAGGATGAATGCGACAATTGCAGGTCTTCCAGCAGATTTGAGACACACGATTTCTCAGAGCATGCTAGAAATGCCATACAGCTTGTGCGACAAGTGGCGCGTCAAGAGGTGACATTACTTCACTGCGTCGACGTTTACCGTGGTGCGAAAAACAAGAAAATTAGCGACATGAAGCATGACCATCTTGGCCAATATGGTTTAGGGCAAAATCTGGGAAGGGGAGACGTGGAACGCCTGTTCTACCGGCTCATCGCTGAGGACGCGTTTGACCAGTTCAACAAAGTACACCACGGAAACTTTCCAACCCAATACCTCATCCTAGGGCCGAAAGCTCGTGACTTTGAGTTGGCGTCCCGGCCTCTTGATATGGAGGTCCTTGTGTCTCCTGCTGTGAAAGTAAAACCCAAGGCTGCTCCCCGAAAAGCTCGCAAGAAGGCCGGTGCTACTGGCGTCAAAGCAACGTTGGATGAATATCCTGCATCCACAAATGTGTCATCCCCAATACAGGCTCGATCGAAGCGGAAAGCCGTTCGCCCGGCTCAGTTCCTTGAATCGTCCGACGACGATGAAGAGGATCAGGAAAGCGATGGATTCGCGCCTGTCAAGGAGTACGGGGTTCCGAGCATCCAGAAGAAATCCAGAATGGGACCTCCCATCACCAAGGATCGGATATTAGCCAAATTGGACGATGCTCATAAGCATGTACTAGGAATTTTCATGGAGGAAGCTCGCAACGCGGTACAAGCCATCATGAACCGTAACAGCCTTCAGCAACGACAGGTGACTAATTCGCTGTTGAGAGAAATTGGGATACAGTTCCCTATGACTGAGGAGGAACTCATCCGTATCACTAAATTGAATGCGGAAACATACAAGCTCTTCGGTCCGACACTACTGCGTCTTGTCCAAAGCGCCCGCGAAAATTACGAAGCCATCATGGCAGCTCAAGGAGATGATCTAGACCCCAATCAGGAAGCAAGCGAGGATGAGTATAGAGAACGAGATCTGGACCCAAACCACAACATAGTGGTTGAGATCAGTGATGATGACGAAGACAATCGCGATTTTTCACCAAGTGATAACGATCTTGACGAAACTGAGAGCAGTCACTACTTTAGCGTACCCGACGACGTCAATCAGTTCAACAACAAGAGTAAGTTCTAGATACCGGCTCTCTTATATTTGCTGACAGTCTTTAGTGTCTCACCTTGATACATTTGCGACCAAGGGAAAGAACTCTTCACGCAGGGATTCCAACTCGCAGTCGAGAGGCAAGTCCGGGAGTTATCGTGGTTCTCGGGGTTACAAACGTGGAGGCTCGAAGGGCTACAGCTCTAGATCAAAGTCGAAAGGTCCGGCGGGTGTAGCGAAGCGAAAAAAAGGATCATCCAGTAATCGAAGTAGCACTGGCACGGGCGGATCCGAAACCAGGAGGCCTTTCAGCGGAAGTCGTGGGGGTGGAAGGATTAACATGATGCCAACATGATGCCAACATGATGGCGGAAGTGTACCACTATTTGCTGTTTAGAATGCATAGTATCAATGGAGAAAAGGACCGGCTGTTGGAAGCTGGAATTACTGTGAGTATATCCTTGCCAAAGGGATAGTCCGAATAACAGCATATTGAGGGTTATTCCTGACAATTGGCCGGCGTCTGCGCCTTCTTTCTGCAGTCGTGAGTCCAAGGCGTTCCTTCCTCCTGACACTGGTTGGCTCCTTCCCGGATGCATTTTCACCTCGAATTTCAACTGCGTCCCGTTTCGAATTGCTCTCTACCTGAGCGGTAGCGACATGCAATTCTCTCGTTCTCTCCAACTTCACTTCAATGCAGAAGTACTCGGCTTGTTGTCTTGTCCTTCTGGACAAATCTCTCATCCATCTCGCTCTTTGCCTGAATTCCTTCTGCGGGGGAGAGTCGTCCTCATCCAACCATGCCACTGGAAGACTTATCTCCCAACAAGCGAGAAGGCAGCAGGTATGGAGACTCAAAACATGGGAATATGCCGGGAGCCACCTCCACCACGTCTTTAGGCTCGAGTGCTGTACAGAGTATGCTTAGGAACACCACAGAACTTGGTGATACTGGACCCTTTGCTGTTCGCCCGTCTCGAATCCCTCGCTCAGGCTCTCGTCTTCAGTCCACCAGGCAACGTTCAGGCTCTTTTGACGCTTCATTTGCATCCCAACTTCGCCACCAAAGATCTCCATGCTCGAGACGTCTCCATCGCCATCATGGCCCACGGTCAACCGTTTCTCTCTCTGGCTTTTCAGGCCGTGAAACCATTCGTTCTAACCCTGCTTCCTTCCATACAGCTGTTCGATCAAGGCGTCCGGGGCCCCGTCACAGATCTCAGGCTCTCGTTGGCTTGGCTAGTCCTGCCGTTGGTCCGCAAAACCTGCACTCTCATCGATCTCTTATGACGCTCCGCAGCCATCGGGATTTCCACAGCCTCTACTCGGGGTCACCCATGGTATATGCAGCTCATGGGAGAAGACATGGACCTCGGAACACCTCTCAGGCGTTTAGTGAGGCTCACTCTTACGGGCATGGGTTGAGATATGGTTATCCAAGGGTTGGTTCTGCTCTCACTGTGGCGTCATCTCCTGCCTCGATGTATCCAGGGCAGCCCGGTTTACGTGGGTATCGTCCCGATACCAATAATTCTATTTCTTCGTTTATCCACTTGCCTTCTCCAGCAGTCTCATCGACGAATGTTGCTGGTGTGAATGGCTATCCTGCAAATAGAACGATGACGCCCTTGTCCAACCCATTGCAGAATGTCCGTGGAGCGTGGAACCACAGCGCCGCCTCGTTAAGAGGTTTACCTCAATCGCCTACAGGCTCAAGTGGCCCCCGCTACTATGACTATTCGGAATCGTTCCTAGAAGAAGACTGCTTCTCGCCTCCTGGAGACGGATCACAGAAAAACGCCCCCTTTAACATGGACCAGGCTCTTCTAGGAGATGAACCTCCACCAGAAAGACGTCAAGCTCAGTCACCATTCGGCACACTTCCGGGCTCGAGCTTCAAACCGTCCGAGCTACCAACCGAACACAATCGCCGAGCAAGTGAACACAGCTACGCTGGGGTGATACCCCGTCGTATTTCGAGCTTAGCTGCAACTCAAACTCGTGCACAAAGCGTGAAAAATACTTCCAAGGTTAGCATCCCTGATCCGTTCCTTCACGCCAACTGTCATGTATATATTGACAAAGGCCAACAGTGTACTCACGGTTCAAGACATTCTGCTACTGAGCAGTTAGATAATGAATATCTAAAAGAAGATAAAGACGGCCCTCGAACGTCTTCTGCTTCTCGCCGAACTTGTGGTTCTGCCCGCTCCAGCGCGTTCTTCGTCAATGCTAGTCGAAGTCCTCGTGACCTCACTACCCTTGCTGCCCGAGTTCATTCACCTATCTTTGACCAGCGAAATTATGCTGCTTCAATCTCTGGCCTCCTGGACCATGATGACAGCCATGATCTTGGTAGGAATGAAAAGCGGAATGATGAAGACCGACTATCGGAATGGACATTGCCCTCTCTTTTTTTCAGACCCTTCTCAATGTCATCCTATCAGACGAAGCTGGAAAATCGACCGAAGACTTCGGGTGACGTCCCTGCTGGGGAAGCAGTTGAAATTCTGTCCCCAATGCCAGAAAGGCCTATGTCATCACAAAGCAGAAAGCGATTTAGTCGCATACTGGATATTGATGATGATAACAACTCTATCGAAGCGAAGATGACCCACCAGTCGCTCCCTGGCCAGACTTTCAGAAGACTAACCGTCGTGGAAGAGCAATTGGATCAGGGACCGGTTGCAAGAGAGGGCGCAGACAACATTGTTGAACGAGCACCCGAGCGGAGACCAAGCGGTGAAGATTGCCAATGTGAAATTGAAGCTGTGACAAAGTCTTTCTCAACAGCAGCACATGAGACAAGCAAGATAACTATTCATGACAAATCAACAGTGGAATCACTCCTCGATAGACATATCGAGTGCTTAGGTCTTCATGATGGAGACGGTCACCTTGGATTCGACGATATATCGGGCTATTCCAACAAGGCATCTCGCGAATCCAATGCTGAGAGCACTATCAGATTAAGTTCAGTTGAACAGCCGGTCGTGTTTCAAGCACGGTTGCGGCCCGCAACATCGAGTTCGCACCAGCATACCAGTCTTGCTAGTTCTGAAAGACGAAAATTGATGCCACGACGACTGTTTGCAAGTATGGATGCAAGATTACCAGCAGGTGCTCTTATCGGTAGCCTTTCGAGCTCTGTGTCTCAGATGTCTTCGACAACATCCAGACACCACCTACGTTCCTCCGGTTGGCAGACCCTGCAGTCAACAATTGAGTCTACTGCAGGTATGGTGGCTAGAAATGCTTCATTGACCTCTGGAGACCTAGGTGATGTTGATTCAAACCTATCAGCCAAAACGTTCAAAGTCAAACAACGATCCGAATTAATCATCAGCCCGTCTTTGCCTAGTGAACTTTCTAGGGTTCCAGAGATTGACTCTGAGCCTGGATACAAAGATGCCTCTCACCGAAGATCCAAGAGTGATATACTCGCTAGGCAAGCTTCCCATCAGAGAAGACGTATGCGGATATTGCTGAAATCTCAACGGAAACTGGCGATCACCAATCAACCCTCACCCACCGGGGAAACGCCACAGGTATCAGAAGTTATTCCTGATGAAGCTGGTTTAGACGAGAGCTGGACAACGGAGGATTCGCATGGTGAAGCATACATCACCTCTCCTGTCCTCGGATATGTCGAACTGAGTGCCGATTTGATCACTACACCACTTACGACAGACAAAACACTGCCCAGTGTACTGCTATCAAGATCCGCACCAAAAAGTTGGGCCAGCGTAATTGCTGCTATGCCAGAACCCGTCAAGAAAGGTATCAACCTGGTTCGGAAAGCTTCAGCTCGGACTGTCCGCTCGCATAGAAGCAATACCAGTATCATTGAGCCCATTAACAGTACTCGACAGGGCTCCTTGTTGCCTCATCTAGGATCGGTGCCTCAGTTGGCACCCCCTGAGTTTGGACCTCCTCTGACATCTTCAGATCTCAACCTTTCTCTACGGTTTCCTCGGACTCTTGCTCCAAATCGCCCACCTTTACGCGAGGCACAAAGTTTCTTCTCTGATGATAGCTCTGCCCATCAGCAAAGAAGTGCGGTCAAGAAACGATTTGATGTTCATAGTCTTCGGAGTGGTGTCACCAGATCATCGGGTATGTTAGGCCTCCGTCACCAGCAACAGCTACGTCAGCATGGAGAAGGCCTGAGACCTAGTCGTTCATGGCAAATGAAAGGTCAGAAATCATTTGAGTACCCACAATCCTCGGGTGGAGATACCATTGCAATGTCCGACTTTCAATATAGGAAAAGGAAGATGCTTGAGAGATTGAAGGACTGGTGGAAGCGGCAGTGTATGCAGAGAACGCTTGCTCTTGTGAAGAAAAAGCATGGGAAAATTAATCGCCCTGGTAATTATATGTGAACGGTCTGCATGTTAATAGCTAGAACACTGGTCTTACCGCTATGCTGACACATCAAGAAAAGGCCGGGGGGCAGCAGTAGACATATCATTGTGTGATACACATCTTTTAGCCAGTACGGAACTTGTTCGATCGTGCAGGAGATATTATGGCAGCTTGGTAGACTGCAAATATTGCAATCAGATAAGCAAAAGCCAAAGTGTAGTTGTGCAACAGCATTCAAGTCTGGACAGAGTCAGAGATTTCGCTTGTATTATGCTCTGTAAACAGCTCGTATACAATCAGAAGGTCTCAAGGAGACTTTTCTTCTCCAAAGCCCCTATCGTGGAGAGAACCCACTCTGAGAAGACGGTGATGAAAAAAAGTTGTAGCGAAGGCCACGAGAATAGCACATAGCAGCGCTTGAACCTGATAGCACTATTGAAACATAGTCCATCTGCTTGACTCAACTTCGTCAGCGGACACGGATGCGGTCAAGACATGACGAATCCAGAGGACCAACCAATCTAGCCACCGGTCTTTATACGTCCACCGTGTCGAGAGTCAATGTACAAGAGTCATCGTAACTCACTAACCATAATGCACCTCGTCCAGTCCACGACTAGCCTTGGCTCAAGCAATTCCCTCAGTATTGAGATAGATTTCAGAACGGGGAGGAGAGCAATGTAACGTGCCTGTATCGGAGGGTTAGGGTTATGCCGAGAATCGGCAACCTCGACAAACTGTCTCTCGGTATTCCAGTGACAGATTGTCTCCATTGAGATTTATGATATCGATTCGGAAAGTATTGGCTTCGGGCTTGGGTTTGGGTTGGCAAACACACAGGAGTCATCATCACCTTCTCGGTGCCGAGACAGGCTTCCGTCTTCTGCATAGTTTTGCAGGTTGTTTGGCTTTCCTTCCAGCTAGTCACAAATTCTTTCGCAGAGTGTTCATGATTGATAAAGTGCAAGCTGTCCGTCGCAACAATTGAACACGATTGGGCAAGTTTTGCTCGCGATGTTCTTGGACAGGCCATGACTCTTGCCCACAAGAGAGGGGGACTTGTCACGTCCAGGAGGCCTGTGCTTACCATTGCCTAACCCTATATGCGGACTTTTGGGGAGTCCGCATATACAGAGCTCCTATACCCACAACCCGAAAAGGCAAAGGTATAGCATGACCCCGTCCGTCAAATGTTTCGCGGTGAAAACTGCGATATTATTGGTTGCTTCTGAGAAAGCAAACCGGCTCCACAGTTGGAGGCAGACGCCGTGATAGTCACAGACGATCCTTCATGAAGATGCGAGTCAGAGACTGCAATCCCACTGCCAAAGTGCCACGCCCCTTGCCTGGGCACCTGCAAGAGCCTGAGTTAAAAGGCACCCTCTCCAATGTGTCTTGAGCTTTGGCTTTCTCGGTTTCTTGGGTTTCATGTGTATCTTTGAAAGGACGTCCTCAGTCCATCCGTCTCCTCTTCTGGTATGTTGATGTCACTTAAGTTAGCTGAAGTGATCTCCGGCGAGGTCTCGGATGGATGGGAGCCTGTTTTATGGTATCTTTGTTGCATCAGCATGGCGCCTCGACAAGCTACAAATTAACACTCCCTCCACGAGTTATTTTGCATGGTCACGCGACAAGAAAGTTCTCTTTCGTGGGAGGAGGGGCCATGGAGATTCGAAGAACGGTAGAAGAAGAAGGGTGCGGAAGGATAGCTTAGGAAGATAAAATGGGATGGAAGTAAGCAGGCAGGTTCGTCACCTCTTCGCAGTGACCAGCAAGTTGGGGGACACAAGGAGGAAAAAGGAATTAAGGGTGCAGGGTACGGAGTATTGATATTCAAATAGGCGCGTCGCGACCGATCTACGGGTACGTGCTAAGATGGGGCAACGATCATCGACAGCCAAGACGTACAAGGCAGCAACCCCCTACTCCATGATCTAAGTAGTTGGTATACATCAATATTTCTCCAAGATTAGCTGTGAAACCTTCGGCCGTCTTGATTTCATTGGTAGATTTGTGGTTCCTAATCACTTTAAAACGGGTTGGAACCTGGATGAGGCCCATTAAGGCGTCCCAAGTAGTTGACTCATGCCAGAAAGCAAGCACACTCTCTCACATGATACCTACGGCATGCCATGCCTGAGGTCCATCCATTCCAATCAGTCCTTCGCTCTGAGAAAAGAGGACTCGTATCATCTCAGTGGGAATGACTTTCGACATTATCTAATAGTTGGTGATCTCTAATCTCACATTCGTACAATGTAAAACAGTACTTGTGCACAGTACTCTCAAGCTGAGTCTTCAATCTTTTCGACATCACTCACCAAACTCGCTGATCGATGGGATCGGTATATTCTTGCGTGGAAGAAAGATCTACAGCGACTGCTGAAGCGGAAATAAAGCCCGATCAATAACGACATTGCCGAAGTGAACGCAAAGTAGACCCAGATGTTTTGACTTATATTCAAATGCCCAGCATCATCAACACGAAAAAACATCATGCTGAAAAAGGTGGCGAGGAAAGTTGCAGGCAGAAACACAATTGAAACGCTTGCCATTTTCCTCATAAGCAGACTGTCGGTCCTTGCATCCTGTGCCATGGCGATATTCACGTCACTGTCACGTTTTGCGGATAATGCAACGAGCACATCCCACTGTGTGTCTATGCGCCAGCTTAGATCATGAGCCTGAACAGCTTGGGTCCTCTGTTGGCTTTGATATTGCCCGAGAGCATCGAGGATTGGCTGTCTCAGCGAATCGTCTTGACAGTCTTGCAATGCTAGGAATCTAGACAAGGCCTCTTCAAGCACTCCGAAAAAGTCTCCTGTGCAAATTGAATGTCGGGCTACTGATCTGATGTAGCCTTGTGCCCCTGCTGTGTCATTCCTCTGGAGAAACAATCTCTCAGTGGGTGATGGCACCACGTCGCGAACCAACTGTCCGAAACCAGTGTTCTGTTCAAGCTGTAGAACAGAGAAATCAAGAGACCATCGGGACTGTTCTAATTTCTGTAGCCATGTGCCTAGAACAGCGAGAAGGATGTGAAACAGGTGAACAGAGGGGAGGCCTTTAAACTGCGAAGTGAGGCGCTCGATCTCTCGATGAAGATTGACACCCATAATGAGAATGAGGTTTCGCTTTGAATGGAAGTCGTGACGAGCGTACATCAGTTCGAACTGGGAAGTCTTGAAGCAGATGTGGTAAGCGCATGGGCCGGTGTGATCAGCAGAGACGTTTCTGTGCACTGTTGCATTATCATTGCAATGAGAGACATGCTGCCATGAGCCTCCATTATTCTCATGAAGCAGCTCAACAACATTCGGCGGGATCATGAGGATTGATAGCAAGTCCGTCCACGTTGTTTCTTTCATACCAAGTTGGATGGTTGAATAAGTGGTGCTGTAGAGCCGCCACTGAGGTATGAACAAGACCCTGGTACCTGAAAAGGGTAGAGCATTCATGTCTCGAATCTGTGAAAGCCCCGTGTCATTCAGTTGAAATGATGCCTTTACCGGGCCTGACTCCGCAAAGTCGATGTAGGGACAGAACTCTTCGCCTTCCAGGTATTCGGTATCTCGAGCATTCAGATCTATGGCTTCTGTAGGATCCATAACATGTGCCGTAAAGTATTGACAATTGTAAGGCCACTGATCATGCCTTTTCGTTCCTGTAAGGCCAAGTCGTCCTTGAAACTCGCCATGTCGGCTTGCTTTCCAAGCTCCTTCTCTCCAGCCTCGATCAATTGGAGAACGAGAAAAACGTCGACGACAACCCGATGATAACGCACTGATGTCCATTACTATAGCCAGAGCGTTTCCAGCGGTGAAACACTTCGAAGGGTTGCCAGTAGAAATTCCAAGGAGAGTCCCGAGTCATTCACGGGGAACCGGCATAATTTCATATCCGTAGGGAACGGCTCGTGCCAGGGTCCGCTGATGCAGCGCATCGCAGGGACGTCCACGAAATCTCTTTCGCACCGATTCTGATCACGATGTTGTTTTTTCGGGCATCCTTAGACAATCCACCGAGGTTGGCAACGGTCAGGATATGCAAATGATATCACAAAATTTCTCAGGGGCAGCTCAGTTGCCTTGCATAAGTCGAGAATTGCCCGAGCGGGCCGTCGTTCCCCGTCACTCCCCGTCCACTAAGCGGTTGAGGTGGCGCTGCCTTGTGGATTCTGGGGTAACGAAGCCGCCAGTCCGTCTGTACCTGATGCTTTTCCCCTATGCAAACATGCTGTTGGAAAGCAGCGGTGGCTACTTAGTCCGAAAGGCGTAAAGCGTCGGGAAAGGCATTATACAGATAATATTATGGAACTCGAGACTTCTATTGGTGAGCCGGTAACCGAGGTGCTAGATGCAGAAGAGAACAAGGCAGTACATGATGGTGACGCTGTTGCGCTGTCTCCCATCTTATCCTGTGTCCTATTACAGCCTTCATAGTGGTGAGCACATCGTTTTCGGAATTCTGCAGATGCATCGTATATGCGGCATTTTACGCAGAATTGTGTCCCGATCTTACTAGGTTCAGAGGCTATCCCGATAGCAGCAGGAATAGATTTGGTGGCAAAGTTGCGGACCATTGCCTGATGGACAGTTTTTGGTTGTCTGCATTTGCCCACCACACCAGGAAGCGATCAGTCGTCATGTCCGGCTGCATTAAGCCCAGACGGAAGCGAGATCCCGAACTTCATCAGGTTACTTCAAGGTTGACAGTGGGATATCTTTGAACACTGCCCTACTGTCTTCAAAGCAATGCGTGATTCAGCACCTTGCTTAACTTCAAGTAGGAGGAGTTCTCGGTGTCTTGAGGTCATATGGACATGCTCGCAAAGATAACGGCGCGGTAAGGGCTGATTAGATTTCCGCTGGAAATCAGTCGAAGTGCACCCCCACCCTCATCGAAGAAACATGTAGACGTAAATTTTCAAGCAACATACACTGAGACTGGCAACCTGTAGACCCTATAGAGAAGATTCGTACCGGAGGTGAGCCCCTACCCAATGCACCGCATCGTTCGAGCTTGCATTGTGTATATCCAGCCATAGCAGTTGTCTCTGTCGCTAACCACCAAAATATAAATGAAAGGTCGAAAGTCAGTTCGGCGAAAAGCCGCTTACAAACGTCCATGCCTAAACAGTGACCCCACAAAGGGACAGCATTAACGAAGACTTGGACTGAGCACTTTCCTACTTTTCCAAAGTGTCAAACGTGCTTCCTGAAGCCACTGGACGCACCCATACAGGAATGATTGTTACCACCAAGCTTGAGCCAACATGCCGACGTCATGTCTCAAAGTCTTCATGTATTGACCGCAAGGCTGTGGAATTACGGAGACGAGGCTCCGAAAGCCGTGCACATAATGAGCATTACCCGTTCTCGCCGCGTACGCCTAAGCACGCCGAACTCCGTACATTGATAATTTCAACCAGTTAGGGGAACGCCGTTTCTCAGTCTGTTTTCAGCACACCGACTAATTCGATACCTTCGATTGTACATATTTAACAGCAGCCCAATGCTTTCCAATCCTGTGTGTGGGCGCTAAGGTCTCCTACACCTGTTTACCAATATTTCCCATTGCCTCTTGCTTGTAAATATGGCCACCATCACAGCAACCGAAGTTATCATCCTCCAAGCGGCGAAACATTCAGGACTCAAGGTTGGGGCCTCCCATAGCGTTCGCAATTCCACCAGTGCTGCTAGATCCGAGCTGCAGCTCAAAATCGAGTCTTCAGATCCGCCTTTTCGATTAGGCGTCACTCTCCGCGTGGTCCTCTCAGTTTTTCAACTATGCATGATTAATTTCCTGGCCAGCCTCACCAACAGTATTATCACCGTTGGGCTACCGACGATCGCGGCATCGATATCGCTTCCAAGGTCGCTTTATTTGTGGCCAGCGTCCGTCTATGGACTCACTGCCGGCGCAACACTTCTGATTGCAGGGTCGATAGCGGATTTGATAGAACCTCGGCGCGTCGAAGTATTTGGGTGCATCCTTTTGAGCGCCTTTACCCTCGCTTGCGGCTTTGCAAGAACAGGCATTCAGTTCGTTATCTTTCGAGCCCTCCAAGGCGTCGCTATGTCAATGCACTTGCCCGCATCGGTTGCGTTGGTCGCGGCCGCAGTGCCCCAAGGCAAAAGCAGGAACATCTGCTTTGGATGTCTCGGAATGAGCCAAACTCTGGGGTTCTCGGCAGGACTAGTCCTCAGTGGAATTATGATCCAGAAGACTGGATGGAGATCTGGCTTCTATCTTTCAGGCGGGGCGACATTCGTAGCTACTATTGTTGGAATCTGGTTCCTGCCGAACGCTCCACCCGCGGCTCCTGTCACAGATGGAGAGCTCCACAGGTCAACACTGGCTCGAATATGGGGGGAAATCGACTGGGTTGGTGGTATCATTGCCTCTGCTGGTCTAGCGATGATCGCGTATGTCCTCGCGATTCTTAGTGCCGACCTGTCCGCAATCCATAAACCGGTCACTGCAATCCTGCTCGCGCTCAGCCTCACCCTGCTCCTGGCCTTCCCTCTCTGGATGCATCAACGTGAGCGTAGCGGCAAGCCCGCCCTAATCCCGAACATTATTTGGAAGAAAATCCCTTTCACATCTACCTGCATCATGGTTGCACTATCAAACGGCGTCATGAACTCAATGGAGCTCTTCTCGAGCCTCTACTTCCAAGAAATTCAAAACACATCCACGCTATTCACCTCGCTTCAACTGTTACCTAGTTTACTAGTTGGAGCGGTCGTCAATCTCAGTGTCGGTTTATTCGTCGACAAAATGCCCGCGAGGTGGCTCGTTACCATTTCATCCATACTGTGCGCTATTGCACCATTGCTGATGGCACTGGTAGATCCGAAATGGAATTATTGGTACATGGAGTTCTGGGCACAGGTTTTCTCACCAATGTCTGGTGATGTGCTGTTTACTGTTGGCTTATTGATTGTCTCGGATGAATTCCCTGAACAGATGCAAGCATTGGCCGGTGCGGTGTTCAACACTGTAGCACAGTTTGGGATGAGTTTGGGGATAGGTGTATGTCAGGTCGTCGCACTGGGTGTTAGGAGCACCGGAGAGCATGGCAGTTCGCCTCAATCTAGATCCGCCATGGCTGATAGCGACAATGGGCAGTCACTAAAAGGTTACCAGGCTAGCTTCTGGACCATGTTTGCCATAATGCTCACATGCAGTGTGGTTGCAATTGGCGGGCTGAGGAAGGCCGGCAAGGTGGGCGTGAAGAGGGAGTGATTACGTGGGCTTATTTATCTGGAAATTTGATAGATTGGGCAAGGGCTTAGCTAGGAATCTGAAGATTAAACGGGAGGCAAAAGTCTCAGTCGTCGTGTTTCCAGAATCTCACATTTCTCAAAGATCGAGATAAGGGTGATGTAATCCTTACAAGGTCTTAAAACTGGCAAGGCTATTGGGAAGGGGAAGCGTGATATAAACATATCCTAGATGCCTGATTGAGCCTAAACACAATTGATTCATCTATTTATCCTCTTACAAACTAAGTCTAAGGGTGATTAATAAGGCGCTATCATCTCAGAATCGGTATACCGTATATTTTCTAGGAGCAATGGCGGCTTGGCCTCGTCGCGGCGCTCTTCGTAAACAGAGATCTTTACAATCTAGAGTTCGACACTCACAATCTAGTGAGGAGTTCAGTCAAAAGGTTACTTGATAGGGAAGTTACTGGTTTTTCCCATTCTAATTACCATCTACTTATTCGATTTTTGTGCTTTCTTCTATGGTGGTGTAATGAGAATCGCAGCAGGTGCGATCCGGTCATCTATATCCCCGCAAGAGAGCAACAAGATGATCCTAACCCTCATAGTACGGTCAGTAACTTTGAGCTCCTAATACCTAGAGGTTGACTTGATGAAGAGTACGACTACAGTCTGTCGTATAGCCTCCAGTACAGCCTTGTCATCCGAATGAAGAAGAGCACAACCAGGGGAAAACGGAGTTGACAGTTGTAGATGAAGTTGATCCCCGGACAATACCAACTACTAAACGAACTACAAACCAGTGGCCTTCTGGGATAAAGTCAACACTAAACTTTCAAAATCTTTTTGGATGCCGCCCGTGCAGTAGTCAACTATGTGGCGAGAACCGCTGAGGATGACTTAAGAGCAGTCCGAAAACTAGCACAACCATCTCAACCAAATACGATGTTCACATAAACAGGAATAAGCCCAATTCTCCAACCACTAACCACATTGCTAGTTGAAGTCGGCTTGGGAATCAGAGCCGAGCCGAATCCTGGCATCAGTCGACTGCTTGAGGGTAGTGAAGTTGTGAGTGGTAACATAGAGGAGCTGATACCTTCTCCGTCGTACAATCGTAATGATAACGGGCCAGCGTCTACATCGTTAGAGTGTTAGATCCTAAGTATGTAGCACGGAATGTATATGATCAAGAAGTTAAGGAGCTTACACGGCTAAGATTCCAACAAGGCTATGAAGACTATTTAGCCCGTGAACAAGTGAATTAAACGTGTTCTGTCAATCATATAATCCATAATTATAGTGAACAGATCGACGAACTCATACAAGAATATTGGTAAAAAGGTATCAAACTATGGGGATGCGGCTTTGCAGGTGATGAAAGCAGATGCTCCTGCTTGCCTAGGCTATAACGGTGTGACAATTATCATCAAACTCCCAGATAAAGAGTCCCCTTGAGCACAATCTGAAAGTTAAACGCGGCGGCTGAAGCTTATGGCCACAGCCACCGGGTATGTCTGGGACACGCTCATTCGCGACGTTGAATCCAAGTTTTGACCACAGTTTGGACTATGACACTGGCCAATTCTCCAGTTGCAGACCAAGGTGACTCCTTATGGGGAGTTATGCAGTCGAACTCCTACCTCGATAACCTTGTGGCGGCGCATCGTCCTCAGCTCGCGGTTAACTGCCTCTTCTAATGCAAGGACTCTTCTTCTTGTATGGGTTAAAGGACTGAGCGCATGTGTTACGCAACTTTTCCACAACACTCTCCGTGTCATGTCGGACGAACGGAAAATCTTCGAGCTCGCTTGTAATCTGGACTTGCTAAAGTCCATCCACCGATGAGCCAGCAGAACAAGCAAAATTCCTTACTAGGATCTTTTTCAAGTTGCTTAGATTAATTAGGCAATTCGAAGGCTAGCTCTATTTCGCCAACAGACTTTTTTAATTTTGCCAACACTTGGCATTGCGCCAAGACGTACCTTTCCACATCTAGAGTAGATCTTGTTAGAGCGCCGCTACTGAGTTAGCAGGCGCCATTGAGTCCCGACTCGCCGGGCCAGTCTACTCATACTAGCCCGATTAGGGAATCGCCGAGCCGCTACCCCACTTCTTCGTCCGACTAGGAGCAAGATGCTCGAGTCTACTCATATCGGACAGCATGGATGATTTCATTCGCATGGCTGATCCCCCTTGGTGCGAGCGCTATCATTTGTGGAGGAGGCCTTCCCCAGCTTTCTCCAGGATTCGTCCCCAAGCTCACTCGCCCCTCCGACCTTCCAAAATTGCGATTTATCTATCGAGCTGTGTACCAGATGGCGTTTAATATGAATTTCCACGTCGAGCGTCACACTTCACGGTTCGAGAAGGCTCCCCGCGCGGCTCGAGCGTGCGAGCTGTGTCATGCTCGCAAAGTCAAATGTGACATTAGTCCAACCAAGCCTCAGTGCTCAAACTGCCAGCGAGATGGCCAAGTATGCGAGCAGAGGGCACGGCAGCGAAGGATACATCTTCACAAGCCCAAAGCAGCTGCTTGGCAGAGTTCATCACGGATTTCTAGGCCGCAAATCAATCCTGTCGAGGCTCCGCGAGAGAGAGCCAATTCTACACAAATGACAACTCGAACAAACATCCAAGCAGAAGACCTCTCGTACGGACAAGAGGCACCTCCCCAGGCGGCCTGGAAAGGAGTGCAGCCTACTACCATGGCAGAAGACAATAACCCGCCGCCCGGCCCTTCTCCGTCTGCTGGATCTGTCTTCAGTGTTTCCAGCAGCTACGATGGTGGATACATGGAGCGTTCGATGTATATTGCACCCGATAAATTCCGCGGAGAAGATGGTTCAGATATCAATTATACCATTCCAGCTCACTCTGAAGCGAATCAAAAGCTCGCCAACCTACAAAGGGCGTTTGAGATGCCACCTCGCGCAGTCAGAGAATCCCTATTTGAGAACTTTTGGACCCGTTGTTATTTTTGGGATCCCATTGTCGACAGGTCTCAAGTAATGGAGATAGCCCCTGATAAGGTATCACCTCTTTTGCTTCAGTCCATTTTCCTCGCCGGGAGCCGTATGCTATCGCCCTCACAGCCCCACAACTATGCCTCGGCCCAAGACTACTATACTCGAGCTAAAACGCTATTCTGGCTCGACTGTGAAAAAGACCCTCTTACTCTTCTGGTTGCTGCATCTCTCATGCACTGGTGGAATCCACATGGGCCGGAACGGGTGTCGACGAACACAAGCAGCTTTTGGTGTCGGATTACCGTAAGCCTAGCCCAGCAGATGGGAATCCACCGACTGAAGAAGCCAGTGCCCAATGAGTCACTTCGTCGTCGATTGTGGTGGTCAATAGTGGTACGTAGATGCCATTTTATTCCCTCTCCATCCAGTAGTGACTTCTAACACCATCCAGGCCCGGGATTGTCTCATCAGCCTCGCCCATGGACGTCCACAGGCAATCAACCTCGAAGAAAGTGATATTCCAAAGCCGACTCTGGAGGACTTTCCCAACTCCACCCAGACAGGCTTGTTTTTTATCGCATATGTTGACTTATCGATGATCGTGGGACGATTCACTCGGCATAAGATTCGAAAATCATCCAGTAGGGATCAAAATGAAGATATTGGACACTCCTTGTATCAATGGAACAGGACTCTCCCGGAGCCGCTCCGACTATCATCTTACAACTCAAAAAGACAGAGCAACATTTATTCATTCTCGAAACCTTACAATCTCGAGAGCCGTCAGCTGAACATTCTATACCTAGTCATGATTACTCTCTTATACCGCTCGAAATCTCTTGACGATCCATTTCCTACAGCAGCAGTCCTCGCTGCATCGACCGTCGCTGGAATCTTCGAGGATTTTCTTGCTCGCGACGAGGTGCGATTTCTCGGTGCCTGCTTCACCTTCCATCTTTTGGCTGCGTCCATTGCATTACTTTCCTGCTATAAATACCCGGAATTGTGGGCGCTTGCCCAGGAAGACCTCAACACTTTAGCGCAGGCTCAAGAAGAGATGAAGAAAAAGTGGCCCTCAGCCCTGGGGAGCATTGGTAGCTTCGACCGAATGTTCAAGCTCGCTGTGGCCACACAGAAGAAGGTGGCCCAACTGCCGGAGAGCACTTTGACACCGGACCAGGCGGCATTCTTTGAGGACTACAACATGACGCTGTGTCGAATGCACGCGATTCTCGTGCCGAAACGTGACGGCTACGGCAGCCGCAGAGCTCAGCATGAAAATAACAGTACGAACAAAGTGAACCAGCAGCCAACCAGCGTGGCTGAAAGTGGACATGGGAATGGGAATTTGAAGGAGGACATGATCCTAATCCCACCATACTACGCTCAAGGTGAGTCTATCGGTCAACAATTCATAATAGAGCAGCCGGGTCTCCCGGACGAGCCCCTCAATTTTGATCACATGTTCCAGGAGAACGCTGGGCAGTTAGACGATGCCATTGGAGACTGGCTGTTCTGGGATCAGCCTCCCCTTGATAATTGATACACACCTGCAAACAACACGAGCGTGGAATGGCAGGCTGGCGGCATCATTCACATGTCTGCATAATGCATACCCTGGAGCCCTGTTCCATCAGTCTCAGAATGCCAACATCAGAAGTATCTTCCCTCGTCGTGACTTTCGGTCTTAGCTGTCTTAACGCCATCTCCAATCTCTCATACCCACTTCCAGCCCTGCTAGTACTCGTAAAATTGCAATTGGATAAAGACAGATCATTGCCGTGCAGACCTGTAGGGGGTACTAGCCAAAAGTGGAACTTTCCGGGCAGAGAATTCTTGCCTTCTACCTTCACAGTAGTCTCCGAAACCGAAAAGCCGAGACACTAATGTCAACAGACCCTAACTCTGAACCAGTCAACAATGAGCCTGATGCAATCATTCGCCTGGGCAAAGCCCTGTAATGAGCGTATGAAGATGGCAGAATCCGAGGTCTAGTCGGCCGTTTAACGCGATTAAAGCTTGCCCAGCTGGATCATAGAGAAAGCCTGCAGTACAGGTCATATGAGCAGGAAAAGAAGTATCGTGCTCGTCCATTCTCGTTGTAGGCGTACCTTTCATTACCATCCACTCATCATTACGTACTCACATCGTTTGGCCTCGCCTCACATCATGGTCCGCCTAGACTTTCAAGGAACCTTAGATTCTCATCCGAGAGTCGCGTCGGCTCCTCCCCCAACCATCGTGGCATCTCTCTGGCCATTCCCACCTCAAATTCCCACCCCTTCCCTTCTTCGACGTAGATGCTTGCCCCGTTCAGACTCTCCATGAGCATAATGGTGGCGACATGCTCCGCCACTGCAGTAGATGACTGATAGTGCGACGGCAGGCTAGTAGGAGTAGGAGTAGGAGGAGTGCTAGTTGACGTGGAACTTGGGATTACCGTGTTCGCCTCGGGTCTATTTTTGAATAATTCGATAAGCCCGGTAGCGCTCGTCATCGGCGTCTCCGTCATCCCGGGGCACACAGCGTTGACACGGATGCCACCATTCGCGAAAATTGTCGTCCGCATCGCCCGCATCAGGCCGAGAATGGCCTGTTTGGAAGTCTGATACAGGAACATGCCGGGGGCGTCGCGGAAGCCCGTAACACTGGAGAGGAAGGTCATGCTTCGATCGGGTCGGTGGTTGCGGTTGGAAGATGGAAGATTCAAGGTCATCGGCGTAGAATTGTTGCGTAAGAACGTTAGCGCGATCCGGGCAAAGGCACAGGCCCCTAAAAAGTTGACTTCGAGGGTGCGTGTACTGCCTGGGTCCTTCCCAACCGCGTCGACGGAGAGCGTCATGTCGAAATATGGCGAACCCGGGCTGTCGACGATGCCGGCGCAGAAGACGGCATGGTCGACATGGTGGTGCTTGTCAAGGGCGGTACGGAACAGCCCGTAGATATCGCTGTACTTGCAGACATCGCAGAAGACGAATGTGGCAGTACCACTACTAGCGGCAGTACGATACTGTTCCTTCTGTTTTAGTAGAGACTTGACAAGTGCTTCGCCCGTGCCGGAGTTGATGTCTCCCAACACGACGTTTGCCCCATGAGTGTAGAGGAGCGTGGTAAGGGCAGCGCCAATGCCGCTCGCTCCACCGACCACGACGACAACTTTGTCCTTGAGGTTGGGAAAGCTGTTACGGTCTGGTAGTGTGGGATCGTGCACCATATTTCTGTCTCGCTGATTGCGAAGGAGATACTTGATACCAAATATCAGACATCAGACATCAGATATCTAGCATGGGAGGATACGTGAATGTCTTCAAATTAAGAGAAGACCTCTAGCTATTTGACGACCGAAAGACTGATTGGCCTTAAGGAACAGCAGATGTGACACTGTACCAATAGCGAGCGACCTATAGCCGAACCGACTCACCCACACTAGTGTAGAGTCCGAACGTCTTCCACTGATGGAAATGCGGAACAGGGGCGTAGTGAGCTTGACCGACCGGCGATAGCAATCTCGGCTTTCTCTCTAGTCAAGCACTCTGACGCTTTCACTCACGAACTCTATCACTAAGGTCTTATCACATACACCAATATGGTCGTATATTCTATGTGCTACCGTCAGGCCAGCAGATACCCCCCACTCGAGTGAATGACGGTGCCGTCCACGAAGGAATCTCGCATACAGTACATATACGCCTCGGCGATATCATGTGGATTGCCTATTGTCCTTGTCATCGTTGAGTTCTTGTACTTCTCTATTAGGGGCTGGAGGACCTCATCGGGAAATCCGGCGAACAGCTCCGTGCGCGTGGGACCAGGGCAGATGCAATTCACCCTGATGGGCCTCAAGTCGACCGCGAGTGCCCGCGTAACGCCCTCAACACCAGCTCCCCAGCCCGCCATAAGCACTCGTCCGGGCACGGGCTTGACATTGTTCACTCCGCTAGTAAATGTAATCGATGACTGGGGGCTGCTGGCCATATAGTTAGGCGCTAGTTTCCCAATCATGACCGGGACGTAGAATCGTAGGATACCATGCTCCGTGATCGTCTTAGTATCGGTGTCGGCGAGGCTGATCGATCCCACCTTGTTACCAGCGGTGTATACAACGTGATCGAGCTTCTGCGTGCCTCCCTTTGTTGCACTGTCGAACAATGCTTTCAAATTGCTCTCCAAGAGGTTGAGGTCGTATAAATTACATGGGTATCCGATGACACTGGCATCAGACTCCGGTTTAATTTTTTGGGTTTTCAAAATCGCAACGTTGATTTTATCTTGATTCGAACTTGACAAGATGACATTCGCCCCAAATTCTCGCGCTGCCTGCGCGACGGCAAATCCTATGCCTGATGTACCCCCAAGAACCAGAACTCGCTTAGCGGAGAGTTTCGCCGTGTAAGATTGGGCCGAAGCCATGCCTGTTCACAATGGGAGCCAGGGTTAATGATAGAAGCAGAGTGAGCAATGATATTGTTGTCGTCGCTCGCTGGATGTTGTTGTATGCTGGTCTGAACATACTTTCTAATGACGATCTTGACCAGCAGATGGCCAACCTGGCAGCCTTCGGAATTCATTGGAAGCGTAGCTGCCGAGCCGCCGAACTACCGAGAGATCGGATCCTTGTGCCAGACACAAACATCATGATCTTACAGAAACGGGGAAGGAAAATCCAGGACGAAGCCGTCGCGATCACCATAAATAAGTTTGTCATGTGTTGTTGTGCTGTCCGCTGGCTTTTGGCCATATCCTCAAAATGAGGAGAAAACGTGTGTAAGGGTTGCAGCATATAGATAGGTAGTGGATATGTAGGCCTAATCTAAGCACCAATGTGCCTAGGGAGCCCCCTATCTGTAGAAATCTTACGGCTACACTAGGCGCCGAAAGCGGGGGCAAAATTTGGAGTATTTCCAACCAACGCTACTACGGTTGCACTTGTTATCATAGCTTCACGATTCTCTCCTCTTTCTGCGCCTGTGTCTTCCATATCTGGACACCACCATCCTCCCGATAGTTAGGGGGGAAATATAACGGTCCTAATTTCTTCTTCACCACTTTCTCCGTAGCATTCTTTGGCAGCTCTCCATCGACCACCCGGAGCAAGGTTGGCAACTTATAGCCTGCCAGCCTCGACCTTAAGTCCATCCGCAACCTATCCAGTGTCAGTGTTGTCATACTAGCATTTTTTCGAATGGCCACCACCGCGGCTACACGTTGTCCGAACTCGTCATCTGGCACCCCGATCACCATCGCCTCGTTCACATATGAGAGACCAAGCATTTCCCGTTCAATATCTAGCGCGGAGATCTTGTAGCCGCCTGATTTGACGATGTCGATATCTGCACGACCTAGGATGAGATAATAGTCTCCTGCCCGACTAGCTATGTCACCAGTCTTGTAGTAGCCATCATCATCGTGAGCCTCGAGTGTGGCGGCCTTGTCGTTCAGATAACACGAGAACATGTGTGGGGATTTGACCAGCAGCTCGCCCTGATTAGCGTTACCTGCTATTTTCAATTCCACGCCGACTGAAGCCTTGCCGACTGAGCCATCCGGCAGTACGTCATGGCTATTTCCGCTGTCGATGGGCATGTTGATTACGATCTGCGTCTCGCTCGACCCGTACCGTTGCACAATGGGATGACCACCTCGAAGCTCCTTCCAGAAGCGATCGATGGCTTGTGATAATGCCGCCGTGCCGCAGAACAACACCTTGATATTTGCCGCTCCGTTGCGATAATCTTTCATGATGTTTGGTGGCAGATGGCTGATGTGCTTCTCCCAATGTCGCATGAGGCGCATGTAAATGGTTGGAACTCCAGTGAAATGTGTCAAACCCCCTTGTCGCAACCGATCCCATATCCACTGAGAGTCGAACCCGCCAGATTTGAACTCGATGCATGCTCCAGCTTGAAGGAATGGAAAAAATGAAAGATTCACACCTGTGGCATGGTGCACAGGGAGTGGATGTAGAAGCGTGTCCGTTGCTTGAAGATCCAGCTGATCTGCAAGAGATTGTGCTCCTGTTGTGATTGTTGAGCGCCTGAGGACAACGGCTTTAGGTGGTCCCGTTGTACCGGAGGTGAATATGATGGTTCCAGGCCCATTTGGATCATGCTGGGGCCCGGACGATATAAATATCTGCGCGAGGGGCACAAGTCCTGCATGGTTATTCCCATCGATCGAGATAGGGAGTGCGACGAAGTCATTTCCCAAGCCCTGATTTCGAATTTGGACTTCTAACTTTTTCGCCGAGTTCCAGCCTTTTTTTGAAGCAAGGATCATCACCGAATGGGTCTTTTCAATATAATAGGTCAGCTCCTTTGTAGGCATTGCTATGCTAAGTAACGATGCACAGGCTCCGAGGGCGAGTACGGCCAAAATAGCCACGGAGAACTCGTAGCCTCCTTCGGCAAAGAGACTGATTAAGACATCGCGCCCATTGTCAAGATCCCGAATAGTCTTCGGTGCCAAAGATTTGACGATATCTTGCCTGAAAGTTAAGACATCGCTGAGGAGGGTGTGGGCGGTGGCCTCGAGCCCTGCATTTATGTCGCGAATTAGCGGTCTTCCGGCGTGTCTGCCGTGCGCGATGGTCAAAAGCCTGAGGAACAACGGATCATTGGGAAGGACATTATCGTTGAAATTGCCTTGGCGGGGCACGAAGTTCGCTCGGTCTGTCATTGTTCGAGGCAAGTTCTTAAAAAGTGTCCACAAGAACACAGAATTAGTCGAAAGCACCTTTGGAACTGCTGATGGAGTCCGTTTATAGTAATTTAGATGGGTCCGAAATTTCCGGAGCTCCGTGAATCGACTACCTATCCAGAACAGTAGCCTGGATTTGAATACCGATCACTATCTTGACCCTACAAGTCCAACTCGTATTCGAATGTCGAGCCATGAACTTTAGTCTATAGAGGCTGACAGGGAATATTTACTCTGATTGATCCCGTCACCTAGCGGTTCGAAGCGCTGGACCATAATCAAGTAGCTGAGCTGCCCTACGAAATCTTAAAAAAGCTGAGAATAGTCTCACCCACCATATCCCCTAACTGCCGCCTCACCTCCTGGGTGCTCTCTGACAAAATTGGCAAATCGTGAACCTGATCGTCAATTACTGACAATTAGTAGCCATTCTAAAACCCCTTGAAAGAGGGAGCGGATCAAACACAATGGTCGCTCTTCATCTGTGCCATCGCACTACTCCACTCCCCCTGGGAGTTTGAGACGGCAATATCTCCGCACGCTGAGGCTTTGTTAGTGTGACAGGCTTTGCATTCATTCTATCATATGAAGTAGTAATAGTGGTAGTAGTATCATCTACCATCAGTATTGGTTCCGCCAACGACCGCGTTCGGTATATGCACGTTGCTCGTCATTCTTTTTCAGATAGATGCCGACAGTCTCGCCGGGAGACTCGCTCCCCGGCATATCGCTTAAGCGGCTGGAAATTACCGCAAATGGACGAGTGGGTCTGTTCTTCTTGATCGTAGCTACCAAAAGCCTGAGTAACAAGAATCCATAGAAATTGCGATAGCCCTAGATGTTTATTACAGAATTCCTGATTGAAATCATACTTCCATGCCCAGGGTGAGTCAATACTGCAACAATGGAGGGCGAAGTCTTTGCGCAAAACGTATTGGGTGACGGCAAACCTCCAAAAGCACAGAGCACACTCAGTACAAAGACTGTCAACAGTGTTAACACGCTACAAAGTTCCTTCACAATCTCCCTGGGCAAACCTAGAAAACCATGGGAGAATGTCCACTTTGATGCTGCGCTGAAGCCGAAAGACTATCAGATCAAAGGTAAAGACCGTCTGTCTCGAAAATGCAACAAATAAACACATAAATGGTGCGCTGATATTGAATTTGAATCCGTCATAGGTACTCCTGAGCATTCGACTATCCTTATATTAGACGTCAACATCTTTGACTCCACTGGATCATCCCCTTTCCGCGGCGATGTCCTTATTCGAGGAGAGCGGATCACTCATGTCGGTACAATTCCCAACATCGAGGAATTGATTGCCGACACCAAGGTTAAAGTCGTCCAGGGACGAGGTCGCACATTGATGAGTGGCCTAGGTGACGCACACACACATCTCTCCTGGAATTCCGGAGATATACCGGCCCTGGCGGGACTAGGAGTGGAAGAACATACGCTGCTAACCGCAAGGTCGGCACAGACGGCACTGGATAGTGGCTACACCATGTAAGTAAAAGTTCATCTACATGCAAGCAAATACCAACAAGTACTAAACTTATCTGTTAAGGTGCTTTGGGGCAGCCTCTGCTCAGGATCGGCTGGACGTGGTGGTCCGAGATGCCATCAATTCGGGAAAATTGCCCGGTCCTAGATACCTGGCAAATTGTAAGGAGATTGTTAGCCCACAGGATGCGGTGGGACAGAACGGCCTTGCCGTCACGGCCAGCGGACCTGACGAGATGCGTACTACAGTTAATAGACACATCGACCTCGGCGCTGATACGGTTAAGCTAACCATGTCGGGAGAAGAAATATGTGAGCCATTATCGTCAGAGAAGTGCTACTATACCGATGAAGAGACGGCAGCTTGTGTGGAAGTAGCGCACGGTCGAGGTAGAAGACTCTGCGCTCATGCGAGGTACGTTTAACATTACTAATAAGTATACTCTTCCTAACAGATATCTATGTATAGAGCTCGCGATAGTGTTAAGATGTGCGTTAAACACGGAGTGGATATTATTTTCCATGCAAGTTGGACCGATAATGAAGGTCTGGAAATGCTAGTAAAGCATAAGGACAAGCATATAGTGGTGCCCGCTATCAATTGGCTCTACGCAACCCTATATGAATCCGAACAATATGGCTATCGCATGTCCGAGGAGGAGAGAGACGGCTATGCGAGAGAGTTCGAGCATGCAAAGAAGGTTCTAAGTGAGATGCATCGGCGAGGGATCACTGTACTCCCGTATAATTCCCTCTAATTGACCTAGATCGACAACTTATGCTAATACTAGAAAATTAGAGGGGGAGATTATGGATTCGCCTGGACACCTCATGGCACATATGCTCGAGACCTCGAGCATTTCGTTAAGTGGTTAGGCTTTACTCCGATGGAGTCGTTACTCGCAGCGACCGCCGGTGTCGCCAGTATCTTCATGCGAGGAGACGAGCTTGGGCAGGTCACGCCTGGCTATTTCGCAGATTGTATCTTGGTGGACGGGAATCCGCTAGAGAACATTGGCGTCCTGCAAGACCATAGCCGACTCAACTTGATTCTGATCAACGGAAGGATACACAAGGCTTCACAGAAGGACTTCATGACTTCAGACGAGCGAAAATCTAGAGCGGAGGCCGCTCGATCGGTTCACACGGCTGTAAAAGGCCATTCAACACCATCGCAGAAGCCGATTAACTATGTGGCGTACGCAGAATCGACAGGAGAGAGTCGCGTTGGCCACTTTGACCTAGACAGCCAACTCGTTACACCGTTGAGCTTGCCGTCTGGGGCGCCACTACAGACCCTCTATCAAGTTATCGATTTACAGGAGGACCCTGTGGCTAATGGCCCGCCAATTCCAGTCCAGTCTACTGCCCTCCTCCCTCCCATCTGTGGACGTGACATTATCGCCGTAGGGAAGAACTATATGGACCATGCCAAAGAATTCCACGCAAGCGGCTACGACTCAAGTGACAAGGCCGCTCAGCCCTCACATCCAGTGATATTCACTAAGCGAAGCACGAGTATTGTACCCACAGGCGCCAACATCGTCCTAGACCCTCAGTTCACCGAGACGCTAGACTACGAAGGCGAAATTGGTGTCATTATAGGTAAGTCTGGACGACACATCCGCGAAAAAGACGCCTCGAACTATGTCTGGGGCTACACCATCATTAATGATGTAACAGCACGTGAAGTCCAACGTGACCATAAGCAGTTCTATCTAGGAAAGTCAGGAGACACGTATTGTCCTATGGGCCCGATTGCTGTGCCTGCTACAAGCCTTCCGGAAAAGCTCCGCCTTCAAACCTTTATTAATGGCGAGAAAAGACAGGATGCTACCACGGACGACTTGATCTTCTCGATTGCTCGGTTGATCTCTACTATTTCCATGGGCGCCACTATCCAGGCCGGCGATGTGATTGCCACAGGAACACCCGCGGGTGTAGGGTTTGGCCAGACACCACCAACCTTCCTTAAAGCTGGCGATGTGGTCGAAGTCACAGTTACAGGCCTGGGAACGTTACGGAACCAAGTTATCTTGAAAAAGCCTAACTCCATATTTACTGAATTGCAGGATGAGTCAAACAACAGTGGACCACCTGGAACATCTGGCCTTACGAGAATCAATTCGAAAATAGTGAACGTGGAGATCTCTGGCAGAGGTCAATCACATGTCATCTTTGTCCACGGACTGGGAGGCTCAACGGAATTCTATACGCCTTTGCTCAAAAGTACAAGTCTTGAGAAGCTTTTCAAATGCATTCGGTACGACATAGAAGGCCACGGCCAGTCGCCCACAGATGCAACTTCGAACATCTCTATCCCGAGTTACGCAGCTGATCTTGCCGCGTTATTCAGACATATTACAGACCAGCCGTCTGTGCTCGTTGCTCACTCGATGGGCTCTTTGATTGCATTATACTTTGCCGCTCAACATCCGGAGTGCGTGCAGAAGGTGATCCTCTTGGGACCTGCACGGTACCCAGTGCCCATGGCCGCCACAGACGGACAGAACAAGCGAGCCAGGGCGGTCAGAGCTGAAGGGATGAGTGCGGTTGCTGAAACAGTTGCAACTAACGGAACTTCCGATAAAACACGGGCTACGAAGATATCGGCGTATAGCGCCGTGAAGGCGATTCTGATGGGCCAGGATCCTGAAGGGTACGCAAAAGCTTGCGCGGCGCTAGGAGAGGCGGCGGTTCTCGAGATTGACCTGTCGAAGCTCACTATGCCAGTGCTGATTGTCACAGGCAAGGAAGACAAAGTCAGCCCTGTGGCGGCCTGTCGAAGTCTATGCGAAATGCTTCCAGATGCCAAGTTGGACGTGATAGAAGGAGTGGGACATTGGAGTGTAATTGAAGACCCAGTTGCAGTGGGAGATGCGGTGGCGAGATTTCTGAAGACATAAGTCAAAAAGACTGTGATATGAGTTGCCACGAATAATTACAGATTCATTAGCTTACTGGGATCATGACCCGTAGTAGTCAGTAGCAACGATCTTTCTATCCTAGTCCACCTGAATACAGCCTTCTGCTGGGTCCTCATGCTCGGTATTTTCGTAGTAGTCGGTCACCAAGGCCACCATTTTCTGATTCTATTTGGCTTTCGGCGGATATCATATTTAGACTCGGCCGGAGACAGGTAATTGGCAGTGACCACAGCACAGTGTGTCGAGGGCCTTCTCCGAAGATTTGATGGTAAATGAGCTAGCCCCTAAGCTTTTGCTTTGGGTGCCTGTTGAAGTCGAGTTCTTTCCAAATGAGACTGTTATCGTTCATGCAGGACTATCCTCGTCCAAGTGATTAGGATCGATCACCTCGATCTTCTGCAAAGCGATAGACACAAATTCTGAGCGGGCCCAGTCCCTCAACATATTACGACAAGCCCTTTCGCGCTCTTCCTATGGGGCGGAGGGGACAAAATCCACCGTCGAAAACTTGCCCTCGAAACATTATCAACCCATCCTTTGTTTTCAAAACTTGTCATTGTCCCTCGTTCAGTGGCGAGAAAAGATGTGTGGACCAGGATAGCAATTCAATCCAAGGAGCTGGTGGCTCTGAAACTCCAACATCAATGGTCCAACGCTCAGTTCATGGATGCGATTGCCATGACCGACTGGATGATGCCTATCCACCCTCAATTCCGCATCTTCATGTCAAACCTCGAGCGTCAGATGTCCGACGAGCAGAAAAGTATCTGGGTTCCCAAGGCCGAGAGATTCGAGATCTTGGGTTGCTACTACCAGACTAAACTAGGACATGGGTCGAATGTGAGAGGAATCGAAACCACCGCGATACTCGACGAAGACAGCGACGAGGTTATCCTCAACTCTCCAACGTTGAGCAGCACTAAATACTGGCTTGGAGCTGCCGGGGTGTGCGCTACGCATGGTATCGTAGTTGCACGACTTTTCATTCGAGGACATGGCTATGGGACGCATTTATTCTTGACACAATTGAGAGATCTGGACACGCACCAGCTTTGTACCGGTGTTGAGATCTACGAACTTGGTCCTAAGGTCTTCCAGGGCATGCTAGGTACTGACAATGGGGCTCTCTGATTCTATAACGTCCGAATCCCTCGGTCACAAATGCTAGCGAGAAACGCACAAGTCTTGCGAGATGGGACATACGTTAAGCCAAAGAATACTAAGCATTCTTACGGCTTGATGGTATCCGTTCGAGCTCTAATGGCCGAGATCACCGCATGGGATCTTCTCAAAGCCGTGGTAGTCGCATATCATTATACTAAGTTTCGGCAACAGTTCAAGAAGGACAGTACCGACAAGAACGAAGTAGCCGTCTTCGACAATACTAGCGTTAGATATCGAGTTCTACATCTTCTAGCTACAGTGAGCATTTATTCTATCTTCTCACTTCTTCCGTCAAACTGAAACTAATAACTATAGGCAACCGCCGTAATCGTGGTGGGACATTCCATCAAGAAAGCAGATGACGAGTACACGGCCACTATGCTCCAGACTGGCAGCACCAGCGAGCTGGAGGACTTGCATCTGCAGACCGTGTCGGCAAAGACCTATTCGACCGAAGTTGCAAGCCGTGGCGTCGAAACATGCAGAATCGCTTGTGGTGGCCATGGATACAGTGGGTTTGGACGAATGTATGCACACGGTGAATGCAGTGACCTACGAAGGCGACAATTATGTCATTAGTCAGCAAGTGACAAGAGCGGTGTTAAAGTACCACCAACGAGGCTTAACCATATTTCTCCCCCAAGCCTTTCGTACCTACATTTTCTGCAGGCGAGACGTGACATGAGAAATCCCAGTATCGACTCGGAAGCCGAATGTTGACAGCTCCAGTCCTTCAATGGGCTTTGAAGTCTCGTCTTGCGAAGCTTGTACAACAGCAGGTCGAAGACAGTGATAGTGGAAAGGACAATAGCTACTCCAGCCATGCTCTCACTATGGCTCATTCCGATTATATCTACTGAAGGGGCTCTGGAGTGCCGTGGGGTCGATCGAGGACGGCCGAGAGGACTTTGCTCCACATATGAGGTCTTTGGCACAAGTTGTAAGTCTACACATATACGCACATGGCTCAGCGCACTCGAACGACGTCTAACAATGATGGTCGTGCTAGTTTTCGCTTTCCACTCTCCTCAATCCACATCATCCCAGCCTTTCCCAAGCATTGAGTTTGTCGCCTGCCCAGTTCAGTCACATGAGACAGGCGTTTTCGACTGCCATAGAGGCTCTGGCCGTGAACGACGTGGATGCAATTGTTTCTGCATATGGGTTGACTGAGAACGATCCGGACAGCGCATTGGCTCGAACGAACCAGACACCGTACGAAGCGTTGTTCCAAGGTGCTCAAACCAGCGAGATGTCAGGGGAGAAGATGTCACACATTTGGCCTTTGATAATAGAGACGACCCGATTGTGGAAACAAGCCACCTCGCCGGAAGCCAAAGCCAAGCTGTGAGCAAGTAGCTGGTTGTCAGTCCCTAAAAGGGTTTACAGATCGGAATATGTTGGCGGGAAATACCCCTAATTTCGTTATCTATTTGGTGCTTAGTTCAACTGTGAAAACACTGCAAATATAGGTCTTGGTGCCCACTCTAGGTATATATATATATGACTACCTATCTAGATATTACAATCCTCACACAAGTTTTCTCCTCATTTTGAACATATGGCTATAAGCCAACAGAGCTAGGTACCACTAATCCCTCACGAAGAACTTAAATTACATCAGTTATTAAGTAGTATCTGGGGGATTACGTTGTTCTCATCTGATCAAACTTCTCCGCCAGGGTGAGTTAGGTCAATAGCGGCATCTTCCCTTGTTCCATCGCCTCCGTCGACGTAAAGCCGTAGTAGCTAACAAACTCGCGGTCGGAGCTCTTATTGTCCACCCACAGGTCATAACCTATCCTCAAGTCGTTGATCACATCGTCCTTCCAGATCTTGAGTGGTTCTTTCCCCTGTCCGACCTCTCTGATCGACCGGTTACCCGCCATTAAGGCAAGCCAAAACTCCCCCAGCTCCATCTTCGGAATGATGCTCCCCATCACCTTACCCTCGAGAATCTTCTTACAGAGATCGAATTCCTGTACCAGCGGCCTCGCGAGACCAATTCCGTCCACCGTTTCTAGGGCCCGAACCATACCGCCCACTGTACGTAACCCGCCCGTTAGATAGACCTTAGTCTTACTTAGACCGGGGACAATCTTCTCGGCAAATTCCTGGAAATACGCCTCGCGTTTCTTAGTTGACGCGCGCACACTCTCACCACGGTGTTGGTTGCCTGTCATTAAGTTCTCGGACGATCCGCCACTTAGCTCGATGAAATCAAAGTGATGACGCTCAAGCTCGCGACACACTAGATTCGCCTCCTCCGGCGTAAAAGCTGTCTCCTGGAACTCAGTACTATTTATTTTAATGCCAAGGATGAAGCTAGGGTGTACGCGCTGGCGAATTGCCCGTTCGATCTCTAGGTGGATGCGTAGGCGGTTAGTGATACTACCCCCCCATCGATCCGTACGTAAATTGGTCTTTGCGCTCAGGAACCCTGATAGTAGGAAGCCGTTCGCTGCATGCAGCTGCATGCCATCAAACCCTGCTTTTTCTAGATACTCAGCAGCGTGGGCGAACGAGTCGATGATAGCGGCGATCTCAGCCTCCGTTGCAGCGTGTGGATCATTGAACTTAAGTGGTCGTTTAGGCCCGCTGAACTCATAGGGCACAGCTGACGCTGCTACGGGGCACGGTTGAAAGTAGCTATGGCACTGGCGGCCTGGGTGGGACACTTGAGCCACCATGAGATTGCCACCTCTTTTGCCGGAGGCGGCCCATTGTTGGAAGGCCTCGAAACGGGCGCCTTCGAAGGGCGCTTCGGGCGGGATGACCGGGTCACCGACAGACTCGAGGTGATCAAGGAACACCACTGTTTTCCTATTAAGCAGGAAAAGTCTATATATTTCTAGAAAGGGGAAAATGAGGTATTCTAAGCACTTACTGACATTCCCAGTGACCACCATACCGATACATCCCTGGCCCCAGTGGTCGTACACGCGACAGAGATTCTTCGTAGGAATCCCTCTCTTTGCCGGGGTCTCCTTATGCCACGACGAAAGCTGCTCGGTCATGGCGGCTTTCATGAAGCGATTCGAAGCCCTCCTGCCTGAGAAAGCGAACTCCAACGGCTCAGACAGGGGTGTCGCATCTGTGATGTCGGATACGTATCGAGGCGGAGGCCCGAAGTCACTGCAGCTCAAGACCATGTCGATGTTCCTAGCACCTTTGCAAGTGTTATTTGTTGCGACTTGGACTTTTGACAGGGCGTAGTACCTCCGCTGCGGTCCCTAAATACTGATCTTCTTCGCTTCCCTCTGGCAGCCAAGCGCAGGTTAGAGTGAAGGTTATTTCCTTTGTAAAGAGACACTAAACCGCCGAGTAAAAAGTAGGGCCTACGGGAATTCGGCTATACCCTCGATTTGAACAAGAGGACAGCTCCGTGCCGTGCTGCAAGCTACACCCGCTTCCGGCTCCTGCGTTTTCGGGGCTTTTGGGCGACTTACTGGATTAGTCTCATGGTCGTCGCCACCTTCTTTCAGGTCGATCGAGATCTATCGAGGTTCTCAATTGGATAATTTAGGCATTTTCTTGTTATGGCAGCGCCGGTTCCCTAGCTCCCATTGGTGTTCTCGGCCCGGGGACCCTCCTACTGAGACTTAGCTCGAAGCCAACCTCCAGTTTCTCGACATATAATCGACTAACGGGGACAGACGGAGTTAACCCTCACCGTCATCACGTTTCTGGCCTTGGCTTGTACTATGGTATGTGTCATATACCACTACGAGCGCTGTAGCAGCTTCAAAATTTCCTATTTAAAGTTGAACCTGCTAACGTTGTCCTTGTCTGATTACTGGCCCAGCATAAAGCAGACCTGTTGACTGCCACTTTAAAACAGTTCAAGATGGCGTGGCAGTTTACTGTCCAGCACGATATCATGGCCACCCCAGAGCGAGTTTACCAGGTCTGGCTGGACTGTAATGACAGTCGCGGCCCGTGGGTTGGCGACGGGGAAAGACAACTTGACCCGCGCGAGGGCGGCGACTATGTCTGGTACGATCACCACTTCTCCGACCTGGGGGGTGGCGGAGGAAACTGGGGCCACTGGGGCAAATTCATTGAGCTCGATAACAAAAAACTGCCATACAACGTCGAGTATAGTTGGAAGTCACGATAGACCGATCAGCTGGACACCAAGGTGATAGTCTCTATAGACACGGACAAGACAGATGAGAGATTCACTAAAGTTACCCTCTCTATGACTGACCTTCCGGAAAATCGTCACGGCTATGAGCACAAAAATGCTTGGATTCGCATCCTAGGTAAGACGGGGGCCAAGTTCTGGGGGAATGCCGGGGAACAGGATCAATGACCCAAAGTCTTGCACTGATGTGTAGAGGACGAGGGATGCGAAAATGACAACGTGGGTCAGTAAATAGAGAAATGTGCAAGAGCTTACTAAGACCTATATTCTAAAAGTTAGTTTAATTGAATAATGGTCGTATAATTTTAGTGGATGAAATTTAGTTATACTCATTGACTGTATCAAAGAGAGTCTGTGGAGGAAACGCAGCAATCTGTTATTTCTGGACGTTATAGAAAGCACAAGTTCAACAGATTAGTCTCACAGTTGCTTCAGCTCTATGCAACCCAATAGGTGAGACTTGAATGCTCTTGGATTCTATCCGATATAGCTCTCTGCCTCAAAACTGCCTCATGTGCCTTGGCCGAACCCACTGTCTTTATGCTCCTAAGCCTAGATGAGTACCAACCTCATCTTCAAATTTCGTATCTAAGGTCCCCAAATATACAGTGGAATATACAACAAAAGCACAAACATCCAAATACCTACCATAGTGCCAAAGACCTGATTTAAAACTCAGTATGGGAGCAATCGATAGAAAGATTAAACTTAGTGTGGAATACCCAACTTTCGTAGTCCACGTATGAAGCCGTAGCTGAAAGCAAAGGCAGCTGTATTCTTGACCCCGTTTACGACCAACAAACCTTCGGCAGCTTCTTCAAAGTACGAGTCCATCACATACATCATGGCAATACTTGCTGCAGCTGGAACGATATTAATCATACCGAACCAATGAAGAGCACGGTCCAGGGAAGCGATCTCTGAGCGCCAATCCCAAACATCAACAGACCACATGGTCCGAGTATAAATGGGATAATAAGGAGGACGAGTGGATATTCAGGTAGGAACTTGCCGCTATTCCAGCGAGCCTGGCGCCGGGCATAGACATCTGTACACTTACCCCCGATAAAGGCACCGAGACAAGTACCAACTGTACAACGAGCCAAGACCCGTCTGTCAGTTAACTGTAGAACCAAAACTTCTGAGCGAAGATATGCCATACCTAGTCCCGGAATATCGGTAAGGCCGTTAACACCAGGGCCAAACTTGTATAGTGGAATCGAAAAGACAAACGATCTCAACGACCCGATACCGAGGAGCCATGCCAAAAGAACCGAGTCTACCCAACACTCGTAAGTCTATGTCCTCACAAGTGGTGCCACTCCTCCGTTATGCACTTACAGGAAAGTGACCCTAGTGCAATAGCAGGATATGCAAGCAAGGGAAAGGGTCGAATCAAGTGGTTGAAGTATGAGACTTCACTGATGCCGGACCAGATACTGAGCTCATGAAGATATGTCTTCTTGACACCAGTGAGACGGTCGGAAGTGCAAGTACGGCTTTCAATGTTCTCGATGGCTTTCTCGTCCATCGATTTCACTTCGGGGGTTTCTTCCACAGCGACAGCTTCTTTGGTGACCGCAGCGTCGATGGAGCGGTGCCACCGTGTCTCTGGAAAGAAGAAAACGATCCCCAGAAAGGTAATGCCGGATATGATGACACAGAGCCATGACACCCAGCGCCAACCAACACCTGCTAGGTCAGGTCATGTCAGAACCTGTTAACATAGAGGACCTTTTCTATATCTCACCTTGAGTCATGAACCCTGTCACCAGGGGACCGAGTGAGTTGCCCAGATTGAGAAATGGGAGGTAGATTCCCATTTTGGAAACCCTTTCGTGCAGAAAGAAGATATCCTGATGTAGTCAGTTAGTTAGCGTCCACCAAGTATTACGGCTAAAAGACATATAGATACAGTTAAAGCTCCCATAGCTTCGGTACACGATCCGAAAAAGGCACCAATGGTCCGGCTGGCTAGTAGATTCGCATAGTAGGGAGAAGCTGCCGACCAGATCTCGCAGGCAAACATGACTAGAGAAGCCACAAGAGATACGGGTCGTCATCCCAGATACTCGGCGGTGGGAGTCCAGAAGAAGTTCTTGAATTACCACGTTAGCCTGCAGGAATTAAGAAGTAAAGAAGTATAGGGTAGCTGCGCTACTCACACAAAGTCCTGCCGAGAGTACCGGCCAGGTCAGCAGTCCAGTCATGTCGGACAGGCTGAGGTCGAATTCCTGGCTCAAGACGTAGAATGCTGGGGAGAGTCCTCCGATCCAGGCGGTCGTCATGAAGGTCAACACACAAATGTTGATAAACGCGGCCCACTTCTTCCATTGTGGTAGGCGAAGTGGATCATTGCAATCACTACTAGGGTGAGGAACTTTGTCTTGCCTTTAGCTTTAATGCTTGACTTAAATGCGCAGTTATAGTCGATCCCGTACCTCTGTATCTGGCTTTGGATCTGGACAGGCCCGCAACTGGTCGTTCGATCCCTCTCCCCAGACTCTAGACCCCATGGGGATGGTCCTCCCCATAGCGCAAAGCCAGTGTTGAAGAATGCCGAGACCTGCCAGTCAGTAATAGGCGCAATATGGAAAAAGCCGATCGGCATTGGGGATATAGCATTCGACAGAGCGAAAACTATCAAGTCACCGATCACTGATAGTGACCTGCTGTCTCTTCAGGAATGTGGGTTTATGGATTTGGCCGATACAGTAAAAATCAAGCTCCTATTCAGGGTTCCCGAGGCTGGTATCAGTATCACCGTTGCTCCAGCTCTACCCTTTGGGACGGCTGACCCCAGGGTCAGGGAAAACCTGTAGGATGTCACGATCAAGTTAACACCGTCTTGATCAAATACGGCGCTGAATCGTCAGCCCATTTTATGCGACCAAGACGTCGAACTAATCTTTCAAATGATCCTTGCTGGTGACGTGACAGAAACCGACACGGCTGTATCATCACAGTGGGGACTGTAGTCAAGGAGATATTATCACCATCGGAGCACAAGAAATGGATCAGCTGGTGGAAGTGCCGAGAGTGTCTTGCCGAGGCCTCCTATCCCAAGGAGCCTTACCAAAAGGCACAGCCATCTGGCGGTATATGAAGGATGAGGTAAGCTTTTCCTCTCTTTCTTGCCTAGAGTCAACAATTAATGCGAGTATCTACAGGTTTCAGTCAAGAATCTTTGAGACGAGACAAGATGACTGCTGAACTAGTACAATCGTCTCGCTTCCGCTCAGAGACGATGTCAGTTGCAAGAAGAAGCTTGGAAATCCGGGACCCGGGTCCAAGGTGAAGTGCGGGGGATTCGGACCCATTGGACCCGGACCCGGACCCTGCCTTCGCTGGGTCGGGCTGCAATTCTGCCAATGTTGAGACTTGCTAAGAATGTCGCATCGAGATTACAACTCATAGAGTGACTGGCACGTCATGTTACAAGTCGAGATCTAGAAGCGTCATGCGACTTGCGACAGGAGGCTGCAGAGGGTTGAGAAGAGCAGAGGTTTACCTGTAACGTCAGATCGAGATGTCATAGCTGCGCCAGCGTCCCACAGTTTCACCAAGGCTTTGGAGATCAAGGACGAAGTAATAAGAAATCTATCAAAACAACTACGGTCTCTGGAAAACGCGCTGTCCGACTCAGCTCTGGCAGCAACACTTCTGCCAGCTATATGTGAAGAGGGCAGTTCATACATCCAGCTCTAGCATGAAAAGTGGCTTTATTTGGCGAGTATTGAAAAGCATGCTGACATCTGCTGTCCGTTTACAACTAGTTCACACACAGCTGTGATAAATCTACAAATCAAAAGCTAATATATCTGCAAGGTGCACGTCGCATACTTGAATAATGGCTTGCTGCAAACACGGCCAACAGCAATTCGTGCGGAGGCCGTGTATATGGTGCAGAGATCGGTCCGACAAGATTTGATACATGGTCTACACGTATCCTGGTAAATATGTTCATCTGGGGAGATCTTCCATAGCGCCTTGCTATTCCCGTTTTCAGAGTACGCAGCATCATGGAATGCCCAAGCCCCTCAAATTGACCGATACGCTGAACAGACCGGACGACACGAATCCTTTTATGTTTGGCTTCCTGCGCAACATCTTCTGGTTGATGGGTGAAATAAGCTCCATCCTGCGCCAAATGTACCTGCGACCCAGGCTCTCAGTCCGAGGAGTTGGACAACTTGATCTTCTTTGCCTGGGCTTTGATCGTGATCCAGTTGCTTTATCTCCTCACCTCCTCAGCAAGGCTTCAGGCCTTGAACGCCGTATCCAGAGAGACTTTGACAACCTACCACGCTTGTACACAGGAGCTTTTGCAGTCTCGAGCTCTCGGCTCCACGAGTACCGAGCAACAATAGAACGTTACCGGCGTGCAACCCTTCTTACCTTAATCAAGTAGCCCCTGAATTGACGACTCCTGATGCCGAAGACGAACTTTTGCATATCCACATAGGATTTACTGACGTCCATACCTGCAGATTCTCCTACCTTAGCTTTCCACTCCTCTATATTGGTGGTTGCCGGATCTCAAGTGAAGAAGGCTTGTCTGCACAGTGAATGCGTCACCTCCGATTCAACATCGAGTGAAGATATATGCACATATCGAAACCTAGTTCTCGATCGTTTGATGTTCCTTGAGGTGCACTTTCCTGGCCAGCTAGCCTTCAAGCATACCAGGACGTTGATTCAGGAGGCAAGATATCAACACTTCTCAATTCACATTCCTATACGTGACGTCTCACCCGTCCCACTCCATTACCGGGTTACAAAGAAATTACACTGTGACCGACAGATATGGCAATACCGAGACATTAGGGATAGTGATCAAATAACAGCCGATTTTTTGGGAACGTGGTCGTGTAGCGACATGTAGAACCACGTTCAAGCATCAACCTTAGCTTTTCCATGATATTACTATTTTCGCATGGAGATTTGGCGATAGACAGCTAGATCATCCCTCTTTACCCAGCCAGCCTCCCTAGGGATAGATAGTGTTACTAGATCGTCCATATAAGGCAGGTAATAGTGCGGGCATACTAAAAATGGGTGAGTAGTTCAGAGACTTATAGCATAGAACTATACGAATTGGCTGTGCATACCAAGGCAATCACACCAAGTCGACACGGAATATTTACCTACAATCATATCATTCATTTTGTCAGAACTTAGAATACTAGAAATAAGGGCCTTGGCCACGGTTCTGGAGACATACCCAAATCCCGTCACGGCCAATATCCTGATTCGCCGCTCGTGACCCCTCAACGACACAGCCTTGCATCCCCGGTTGGGGCACTACCGAATATTCCGTGTTTCTCCTTACCTCGGCTCTTGCCCTTCCTTTCCCGGTTCCCTCCTTTTTGTCCTACATTCTGGCTTTCACAATGTTCTTTTTCCCTTGTCAATAAATACTGCAACGAGATCCGATTGCCCGACAGGTAATTGATTGCGGAGCTTAGTGGACCAGTACTATAGTGAAAGTACCAATGCATTCTGAAGTATACCCTCAATTGAAGACCAACAATTACGTAAGCACCAATGGCAGGAGCACCACCATCACCAGCAGCAGCAGGAGGGGGCAGTGAGCCATTTCTGTGGAGCCATGTAAGTACTCATCTCGCACATGTATTCCATGCCTTCAAAAGACCCGGCCAAACTCCACAAAACACCGAACTAATCCCAACGTCCCCTTCCACACACATACAGCCCGTATCGTCATACGCCCAAAAAGTCCGCATCGCACTGCGCTACAAGAACATCGCATTTACCTTCCAAACACCGCGCGGCGGCGGGTCCGGCATCCCAGCCGCGACGGACACAGAATTCTCCTCCGGCAACCCACGGGTAGAGATGCCGATGCTGGTCGATGGAGACGTCCGGATCTTCGACTCGACGATCATCCTCGAGTACATCGAGGACAAATGGCCAGAGCCGGCGCTCTTGCCGGCAGCTCAAGCCGATCCCGCGGGGCGGGCACGGGCGCGCATGATCGAGGACGTGTGCGACACGCATTACGAGGCGATTAATTGGGGACTCGGGGAAGTCAACTCGTTTGGGCGTGCGGAGGGCCCAGCGGCGGAGAAGCTTGCTGCGCAGGCGGAGCATCAGATTGGGCAGGTGCAGAAGTGGTTGACGGAGCAACTGGGCGGGAAGGAGTGGTTTGGCGGGGAGCGGTTTGGCTGGGCGGACCTCACTGTTGCTGTGATGGTGAATAGGACGGCTTCGTATGGGATCCGGCCGGAGGCAGGGAGTGCGTTGGAGAAGTGGTTTTTGAGGGTTGGGGACGTGCCGGCCGTGAAGGAGACGTTGCAGGAGTGTAACGATGTGTTGAAGACGCCTCCGCCATACAAAGATATATTGAAGCAGGGGTTGTTGCGGAGGCAGTACCGCGACCATCGGCTCGAATGGATGATTAAGTCGGGTGGGATTGATGTTGTGTTGGATGGGATGGAGAAGAACAACATTCGCTTCCCATGGCCTGATCCTCTGGGATAATTGAACGATGGAGGGATGGAGGTATGGATGGATTATAGCGCGGGCACTCTGAGCCAGAGATATAATTGCCACGCATCTAGACTCACTCCGATCTGCCTCAAAGAAACACCGTCTGGCCAAGGCCAAGAAATCCGCCATGGTCAAATATAATTGGGTATTGATGCTATACTTGCTTTGATTCTATTCCAGTGAATCAAGACGCCCAAAACAATTCTCTCTTGCATTGACGATCATTCCCAATCCTCTTCATCGCTTTCATCAATTTTCGCAGTTGTGGACTTGTTGGCATCATCCTTTGGACTTCCAGGGGCTCGACTCGTAGCCCCACTCACAAGGTCATAGCTAGCGTCACTATCAGCAACGGACTTTTCGTCGTGTGACCTCCGACCCGATGATTCAGGCTTTAGAGAAGCTGGATCGGCAGAAGCTACAGGTGTTTGGTGAAGAGTGGTCGAAGAATCATTTACACTTTGAGCAACAAGAAGCTTGGGTGGCTGCTCCTGGCTTTGCTTTAATTGCGGGGTGGCCGATGCGTCTTGCTCGTCTTCCGAGTCCTCATCCCAGCCGACTTCTTCGGCATCATGGGTGGATGCTGTATACAGCGGGTCAGTGATGGCCGGCGTTTTTAGCAAGGGAGATATGCTTACCTTTCAGTAATTCTTTTCTCTTTTCTTCTTGGACTTCTACAACATGCCTTAAGAAGTAGTACCTGGTCCAGAAGGACTTATAGTCAACCTCCTCTGGCACAAGCTTCTCCATTGAGGCCCGCAATTCATTGTGCTTGTCCAAGTCTTCAGCAATTCTTGTCGTCATCATGTCAATGTCAAATGCTTGCTTGAAATCGTCCCATTGGTTTCCGGCGCCGGTTGGGTCGAGCGTGAAGCTGGTTGAAGTAGTGTGGATGACATGTAATTGAGCATCAAACCTGCTAGTATGAATGACTCTTTTTCCAGTATTTGAATCTTTGCTTTCAAACATGACCTCACCAGGCTGACGAGCATCTTCTGGGGCAGTGACTGCCACAGCCTCTCGAAGGAAGTTTCTGATGTTGGTACCGAATCTGAGAAGAGCTTCGTCAGCAGCATCTTCAGCCTTTTGCACTTCTTTCAGTCGTTTGGCAGCCTCGCTCTTGAACCGTTCGAGGAAGGTGTCTGTATCGTCCAAAGCCTTCTGGTCTCCATCTCGGCTTGGCCCATCGACCAACCGTGCTGCTGCCGCATCAGATTGTGTATCTTTATCTTTATGCTCTGCCGAACTGTCGGCTCCAAATCCGAGACCCTTGAAACTTTTGAGTCTGAGAGCCTCTACCTCGCTTGCAACTTCAGCGGCCTCTTTTCTTGCCTCTTCGTAGTAGGTCTCACTTTGCTTTTTGACATTGCCCCATAAGCCTCCCAAAGTGGCACCCCAAGGAGAATTGGAGAAGGCTTTGAATGTTTCTTGAAACTCGGTTTGAAGGTTCTGTCTGGGAACAGAAGGGGTTGCTCTGGGGGTTGCCGGGTCATTGGCTGCAGTTGCGGTAGTAGAGGTAGTGGGTATCGGTGTTGTTGCTCGGTCTTCAGCTTTGAATTGCTGCTCTGCTATATGATCGTAGGCAAAATCCATGACGGATCAAGGGGAAAAGATTGAAGATGGTCCGTAGTTGGAAATATTGTTGCGTGGGAATAACTGTCTTCACCGTTTGGGTGTCGCGTTGGCGTTGTTATTGTAGCAACAGACACAGGAGCTCTCTACAGCTACCTCTGTCGTTGAGTGGGGCTCCACTTCCAGCAGCTGTCGAGCCAGCGCGCTCTTTGAATCTGGATATGGGCAGGAAATAAGTGTGTGATACAGTTCGTCTTTCACAAGTGGTAGATGGAGGATAGTTGAGAGCGCAGGCTACGGAGAGGGGTACGGCTAATTCCCGCAGCCAACCTACTAATTCCCGTAAATTTTAGCGCCTCTTGGTACTAACGTAGTAGGTTCCTTTCTATGCGAAATAGGATTTACTAGTACTATACTACTAAAACTAGTGTATTTCGATGCTAAGTAGTAGTGCACCTTACTAAGTAGTAAATAATAATAAATAAAGTAGGCGTATACAATTAGTGAATGTAAATTCAACTTCCCTGAATGCTGCCCACATAAACTCAGTCGTCATTTACAACGAGCTAATGAAAGCTGAGGAGAAGGGTACAAAATCTGCACTTAACGAGGGCGGAAGAGTAGATAGCTGGCATAAGCCACACTGTTAAAGTGGAAATGGACATTCGAAGAACTGGAACTAGAAATTGTTTTCTCGGCGAAGTGTTAGATCCTAGATTTACAGGGGTTTCAAAAGGGGGAAGTTTCAACATCTACTTCATGGTCATGGATAAAGATCAAATGTCGAAGATTCTAGCGCACGCGTTCCAGAAGTTGAGCAAAGCGGTGAATGCATTGGACGTAGAGAAAACAGGAGCGAGAAAGGGTCAACCGTTATCCTAGCACAGTGTGTCCTTTAAAACCAACGCTAGTATGAGTATTGAAACTCATGATACTATTTATCTATTCTGGTAAGAATATACCGGAGTAGTTGATGGCGGCTTGTTTAATGCACAAAGGCCACTATCTCTAGTAAGCAGTTACCGAAACTAAGCCACTGCAAAATACAGCTCCTAGTGATTATTCGCCTTTCTTGGAGTTCAACCAGGCGAACCCAGCATCCATGACATTTGCCACACTTGCAGGGTCGTCTATCCCTGGAAGATCTTTGCGAGTCTTCAGACCCCGAACGATCAGATGCCATGCGAGATATCGGTATGAAACGCGAGAGAACGGCTCGCCATATTCGATAGGCGGGCTATCACCCACGGGAATAATATTGTCGCGCAGGTAGATGACTTGCAGGGTGAGAAGTCTCCAACCAACATTTTCGACGTTCTCCACTCTTGAGACGAATCTCCCTGCCGACGTGAGATCGTAGAGGCTCTCGTTGTGTGTGAAACGAGTATTGATTTGTCCGAGAGATTCGACCAAGGCATATTGGTTCTGTCCGCCCGCAAAGTGGATATCTGCTGGATTGAGTACATGGAAGATGGAGGTGCTGTCTGATGTGACGTTCTTGGAGCCGCTGATAAATCCATCCACATTTCCAGAAAACCTATCACCGTGGTGCATACCAGTTAACTCATGTTTCTGTGAAGCATATAGAAACCCCGAGATTGTGCCATACCATGAGATATCTATAAAGGTTTGGTTGGCATCAGGGTGAAAGCATTCACGTTGGCGGTCCCACTGAAGAGTATCTCTGGCCCAACGCTCTCGGGCCAGCACGGCCCTAATTTCGGCATCATCGACAGCAGGATACTTCGCGCACAATCCTGTCTTGGTGCTGCAAATACTCTCAGTTACAACGTCTTGCTGCAACAAGCCGTCTGATGATTTTCTTACATTGTAGCTAGTATTACCCAAAAGAGAGCTGCAAGAGTTTTCATATTACCGAATAATAAGACAAAATAAGAGGTCAGACTGCAAAGATACCGGTGCTTGTTGTGATTCCCTGGTCAAAAGATTCCCGCAATTGAATATCAGGAGACTGGCGGTTTTCAGCTGCTCTAAAGCATGTATACATACTTATACCTTCGTCAAGCCGACGATTCTTGCTCGAATGGAGACGAAGTTCTTGCGCTCAGAACATCATGTACTGTTCTCCAAACCAGGTTGGCGTCAAACCCTGAGCAATGGGGTGATCCCCACATGGGCGGGGGACGAAGGCAAGAAAACAGTCCCACAGGCACGGCTTCAGTAGGATTGAGGCAGCATTAGCCTCTGCGTGAGCACTCCCCTCTCCGTGAGCACTCCTTTCGCTTTTTAGTGAGGGTGAGTACGGAGGTGGAAATGAGTGGGCAATTGAAGTGGAATCATGGGAGAACTTTTTCTGCCAAAATCTGGTTGGTTGTGATTGGATGTTTAGAATACTAGTAGACTAGGCAACGAGAATGGTTGGCGGAGTTTTCTGATTCATCTAAGTTCTACCGAGATAGATCTAGCTGCTACTACCATTGGTGTTGCTGCTGGTCGCAAGTCATATAATATGAAGCGGCCTTAGAGAAGCCTTTAGAGAAATTCACACCGTTCACCTCCAGGTACGGTACATTCTACTTTTTACAAGGAGAGTTCTCATTGTGTTCTTTCCAGCGATGGGAATATCGCTCAGTCTAGTCTTTCGCTAAGCTATGCTTGCGACTCTAGGAGATTGTGGGACCTAGAGTCTCAGATGCGGCAATTTCGAGGATCGTCGGCTGTGTGAGCCTAGGGAAGAGGCAATTGACACAAGGGCAGAGAATCAATCTCTAAACCATTGGTATCGATGTCTACTACCAAATATTGAACTAAACGTAATGAATTAATTAATTACAGCAAGACTAACTAGCTTTCGCGCCAAAGAAATGTTTTAGTAGTACTATAGACTGGTATTGGCGCCAAAGTGACTATCGACGGAACAGGCAGACAACCTCGTGATGACAATCAATGAGTCAGTGCTACAGCCTCTGGAATGCTTTGGAATCATGGAAAAAAGGCTCCAGGAGGTCATCTTGCCTAGTAATTATCTATATAAACTAGAATGGTGACCATAGAATAGAAGAAGACAGAAATCTCAACTACGCTGACTTGCCTGTATCGATTGGCCCGTACAGTTGTACAGCCCAAATCCTCCAACAACTGGGCTACTAAAAAGCCGTTAAGGAGTAAGAGCACCTTTACTCTAAAGGGAGTTAGCCGATAGAGAATAAGGCTATATTATATACTAAGACTAAAGTATACTAGTATACTAGTAGTAGTATAATAGAGTAATATTATAACTAAATTAGTACTATATCGTTACAAGGTAGGTTACTCAAGAGGCCGCCGGGGTTAGACGGCCTACACTAGGAACAAGAAGTTAGCCGATTGAGAACGAGGCTATATTATGTACCTCGGGTCAGGGGCTCTATAGTAGCTCTATAAGGATCTATATCTCTGAATATAGCCCGATAGAGCCTAATATATCTACTAGAGCCCTAGATTTAAATACATATAGGTGAGCACATCGAGGCGGTCACAGAACAGAGCCTTCTGTCGATCCCTCTTCGAAGGCGTCCACTGAGAATCTGGTACGAAGACAGATATGCCTTCATGCTTGATGCACCAGCCCAACACTCCTTCATGACGCATCCGCTTCGAAGGCACTTCAATTGCCTTCTGCAAAGTCCGAACTTGGTTGGTAGAAGGGTCAGCAGAGCGTCGCGGGGTCAAGGAAGAGGTAGTGCGAGATGATCGCCCTGTGATAGCTTGGAGGCTATTAGGTGACACTGGAGCTGGTTGCAGGCGCTTGACCGGCGTGACCTCATTCCGAGCTAGCTCATCTTTAGAAGTTTCCGCATTGGCAATCAACGGTGATAGTGATGTACGGTTGTCTGAGAAATTACTAGTCGAGCTGATGAAGGCCATGTCCGGCAAGGCTGTGAAGGGCAAGCATCGTGGCGTAACGCCATCGAAAGACGGTGGAAGTTCGACAAGAGTGGGTTTGGCCCTGGTGTCCGCGAAGTCTGTATCTGTCCATAATTATCCATCCTCTTGTAGACACAATGTGAGATAGCCCACTTTGGAAAAAATGAGGGCCAAAAATGCTCTTTTTAAGCGTGGCGGGATCCGGGAGGAACAGAGCGATATTCGTAGCTGAGGGGCTTCTTGTTTGACTATAAATCCAAAACGCTACGACATTCCCCCATTGGCTTGCGGACATCTCCTTCGAGCTGAAAATCTCAACAATCAATAAGGACAAGACATCTTGCCGCATAGCCCCGCGAAGTTGTCCGAGGACATCTGAACGGCTGGGCGTCGGCTGCTTGCGCTGCACTGCAAATCCAATTACTGCTTTTTTCAACCAGTCTGCAGAACTCGCCGTCTGAGATCTCCCTGTCAACTATGCGAATTTAGCTTTGATTTAGTCTAGACTCTCAAACTTCCCCGCGGTCAGCAAGGTAGGGGGGGACCCTGAGTTAATGGGATGATATGTGTCCGAGAAGCGACTGGCACAATTCTCTGGGTTTGTGGCGCCGGGAATAGCCAACATGAAACGTTCACCGTGCCTCCCGGCGAATGCGGCTTGTGTGCTTCGGCCTTTATAGTCGCACACGAATTTTCGCGTGCTCTTCCACGAGGATTGTTGGTTCAGAAAAGGTCATGGCCCATCAACGTTTTGACTTGTCCCCTCTCCTGCTGATAATTCCTCGGGGTCTGGAAATATTAGGGCTTCTGGAAGCGCCAACTGACCCTCCGGTGGTCCCGTCAGACGGGTTTTTTTGTTGCCATTCCTGAGAGGGTGCTTCTGAGCTCGTACTGCTGGTGCAGGAGGGCAAAAAGGAGATCACCTTTCGGGCCTCGTTGGATCGTAGTGCTGGGCAGTTCCTTAGTGACTCGATTTTCCTCGGATAGTCCTATTCATGATACATCACCACAACATACGTCAGGTAAGAAGTCGCAATGTTGATTCAAGGCATTCGAAAAGAGCTCTCCTATAAATTTCTACTCCGAAGGAAAGGTCTCATGCTATTCATTTGCTTCAGCAAACGGTAAATACATAAAGGCACTTAGTCATATGCGTGGTCCGTCAATTACCTAAGCCAGCCGCCAAGCCCCGAAGGTACTCTCCACGCCTATTAACAGTGTATCTCGTAATGTTTCTATACGACCGCGTTGCGTAGAAGAAAATAAAATTATGGCTGTATAGTGAAAAGGTGGGTATAAAGAAATTAGGAAGGACCGATGAGTAGAATAGCCTTTTTGTGGCGACACACGGTTAGGGATTCGTAAAGAACCTGGGCGCGGTAGGGATCTCCCATCTCGAGTTGGCCGGTATTTCTCACCTTGCGTAAAACCTTGCCACCTAATACGCCTCCAGGGATGTAGGCTATATGGTCACGTACGCGTGTAGACAAATCAGATGAACTCGAAGAGGCGTCTAACTCTGAGTGAACGACACAAAACCCGCGAGATCCGCTAGATCTACGTTCACGACCTTCCCTAACCGGACGGACGATTTTAGTATTCAACCCGTGATTTCGGATCATGTCGCTTGCATGACAGCTCTGATCGATATCACCATCGACATTCAGACCCTCTCGACGTCTCGTGCTTTCGAAGTCATCCAACTTCTCTCTGGCTCTCAACTGAGGAGGCATCCAGCGGGTTGCTAAGCTCGATCGGGACACTTCATTTCTACTTGAACGCGAACCTGTTCGCAGACTTCCCGGAGCCCTGAAGGTCAATCTCAACAATATCTCCATGTTTAAGGAGGGCCTGGGGGTCTGTGAACATGCCCACGCCTTTGGACGTGCCCGTCATGATCACTGTTCCCTTCCTCAGTGTTGCCCCCCCACTTACTTGTTTGATGATCTTAGCTACGGTCTAGGCCTACTAGCGAATCACCCCGTTTACTTTCTTGAAAGGCTAAGTTGTTAGGGACCTAGGACTACATGGCTCATGATGATTGCTAGACCTATGGGTGTAAATCCATCATAGCTTCTACCGGCTGTGTCTGGCGAGGAGAAATTCCGCGCTGTGACATCGTCTCCGACCGTGAAGCCAAGGGCGCACGACGGTGCATGTTTGCGCGAGACATTCTTTGCGTCGCGAGCAATAACAACCACAAATTCGCCTTCATAGCCCATCATGTCTTAGACGACCTTGGGAACGAGAATATCATCATAGGGTGCTGTTAGGCGTCAGCAGAGTTTACATTCACCCGTACTCCAACACATTAACCGCTGGTGTGAGATATCCGTCAGCGTGTCTCCTATTTGAAGAAGACCTTGGGAAAAGGGCCTCGCGCGAGCTTGACTTCGCGGGCGTGTTGCTTTTATCTATTCCCGTACAGGCGACAATCGGAGTCTTCTCGAGGGTACAGGATCTGTCTCAGCCAGAGTCAGTCGATAGTGCGCTCAGACAGCCGCGCCAGGAAGACCACCTTAGCGACCACCTTCTTTTCCTTAGAGGAATGCGATGAATGGGTCGCCTTCCAAGACCAAGACCAATCGTCCCTCCAGGTGATCCGCGAGTTCTTCATGCGATATCTCCCCATATTGTGTCTCGCTAATCTCGCCGATGAACCGGATGAACGCAGCGATAGCCATACCATGCGGGGGGGAAAGCGAGGTAAAGGGCCTGGGAACTTGTCAAGACGAACAATGATGGAAGAAGGCTGCGGCACAGCCCAGCCTCCCTTAAATGCCACCACATAATAATAGTTCTTGTGGATTTCGCCAGTGCTACGCCAATCATCCCCATAATGCCTGGCTCGCCATTGGAGTCGATATCCGAGACCCTAGTCTGTCCCACATCCCTATCCGGCAAATACTTTCGGAGGTCTTTTTGCTGGAGAATATAAACCTATTTCAGGGCTGGTGGTGGTGGTGGTGGTGGCAGTGGTCACATCTCTGTCCTTGCCCTGTTCTTTTTTCATCGAATCCTGGGAGATAGCATGGCTGCCAGCTTCAAGGTCTCGGAGGTCGCCCAGTCCCAGGTTCGGGTCAACTGAGACGGCACTCTGTATAGAGAGCGAGTCGACGCTCGCTGAGAGTGGTCTTCGTGGTGGTTGAAAATGGGGATGCGGAGCTTCTAGTGGTCTACTAATAGTCGACTCCCGTATTCAAATGGTTCAACAAGGCCCTGATGGCAGCGGTATCTTCGTGGATGAACCTAATCAGTTGCTTCGTTGTTCACTCGAAATATTCGCTATCGGTCGTGGCCGTAGATACCGCGAGCCAAAAGCGATATACACGGTACACAGGACGGATGTTGGCCATTTGACCTATTTGACCGTCACCTCGGATATCTCGCTGGGCCGTAGGGGGCGGGGACTTTTCTTGTTCGACACCTCACACAGTCTCTGCATTGGTTGCGGGAGACGCGCGACCATCATTGTTAGTCTGTGTCCAATTACCTACATCACTATCACTAACCCAGTATAGCAAGGCCGATCAAGTTGCCCGAAGAGGTGAGAGAGGATGACGACAAAGTTACGACAACTAGGTACACCCCCATCGGTATGGTCGCGGCCATTTGCCCTTGGGATTATAAGATTATGGCTATGAAGTCTAAGTATTTTAGCTTCGTGCCCACTGACGCTATTTCTAGTCCCCGTGGTGCTCTATAAGCAAAATACTTCTTCAGTCCACCGGTAGCTAAAAAGGTGGTCTAGTAAACAGCAATAGGTAAGATAATTCCAGAAACCCTAACTGGAAACTGTATCATCGTTAAACCGTTGTAAGGGAAAACTTGGATGCTTGGTAAGAAAAGCTTCTAAGACCCATAGACCCATCACCCCTTATTCCAACCTTAAGCTTGTGAAAGTTGCCAAGCAGTCTTTCCACCGGGAGTCGTCCAAGCCGTCGGTGGCGACGCTGAGCTCGGATCGAAACTGGGGGCGCATAAACGCATCCACAACATTTCGTTTACTGGTTCGATTCTTACGGGAAAGAGGATCATGGCGGCGGCTGCGGCGGCTCTGGAGAGAGTGCTGATTGGGCTTGGAGGAAAAACGACGCCAGAATCATTCTCCCGGACGTGGACCATTGCCAGAGTGGCCATGGAAGTCGTTATCGGTGCTTTCCATAATTCGGGCCACGCATTTGGGCACCCTATAAGCGACGCTTCATCATCACACAGATGCGCATAGGCAGGGTCGGCCTACACACCTACCTCTGTATCATCAACGAAGCCGACACCGACAAATGCGAATGCGGCAATGGGCGCCTGATTGTACGTCATGTCCTCCTGGAACGTCGAAAATGGTGTGCGGAACGACAACGAATGTGGGCAGGCGAAGACTTCATACGTGGACATCTACCATTTCTCTGTAACTCGTCAGTGGACCGTCTCGATCTCACCTGGCGAAGACTATTTCACCAACAACGCAGGAATCCGCTATACCGACCTTGCTGTCTCTGAGGATGTTTTTCTCTTCGTCGATAATGTGCTGAATCCTAATGCCTCCTGGACTCTATCTCCCAACGATACTGGGCATGGTATTCCTGCTTAGCCTGTCACGAAAGATACTCCTGATACTGGAGGCAGCGGATCGAGTACGTCACCTGCTACTGGTAGCACTGCCACTGCGAGCTACACCGGTGTGGGTGCCACTCCGTTGAGATCGTATTTGTTTGGGATGGCCGCTTCGGCTTTTGTTGCTGCCTTGGTCATAATACTCCACCGAAACATAGATGATATGGAAAGCCTCGTATACAGAGCTCAGCTCAGTTCAGCTCAGCCCACCTTTCTAAGAGCGCGAGGGAAATCTGACAATGACGGATAGAGGGATTGATCATGTTCCATGCAATTATGACTTCAGCCCAAGCCAGCAATGTCGTCAGTGATAGGCCGACATCTCGAATGCCATGCATTTTGCTGACAGTTTTTCATTCTAGATATTCGTACCTAAGTAAGACTGTGCACAATACTACCTCAGCCGCACTCAAGTAAGTAACAACAACCGGCAAATTCCTTGACTACCTTTCCTCACCATTTGGGTGCGATGGATATTTATACCGTAGTCTAATGGCCCAAGTCAGATCAAGAGACCTCGTTGAACTGAATCAAAATGCTCGGGCTAGAACGCTTCATCGGAGGTCTCCTCCTACTCACCCTCATTGGCATTCTCTCCATAACTCTCAAACTGCTCTACAACATCTTCCTCCATCCGCTGCGACACTACCCTGGTCCCCTCACCTGGCGGGCGACGAGACTAAACTGGGTCTTCTCCCTCCAACGCGGCTATCTCCACCAAGACCTATTAGCCATACACAACAAATATGGTCCCGTCGTCCGCATTGCGCCGGATGAACTATCTTACATCGATGCTCGTGCCTGGAAGGACATCTACGTTTCTGGTTCTGCACGGCCGGGTCATCCTGCTATAGAGCGGAATGGCATTTGGTTTCGCAGGCAATCGCCTAGCGAACCGTGGAGTATTATGGGGAACAACGAGGATGCGCATGCGCGGTATCGGCGCGCCTTTGGGGGAGCTTTCAGTGAGAAGGCCGTTAAGGATCAGGCGCCGTTGATTGAGAAGTATGTTGAGACTATGATGCAGAAGTTTCACCGCATGGTTAGTTCTGGTGATGGGAATGCGGTTGTGGATATCGCATCCTGGCTAAATTTCGTCACGTTCGATATTTCTGGTGATTTGTCGTTCGGGGTGTCCTTCGGCAGTACGGAAACAGGGAAGCCCCATCCCTGGGTTGAGATTGCATGCAACTTTGGAAAGGGCGTCGCACTGGTGGCGTCGTTGAATTATTTCTCTCCCCTGCAGAAATTGCTCAGCTATTCCATGCCGGAGAAGGTGCGTGCGAAAATGACTTATCACCGCCAGCTGAGTGTTCAGAAAGTGAGGCAGAGATTGCAGTTGAAAGGGGAACGAGCTGATTTCGTGCAATCGGTGCTCAAGTACAATGAGGGGAAGAAAGAGAAAATCACCGCAGAGGAGCTTGAGTGGAACATGTCAGTCTTTGTCTTCGCAGGGAGTGAGACGAGTAGTACCGCCATGGCGTCGGTGTTATTTGGTTTGCTGAAAACGCCGGGAGCCATGAGGCGCGTCACTGAAGAGATCCGATCGGCATTCGCTTGTGAGGAAGATATCAACGTCGCCAGTGCCGCCAGACTTGCGTATCTGACTGCGGTGATCAAGGAAGGCCTACGCTTGGGCCCTCCGAGCGCTGTCACAGTTCCTCGCATAGTTCCTGCTGCTGGTGAGGAGATCTGTGGAAAATGGGTACCCGGTGGTGTAAGCCTCCTTCCTCCGCAATCCATCAGGCATATGACTGACTCGAAAGCTAGACCTTCGTAACAGTGAATCAATATCCTTCATTCCGCTCGGCAACAAACTTCAGCAACCCCGACCAGTTCATACCGGAGCGGTTCTTACCCAATGAAAGCCCTAGTCCAAACGACAACCTAGCCGCATTCAACCCATTCCTCGTCGGGCGGCACATGTGCATTGGATATAAATTCGCATGGGCAGAAATGCGGCTCATCCTGGCGAGGTTGCTGTACGCATTTGATATGAGCCTGAGCGGGAATCCGCGTGTCAGTGATTGGGGGCAACAGCAGACTTTTATCTTCTGGCAGAAGGATCCACTTTTGATTCAGCTGAAACGTAGTTCAGTGTTGAGGCCGTGTTAAGTAAAAAGTGAGTCCAAGGAGGAGTATTTGTTGATATAGTACCGACCCCTCGCCGGTCGTGGGCAAGAACGGATTATGCGTGAAGGATCATTGCTGGGCCATAATCATGATCCAGGGTAGAAGATTTTAAGATCAAGAGCAATATGACATAGACCAGAACTAGGAGTTATCTCAAAAGGATTTGCGATATGCTTGTTACCCAACCTGGCTTTTGGGCAGTCTCATCCACGCGGCAAGCAAATAATATACCTGAGCGGCTACCAGGAAACCTTTTGGCTTCGGGTTCGCATTCGGGATATTGGAGGCCCGATTATCAATGGCTGCAAGTGGGAGACTGCAACTAGCTTGAGGCTGACGGTAGTGTATCAGTGGACTTCAAGGAAGAAGCCTTTGAAAACCGAGTTTATGTCGGCACGGGTCGCATGTTGGCGAAGTCCGTTCCTATGAGCGCCTGGTTCTCAACCATAAAGACGAAAACGTCTGGAGCCAACCTGTATTCAGCCTCATCCATTTTTTGCGGTAGCTCAGCCAAAACGGCAGGATGGAAGACGCTGACCAAGCGCGCACTCCCCATCCTATTCAGTTCGTACTTGGATGAGCACATAGAGCAATAATTGTCTACTGCGAGGTGGCAACTCGGTGATTTGGCGTTTGAAATCTTTCACCAGAGCCCCATGTGCACTGAAATTTAGCACGATGAGACCGTCGATCTGTACCGAACGCTGGCAAACTCGAAAACCTCAAGTACATTGCTGCTAATAATCGAAGGGTATGACCGGTTCTGAGATGCATTTCAAGTACCGAAGAAGAAGCGCAGCACAGTCGTGGACCGAGAACTCAGAAGTCGTCCCAGGGAAACCCCTTTCCGTACCTAGGACGCGAAATAAACACCTTTTCCAAGGCTTTTTACACGTGCTGGGTCTTTACGAGTTGTAAATATATGCTCGACGTTCGTCCCTGCCAAAAAGGGTAAGTACATGCAACCATGCGCTCTAATAATTTCTCGAATTCACTCTTTTCTGTAAAAAAGGCCCCATAATTAGCTACTATAATTGGAACGTAGCTATTTATATATATATACCTCTCCTGAATTATTCTCCGTGCTGATTCCAGCGTCCCCGTTATCGGATGCTACTCGATAATTCAGTACCGAAGACTCCAAGTGACTCTGGTGATGGGAGATCGCCACGAGCATCCGGGGCAAACTTCTTTTGCTAACTTGAAAATATGCGTCTTTTGGATGCTGGCGAATCCTTTGGGGAACCTGCTGGAGTACAGCCTCTGCGGAAATTCCCGCTTCCCCTTGGATCGTTTCAAAGTCGTATCGCTCCTTGCTGTTCAGATCCGTGGCGTAGATGGGCAGGGCCAGGATGGCAATGTTGGACATCTGTGACAGGCTCAACCCCGAAAGCATGGACTAGGAGTGTCAGGAATGACACGGCTGACAGATAGAACAGGGGTTGGCCACGTGACCATTGGCGAGAGGCACGTGACCTGTCGCCAAGCAGCCGCCAAGAGTACAGCCCTTCTAAGGAGCTCACCGCACGAGACCCTTAGGGGATCCTTATACTGTAAGCTTAATACAATATGGACGTTAAGGAACTACTTGTACTTGAGAGATAGTTAAGGAATCTATGTATCTACTAGTAATACTTGCCTACTAGCACAAGTAGTGCCTAATAGTTAAATTGATTTCTAAGTAGAGTGCTCTACTATAGAACTATGCTGAAACTCATTCTAGAGAGCCTATTGTTACGTGCCTAGGATTACGCACTTACCTAGCTTACTTATAATAGAAGATCCTCTTATCTGATTTATGTGGCCTATTAAGTTGATATATCTAGAAGAACTATGTAGACTCGAGTCGATTGATGTCCAGGGTTGGTAATAACACTGCGGACTTCTTTCCCTAGACCCGGAAGCCAATAGGTGGGTGTTGCGGCACTGTGGCCGTCGTCGAGCTCTGGCCGAGGTATTTCCCAGCTACGATTGACAGAGCGGCAGGGGAGCTTAGGTGAAGTGGGTGCTAGCTTTGGGCAGTATTGCTTGCCCTGTCGGGGTTCCCGGTGGAAGCTCTGGTGCCCGGATCCGAACCGGTGTGAGCCTCTTGGGCCCAAACTGTGTCTGCTAACTGGTTAGTTGATGCCTAAAGAACCGCCAAATACGCCCACAGCGCCCCCTCCCCCCGAAACCACCAACAATCCAAGACGTGGGGACGCTTCCGAGGCTTCCCCACAGCGCGAGTGTTAATGTAATCGACCCGAGATGCTCTTCGCATCTATCTATCCACGTTCGAATAACACTGTGGGAGGTATTCCATCCTCGCTGCACACTGCGAAGCTCCCATATCAAGAAGACACGCGCCCTTTGAATTCAGTGCAGCTTCATCCTCCTACCTGCTGTCGGCCATTCTCCAAGTATCGGCATTTCGTCAGTCCACGCCCCCCCCCCCAACCTCTCACTATGTCCCTTTCACCCGCCGTGCGCCTCGCGAGGACTGCAGCCCAGCGCTCCTCGTCGTTACTGCGCTCCATCCAGTACAACCACCCCCCTAACTGCCCTTGCCACTCGAACCCCAACCACCATCATGCGCCGGCTGTCTTTGGCGAAGCGAGAAGGCGATTGGCAACACCCATCGACCATTCCCGCTCCAAGGACTATGCCTTTGAGATGGCAGCGAGCTCCATCCGGTTTGGACCTGGATGCACCAAGGAAGTCGGCATGGACATGAAGAATCTGGGTGCGAAGCGCGTCATCGTGGTTACCGATGCAAACGTCGCCAGACTGGACGCCATGAAACAGACCATCGAGGCCCTCACAACCGAGGGTGTCGAGTTCACTGTATACGACCAATGCAGGGTTGAGCCCAAAGACAGCTCTATCAAACATGCCATTGCATTCGCCAAGCCATACCAACCCGATGCATTTTTGGCTGTAGGTGGTGGCTCGGTCATTGACACCGCCAAGCTGATGAACCTCTATACTTGCTTCCCCGACGCAGACTTTTTAGACTTTGTGAATGCTCCCTTGGGCAAAGGCTTACCAATTACTAAACCCTTAAAGCCCTTGGTGGCGGTCCCAACCACCGCGGGAACCGGTTCAGAGACCACAGGAACGGCCATTTTTGACTTGGTAGAGAAGCGAGCGAAGACCGGCATTGCTCATCGAGCGCTAAAGCCCACCCTGGGAATATGTGACCCTCTCAATACTCGCACCATGCCCTCGGCTGTTCATGCCTCGTCTGGTCTCGATGTCTTGTGCCATTCACTGGAATCTTGGACCGCGATTCCTTACTACGAGAGATCGCCAAGGCCCACCAACCCTATCAATCGTCCTGCTTACCAGGGTGCGAACCCGATCTCGGACATCTTTTCTCTACAGGCACTCAGATCGACTGTCAAATACCTACCGCGGGCGACCAAGGATCCTGAGGATTTCGAAGCGCAAAGCGAAATGCTTCTGGCCGCGACATTGGCGGGCGTGGGATTTGGAAACGCCGGAGTCCATCTCTGCCATGGCATGAGTTATCCGATCAGCGGGCAGAATCCAGGCTATAAGCACGACGGATACGTGGTTGACACTCCCATCATCCCCCATGGTGTGAGTGTTGCTGTCACTGCTCCAGCGGTGTTCAAATTCACTGGTCCAAGCAATCCAGAGCGGCACTTGGCAGCCGCAGAAGCATTCGGCAAGGATATCTCCAACGTCAAGAAGGAAAGTGCGGGGGAGGTGCTCAGTGAAGCGCTGTCTGAGTTTCTGGTGGGCCTGGGAGACCAGCCCAGAGGTCTGAAGCATCTAGGATTTACCAAGGACAGTATCGGTGATTTGGTGGAAGGTACTTTGCCCCAAAAGCGGGTGCTGATGCTGGCACCCAGTCTGAGTGAGGAATTAAATGAGGAACGAGAGCAGTTGCGGGGATTGTTCGAGGAGGCTCTTGAGTACTAAAAGAAAGCCCCCCAAAAGGACACCAGGACCCGTTGGAAGACATATTCTTCAGCAAGGCTGTATGTAGTATTGGCGTATTTATCCAGGTGCGTGACCTTATGGTTTCCTTTACTCAGAGTATTACTATGGAGATTTAAATTGTTAGTGGTGGATGTTCCCCAGATTGGCGATATACCGAGTATCGAAATCGTGGGGTATCCACCCAAAAATGATGTCATCGCTGGCTGGGGTTGCGATGTCGGCCACTGAGGACTTCGGCCACATTTTCAAAAGTTTTGGGCACGTGGAGAGGGAACCCCCACATTCCCATCCTTTGATTCTCAGCACAACTTGAACGAGCAAAATACCCAGGAAAATCAGTCTGTCAGTATAACTGGTTGGCTCTCGGGTCTCGCACCCAGTTAGGCTAATTGCACATCCTGTTCCCGGACGCACAACGCGGCTTCTTTCTCTGAAAACGTGTCAAAAGCAAGATTTTACCGAAGACATATTTCCCAAAAGGCTGCACTGAATTGCTGAATCTGACTCTTCGCTGGGGAGAAACTCAGGTGTCATCCTTTCTGTGGATATCCTATACCCTACGCGACATTCTCTTCCCCACGGCACCAAGAGTACCAGGAAACTTTAGACAACACGGTCAGAGACATCTCCCGCCCAAAAAATCATGGAGGCGACCAATGGACACGCAGGACGGCCCAAAGTGCTGTGCCCTGAAAAGCTCTCTGCCGACGGGCTCGCGCTCCTCCGTAAGACTCTCGACGTGGATGAAAAGAAAAATCTCTCCCCAGAGCAGCTCAAAGAGATTATTTCCGAGTACGACGCGCTCTTGGTCCGCTCGGAGACCAAAGTCACTGCAGACCTGCTCAATGCGGCCAAGAAACTCAAGGTCGTCGCCCGTGCCGGTGTAGGTGTGGACAACGTCGATGTCCCCGCGGCGACCAAGTTAGGTATCATCGTCGTCAACAGCCCCAGTGGGAACATCCAAGCCGCGGCGGAACATACCATCGCCCTGTTGATGAGCATGGCGAGGAATATTCCTGACGCGTGTGCGAGTGTCAAAGACGGGAAGTGGGAGAGAAGTCGTTTGGTAGGTGTAGAGGTCAAAGGCAAAACTCTTGGAATCATTGGCCTTGGAAAAGGTATGAGCCCGATCCCGAATGCAAACTTGCTCATGATGCCCCCTCAGTGAAGCTACATACAAGGCTGATACCACACCCCTATCTTGATAGTCGGCCTGATTGTTGCACGAATGGCCCGTGGCCTAGGCATGAATGTCGTGGCTTCGGATCCCTACGCCTCGCAATCAGTCGCAGCCGCTGCCAACGTCGAATTGGTCGAAGGGCTGTCGGGGCTGCTCCCTCAGGTCGACTTCCTGACGATCCACACTCCCATGCTGGCATCGACCCGAGGAATGCTGGCGATAGCCGAGTTAAACCAAATGAAGCGCGGCGCCCGCATCCTCAACGTCGCCAGAGGCGGCATCGTCGACGAAGAAAGCCTCCTGGACGCGCTCGAGTCCGGCCAAATAGCCGGCGCCGCCATCGACGTCTTCACGAGCGAACCACCCACCAAAACCCCGGGCTCACCGGCCGCGAAGCTCGTCCAGCACCCAAAGTGTATCGCCACGCCTCACCTGGGCGCCTCCACGGTCGAAGCCCAGGAAAACGTGTCGATCGACGTGTGCGAACAAGTCCTGCAGATCCTCGCCGGCGACCTGCCTCGCAGCGCCGTCAACGCCCCCATCATCCTGCCCGCAGAGTACAAGACACTCCAGCCCTTCGTCAAGCTCGTTGAGAAGATGGGATCGTTGTACACGCAACACTTCGCCTCCCCGACGCAGCCAACGCAACGACACCTGAACACCTTCGACTTGATCTACGAGGGAGAAATCGCGCAAATGACTAGCACGAAGCCGCTCTTCGCCGCGCTGATCAAGGGGCTGATGACCCCGATTTCGGAAACCGAGGGGGGTTTCAACGTGAACATTGTCAACGCGGAGATGGTCGCGCGCGAGCGCGGCCTGTTCGTCAACGAGCAGAAGTCCCGCGACCCCATGACCCAGGCGTACAGCAGCATGGTGACGCTGATCGCGCGCCCGCCGAGCCGCGCCCCGTCCCTGAGCAGGCACAGCTCCGAGGCCGTCGCCAGCGTGACAGCAACCTCGGTGGCCGACGGCGCGGACGCCAGCAGCAAACGCCAGCACATTATCTCGGGCTACTGTAGCGACAACTCGCCGTTCATCTCACGGCTGGGCCAGTTCGCGACCTCGTTTGTGCCCGAGGGCTCGCTCCTGATCTGCCACAACTACGACTCGCCCGGCAAGATCGGCGTCGTGGGCAGCATCCTTGGCCGCGAGGGCGTCAACATCAACTTCATGAGCGTCGCGCCCGCGACCTTCTCGAGCGTCTCCGCCGGCGCGAAGAAGCTTGGGTTCGACACGGCCAAGCATGATGCGCCCGCCACGGTGGCGAACGAGGCGCTCATGATCCTTGGGGTGGATGGCGAGATTGGGGACAACGTCAAGAAGGAGTTGATTGCAGAGAAGGGTGTGCTTAATGTGAGCAGCATCACCCTGTGAAAGGGATGCTTGCTTGCCTGCCGCTTCGGCACCTGGCGTTTCCTGATTCCGTCAAGGTCGTGTCGGCTTTGGATGGGAAAGATGTGGTCAGGCTTAGCCGGATTTCGATGCTTAGTGGGTGAAAGTGCAATTGGGCTCTCTTTCATACGCTGATTCCAATACATCCATCAATTTCGTCAGGACCTTGGAGGAAACCTAAACTTGGATTTCATGGCACACACATACACACACACAGATTGATCTAGAGAAAAAGGGGGACGACGGATTTCGGAAACCTTTTAGAGCTGGCGACCGACGTATAATTTCAACATTTGGGGTAGGTCATGACTAGCATACTTTAGCTAGATAGCCAGTCATATGCAAAAGAACTTCAGATATCCATAGAGTAAACATCAGTTTTTCACACTTTTCACCTCGGCACGCGAGAGATTCGTCCACTCAAACAGTAATACATCGACATCGTCCTCACCCGGATTCAACATTTCAATCCCATAATCTGTATCCTTGTCTTCTACTGTCGAAGCCAGCTTTGGACTCGGTGATGTAGTCGTACCCATTAAATATTCTATTTTGTCATCATCCTCAAAGTCGCTCTCGCTCGAGATGGGCAAGATGGCTGTGGGCGATCTTGGTCTCCTGCGTCGATTTCCTCGACGGATTCGCGAAGCTCTTAAATCTTCCAGGCGTAGTCGCTTTCGCTCTATTTGCTGCTTAATCGACTCCAGACCAGGATTCGGATCTGTTTCTCCACCGCTAATCGCCGGTGCGTGAAGTCTTGAAGATTCGGCGTGAGTCTCTTGGGCTCCACCGTTCCATAAAGGATATGCCTTGTCCTTGAACGTATTGAGCGCGCCTATAGCTTGCCCTGAGAGTGTTTCATTCGTGGTTTCGCTTTCACTCCCTTCAAAAGGCATAAACGTGCCAGATAGAGCATGTGTTTCGGGGCTAACTGGGCCTTGAGGGCTTCCTACCGCTTTAGCAGCAAGCCTGGCACCTAGATCCGTCTTCTGAAAGTCGTACAATGGATCAGGCGTGCAGAATGGAGAATGTCGAAGAAGAGATGCTGCTGTGGGGCGTTTATCTGCATTCCTGTCTTATGGTCAGTAATATTCTCGGACTTCGTTGGAAAGGGATTAGAACATCTCCAAAACAGCAAGTCCAAGATCCCAGATATCGCCCGCATTGCTGCCTTCAGCCGGAACTATAGTTGAGCTTCCAGATTCTGATTGAGTTCGTGTGTTATGGCAAAGCCGGAAAGCTTGCATGTACCTTTGAGGTCCAAGAGCATATTATCAGCTTTCAGGTTCCTGTGGATGAAATACCGCTCGTGGATGTAGCAAGGCCCAGCCAAGGTTTGGCGGGTCACGGATCTGATAACGGATTCTTCTAGCTTGCCATGTGCACGTAGACAAGTCGCGATAGAACCTCCAGAGACATATTCTAGGTGAATATTGAAACTAAGGCGGTTTTGGTTTCGGTCTAGGCTGTATCCCAGACATTGGACAAGGCTGGAATGACTCAGGGGTAAAATACGCTCAACCTCCTCCTTAACGGTAGCGATTTTGTCACCACAAATCGGAATCTCCTTGACCGCCAATATTTGAGTGGTTTCAACCTTCAGACCGAGATAGACAAAGCTAGAAGGCCCTCCACCAAGGACCCGACCAATTATAGGTCTCCCAGTCCGGTGCTCGCGATTCTTCTCCAGGCTGAGGTTAGAGAACCAGGCACTCAGATTCTCGAGCAACTCCTCCCTAGAAACACGGACAGCCCAAATCGATCCGCTATACGGTGGCCTAGCCCACCATGACTGACTCTTTTTGGGTGTATCAACATGGGCTTCTGGCATGGAAAGCGTCTCAGGAACCAAAGGGAAGGACGGTCTGGCGCCAGATCCTTCCCTTTTTCCAGTTTGGGAAGTGAAGTCCGGTTTATCGAAGATAGGCACCGTATACAAGCCATCTTCGGGATCCTCAACTGTAGCTCGCTTATCTCTGTTTGCTGTTGAGGCCCCACTTTCTCGTCTCCTAAGCGCGTTTCCACGACTATAGGTACGGGGGATATGGGGAGGGTTTGGAGCAGGTTGTGGTGGAGGTATATTGGTCACGGGAAGACCTGGCACTGGAGGACAAGTGAGATGAGGTGGAAATCCAGGTGATCGTGACAGTGGAGGAATATTGGGCAGGGAATATATTGAAGCTGGAGGAGAATTGAGACGGTTTTGAATTCCAGGGCGTCTTGATGGTGGTATCGACAAAAAGGCAGGTGCTTTCATCGCAGGTCGAGCGATATTGGGCAGGGCAGGCGCTCGTGGTGGTGGTGGCGGCGGCGGCGGGAGAAGTCGATGCGGTTCTGCCAAAGGCTTGACTACCTGTGGTGAAGGCATTTCAATTATATGCTTCTGGTGAAATCGATCACTTGGATATGGTGGTAAGTCTGCCGTCTGGTTAACAGTACTCCTGGATGAGAAGGGCCGCCATATTTCAGTACCATTTATATGCTTGTCCGATGGTTCGACGAAACGAGCGTTCAATGACGGGCGGTTGTTCCTAAAAATGGTTTCTTGAATTTGGTCTTCGGCTTCTAGCTTCGAGAGCCAATACTGGTTCTTAGTGGTTGCCAGTAATCAAATGAGCAACAACGAAGACTATGCCTTCTGAATGGTCGGAAGACCCACCACTTCAGCATGTAGAGATATGTCTTCATGAGTTTTGCGTGCCCAAACCGCTTAGGTAATGGTGACCACTCATCCCAGTGGGCTCTCAGCACTCCTTGGTGCATTCTGTAGCGTATGCCATGGTTTATTTTATATCTAGTGGCATTGATCTCTTTCATGAGATTCTCAACAAGGGATCCTTGGTGCTCAATTTCGAGCTCGCGTCTGGTGGAACTCGCTTCCGTAGAGCTAGGAGAAGATATAGGTGGGGACTGGGCCCTTTCTCGGATCGTGGGAGACCGCTCCACTGGTAGCTCCCTAGCTGAGTCCGAACCATCTTCAATCGTCCTCTGCATCTGATTGAACTTCTTGCAGCTGGAATTCCGATCCTCGACCAAGATTTGGATCAAAGTTCGTTGCTCTTTGAGTATCGGAAGCGCTTCATGGCTATTGAATCTTCATCAGAGTCCGAACGGCGCTCAGTCAGTGCGTGGGATGGTATCTCACTTTCGGAGTTGCTCGGCATAGACCAAAACATTCAGCATGACTACTAGAGAGCTCTTCAACCTCTCCAGATTAGACTGGAGCAAGTCAATCTGAAGTTCTATGCAGGGAAATTTGAGCCGGTCCTTCCATGCTGAGATATATTTGTTGCCTGTCGTGCGGTTGTCAAGTGCGTCGTCGAGTTCTGAGAAGATTTGCTTGCAATCAGCGACCAGTCCTTTGGTTATTTCAATCGCCTGATCTGAGCAAAGTCGCAACTTTTCATCCTTCTCGAGCACACTAGCCAACTGCTGTAGCACAGCACCAGTTGCAGCTATGTCCTGCGATATGCTGTTGATGGTTTTGTTCGCACTTTTAATCTTTCGAGAGAAGGTATATAGCTTGACGGAAAGTCTACGGAAAGTATGCCACCGAGGTCCGCAATCTGGAGAACAGAGGCAGCGATGCCCAGGATTTCAATCCCGGACATCTCTGGTTTCAACTTTTCGGCATCATTCGCTGGTTAGCACATTCATGAGGGGCGAGACCAAGGCTGCGGCCACTCCAGCGCCTAGAAGATGGTCGATTCGTGCAGTGAGACTTTTCCAGTGGGATCAGCTACAAGCAATGAGAAGAGTTTGAGCGACCCGTCACCTCGCTGCTGATGTGGAAATGGCTGACGAGCCTCTGCAAGGTTCGAAACAGATCCGAGACGGTTGAGCAGAAGGCGGTATTTAAATGTATTGAGGCTGAGGTTGAGGGTCCGCTCTAATGACTTGGCAGCCCAGGGCAGATTCAAGGCTCCCTCACTGCCAAATGAAGGAGGGCTTGGTTATCAACAACATACCCCGACGGCTCCACCTCTTTTCGTGGCTTCCAGATATGATCAAGATCTCAGATTCACAGAGGGTCTGTGTAATAGTAGTAATGACGCTAAAATTCGAACCATGGTATCGAATTCTAGCTCTAGCAACCTCGACGCTTGTAATGCTAAATAATCAAATAAAGTCTTATGTGAACACATAGCTGTTATAACGCTTGAAGGACCGTCAAGGGATTCTCAGAACGTCTCCGACCTTGGTGCAGGTTGAGCGCGCAGCTCGGGCGGTGTCTCGAGCGTCAATTCAGCAGTAGGTCGTTTTCCATGAAGACTTAGCCGCTGCAATCGCTCTGCAACACTTCCACCATGTGCGCTATCAAGACTGTTTTCCGACGTGAAGTTGTCCTCTGCAGTTTTGTCGATTGTCATTGCGTAGAGTTGCTGCAGGCCCCAGAGCTTTAGGATCTTACGCTCGTACTCTCTTAAATCGTCTTCCATCAAAGCGACATCGAGCTTCTGATTGACCCATTGCACAACTGTCCGTCTCCCAGGAGGTCCAGGCAGTGGGAGGACCTCTTGTTCTTCAGCCTCGTGCACAATAGGGCTGTCTAGCTCAGTGACGACTCCCTTCATCCTGAAATTGACTAGGCCTGCCTTGTCGTAGTCATCGACCTGCTCCGACATTCGCTCACGAGCAGACCAGTGGATAGACTCGTATGTGTTTCTCAGTCGTTGATCTGTATACTCACGGGTCCGAGGGTTAACGGAGGTGAAAGTTCCCGGTACTCGGAAATAGGAGCCTCCAAATAAGAAAAACAGGCTCATGGAGTTGTGGATTCGTCCTAGTCATCATGGTCAGCGATATGATCACTTGTAGTGTGACTAAGATAGACTTACCTAAGATGCTAGGTGATGACTCTGATACTCGCATGAACTGACCAACCGCTAAAGGGTCGAATTCTAAAAGACCATCCAATTGGCTAAGCATCCAAGCAAGCGGCAGCCTTGCTGCCGCCCCATCCTTTAAACCACCACCAACGTCTGAATGAGACCCGGGAAACCAGCATTGCCTCAGCACACGAGGAAGCTCCTGTCCTTCAGGTTTCTCCCAAAGCGTGGGTTTAAACTGTCTGCGCCGTTCGTCCAAAGCCAGCGCATGGAAAGCGTACTCCACGTTCGGGAGGACTTTGGTATTGACGAACGCTAGCTTTTTCCCGACCGGCTGGGGTAGAAAGAAGGGTCTAGGAAGACCCAGTGACCCGACGGTGTCCCAGACACCACACACCTTGATTGGTATACCTGGACGTGTCATTTCTCTAGCCAGTAAGTCCCGAAAATAGTCCTTCACTTCTTGATCGTCATCAAGTGAGCCCTTTACCTTTTCTGTTTCGTTCTGGCTTTCCCACTGTTCGAATATCGAACCGAGCTGCCTCAGCCCACGATGGGTCAACAGGCCCATCGTCCAGATTAGATGCCCAATGCTCCGCGCGGTGAAAGCGCCCCTGGAAAATCCAAAGAGAAAGATTTCGTCTCCGTGTTGGTAATTTAGACATATGAATTGATATGCTTGCATAATATTCTCACGGACGCCTGGGACACCAAGTCATCAAGCGTTAGTTGGTCAGAGCACACCTCCTGGACGAGGAAAATTTGGACGAGGCAAACCTCTACATACCACGTCCTGTAGCACCTTCAATTGCATTTTCGAACTTCCCAAAGAGCCAGCCGCCGACAGAGCCGATTCCACGTTGATAATATACAACTTGTTTGATTAAGACCTCCTTGCCATCTTCGTATACTTCAGCCTCGTTGTCGATGCATCGAGCAAGTTTAGCGACATTGGTGGGAACTTGACCGGTGCCATCGGCGTTGTTCCAGGTTCCATCACAGCACACGATGATTCTCTTGTGCGGCATGGTAATTGCGATAAGATTGATTGTTGACAATCGATCAAGAGCGGTCCCATGCAGTTTTTCAACATGTTGTCAAATGGGCAGGCATCACCCGAGGGACGCACCGTAGCCCCAGCCCTGTGAGATTAGGCGGCCCCCACCGGGTGTTTCAGCCTTCATGGCAGGCCCTCCCAGCCTGGTGGAGCCCTAGATCAGAGCCGCAGTCCCTGAAGTCAAGAATCAGATTGGTGTGTTGACTGTGAGGAGTACCGTTGAAGTACAGGAGGCCTCTTGTGTGGCGTCATTTGCAACTTGAACAGCTGGCAGCGTTACAGTGGTCGAACCCGCCCTGCAAGAGAGATGCAAGGCGTGATCAATGGTTGGACCTGGAAGTTAAGCAGGGACTTCTGAGAGGACGAAGACTGGCGACGATCGCAGGGGGCTTTTCCCCAGCCGGGACAGTGGGCACCACCAGCAATCTCAGCATATCCCCTCGATTCATCCTCCACCCCCCTTTAGCTAGTTGATCGGCGACTTGGCCCTATGCTTACCACAGATCGCGCCGCTACTGTAACCTACCGAGAACTCACCACGAGGTAACTATTAACAACTGACTAAATAACTTACCTCTTGAGTCTTAAGCAACGGACTAGTTAAGGGCCCCTTGGAAGTTCCCGAGTGGATAGGCCGTTGAGGGACTAGTGTCGAAATCGCGATGAGAATTTCAACGTCTCGCAAGCCGAGTCCATCATATTCTTCCATGAAGTTATCAAAATCAACCCTTGGGAGACTGGGGTTGTTGCTTGACCACCCAAGTTCGCAATGCTGACATCCCTCTATGTACTACTAGTCTACTAACTACTGGCTGCGGCCAATGCAGATGTTGACCGATCAAGCAGGCATGAAATCGACAGGCTCTTTCAGCGTGCAGGTGTCATTGGGCCAAGGTCACGCACGCAATTGGTCAGATTTGTCATCATTCAATGTGTATGATGTCGCCTGGCTGGTGGCTGACTTCCCCCGTACCCGTTTTCTCGCTCGAGTTCCGGCAGGGAAACACCTGCAATCACTAGATAACTACGTAGTATTCAGCGTCCAGCTGCTTAAGCAAGTTTTCTTATAAGTTCCTGGTCTTCCCAGAAAACCTACCTTGAACACTGCCCATTCACCACCACACCCAAAACTCCCAGTCAACAACCCCCCCAAAGTGAGCCACGATCATGCCAACCGCAACCGCAAAAATCGGGTCCACCGTGATCGCCACGACGGACACATACGAGACCGTCGAAGGGAACATCTACTTCCCCCCCAACTCCGTCAAGAAAGCCGAGCTGTCCTTCACCGACTCCACCACGCACACGCACTGTCCATGGAAGGGAGACGCAAGCTACTATAACATCACCGTCGACGGAAAAGATGTCAAGGATGCCGCGTGGTATTACCCCGACACGTTCGAGAAGGCGAACCATATCAAGAACTACGTTGCCTTCTGTGAGTCTTTCCCGTCGTTGTAAACGTTTTTACCATTTTTGCGCGGGTTGGTGGGTAAACTGATGTCGGTCGTAGATAAGAATAAGGTCGAGGTTTCTGTCGTATAGGTCATGGACATGGCAGATTAGCCAAATGAACGGAAATCGCGCAATTCTGATCCGTGGGCAGCGCGTGAAACAGGAGGGTTGGCCTATCTGCCCATTATTCGCTAGTCTATGGACTCGTTAAGGCTAGTCCTTATGGACACTTCATGGAACGCCCTACATCAAATATCAAATGCTACCGCTCTGATGAACTTGTGAGAAATTTAACAATTGTGCATTCCGAGCTCTGCTTGAGCTATGAAGGATTCCTATGTTTGATCCGGTGTATACGGAGCTTACCCTCACTGGACTGGAGATATTGTGTGACTCGAGTTTGAAGGGCTTTGATGTCCCATGCAGAAAAGTGTGGAATCGCGCACTCTGCTTTGCTGCCCGCTTGGTCACACTATCCGGACCTCATATGTGCCCTGGATCGCAAATCTGCTCAGGCTATCGAAGCTGATGGTGATGACGGGTCTATGTCCTCCGATACTGTGATGATCCTCCTGAAAGCTGGCCGGAGGCGTCAACAAGTCTGGTGTCGGTTCTCCGCACATCAATGATGGTGCATTCAATGAAGACCATTAGGAATAGGAAATGGACTAGAGTCCTCGATTTCCTTCCAGAGCCTGAAGCCGTCGTCATCATTGGTGGGTTCATACCAGAGAAACATTCCCAGTCGTTCCTTCATTGCAGACCATGTACCGAGGTTGAGCCTTTTGGTCAACCGGTCCAATGTCGTTAAGTACCACTCGCGATATTGCGATCCAATCGAAGCAATTGCACCCAAAACGGTCACCCAGAGGATGAGTTCTGGTGCCTCTGTCCAACGGGACTGTACCGAAGCCTGTGACAGCTGCGCTTGGACCTCCTGGGCAAGTCGATGGAAAGGTGCAGCGACTGCGGGTAGAGGGTAAACAACAAGCAGACTGTATATCAATATACCGAGTCGACAGAGACGGTGCATTGGGTGTTCCTGCTCCGTTTCAGTCGCTGTTGGTGACAAGAGCATAAGGCTGTGTTGAACGAAATTCCTTTCGTCAGAAAGGCGGACGCGTGTTTGTGCCTCGGGCCTTTTCTGTTCATAGTCGTCTATCGCAAAAGTATACTGAATGATCCAGCGAAGAACAACCAAGAGTTTCGAGACCTCTGCATGACCCAGCATTTCTGGGAGAACTCGAAAGCCTCTGCCGAGGCCGACGAGAGGATGATCTTTTCGAGAGGCTGCTGTCAGCGGTCCGATGACATCGTCGTGCATTGCAACAAATGGAAGCAACGGCTTTGTGATTTTTTGCGTGGCCAAAATAATGTCCCCACTGCAAATCCTGTCAGTATCATTTCGAACGAGTGCCCTGACTCCAGCTTACTATGAAATGGCTTGGGCCAATCCAGGCAGGCCTATGTTGCCTACGCCTCCACGCAAGGTTAACATTTCAGCAAGCCCTCTCAGGTGAACGTCCACCGTTTCGAGTCGACCTCCGTAAACATTAAGCAGCTGCAAGGTAGTTAGTGGACCTTGGTTTGGGGTTTCTGTTAACTTTTGTGGTCGCCTGGCTCCATGGTAAGCGAGCGAGTAAACCGACAATATGTTTTCATCGGCGCAGCTCGCGGTGCTGTCTTGGAACTTTTGATGGACGCCACGAATCGTTTCAGTGTAGCATTGCACATGTTCTGGAGATTCAGGCTCCGGCGATAGAAACACTTTATTTCTCGTGAGCTGGCAAAATATAGAGGCGTGGAAGAGTGGACGGTCACTAAAAGTAGTCCGAAGCCACCGCTCGGACAAAGGGTGTATGGTTTTCCCCTGTTCTGGTGGGAAAACGCAAGCTAAGAATCCTTGTACTGGGATCTTATCAGCCCGTCAAGTCCCGGCATCCATGAATAGTAGAGACTCACTTTGATGGAGGACAGGGCTGACAAACTCTTTGCGTAAATCAGACGGGTACGTCTCGAACGGATCGTAATGCCCAGAAACGATTAAGCTCATTAGACTCCCCGTAGTTTCATTGTGTCCATCGCTTTCAGGAAGCGATTCTGTGTCTTCATTTGAATTCCGTCCCTCCTCATTCTTTGGTGGAGACTGGTCACTCTCCGTGGATGTCGTTTCATACTCTTGGGGGGATATGGATGCAATCACTCTGCGAGAGGCTTTTGTGGATGCATTGGTGGGTCGACGTTTTCGCGCAGTGCCTCTGCTGCTGGAGATGTTACCGGATTTCTTGACCCGCCGCCAGTGGAAGTTCGAGGCGTTGGAGCGGACGAGGATCTTATTTTGCGAGCGCTCGGCGTCAGTGGTAGGGTTTGCGTCGACAAATTGAAAGGTCTTTGGAGCAGCGCGCGACACCGCGACTCCAGCGCTCTGTTCCGGGCGACTCGTTACGGCTTTCGCCTTGTGCATATCCTGTCCCTTGTAGACATAATATCCTGCAACGTTCGAGATCAAATGTACAGGGTATCCTGACAGTCTTGAGGCTTGAGCTTCTTTAATGGCGTTCCGTGGAGGACATTGTGTCTGCTGTGGGGTTGCGAATGGAAGGCCACTGACTCGCTAGACAGAGAGAGGAGTCGGTCGCAGTCACAGGGCTCGTTTGGGGATTGAGACGGACTCCGGATTAGGATTCATCCGCTTCCGCAATCTTAGGTTATAGCCACTTCAGCAGGCCGAGGATGATGCCAATGCCAAGGGGCATCTGGATTTCCATGTACGATAGTGCTCCATATGAGTACGGAGAAAAGGGGCAGCTTGAGCCGGAGATCGCCCATCTCCACATCCCACTATTGTAAGCGAGTCGCTCGGTTGGTCAATAGGTTCTTGCCTGCTAACAAAGAGCAAGTCGAGATAATTTGTTCCAAGGAGTGTGATATATATTTATTGTGGAGTATATGTATGATATTATATGCTGAGTGTCGGAAACGCCACGCTATGCCATGCTGCCTTTTCCTCCCGAATTCCAACGCAATGCTATGCAATCTATGTATTTCCACTGATTAATGACTTGAGTATGGCTCTACAGCCTCGATTTCGATGTCGATGTCTCACTCCTCGAGTTCTTCCTTTTTACCAATGATGGGCAGAGGCAGATGGAGAGGCAGTTGAAGAAGCCCATGGGTTTGTTGGCACAGCCATGGTGACTGGCCAGCCCCACTTGTCGGTGTAGGTGATGGTTTGGCAGTTAGAGCACTGTCCAGGGCGATAGTAAAATCCGTGTGTCCAGGTGGGCCGAGCGGTGACAGTCACGGTAGTAGGGGCAGGGCAGCCAGTAGTGGTGGAGGTTGGTGGCGGGGGTGGGTTGCACTTGCCGTCTGCAGCAGTGCCGAAGCCGCACCAGTGGGAGACGGGAGCGGTAGTTGTACTGGCAGAGGTAGTTGAGCTGGTCTTGGTAACGGTGGTAGTCGTAGTGGGAGGTGCTGTATTGCATTTGCCGTTCAATGCAGTCCCAAAGCCACAATAGTGCGAAACTGGGGTTGAGGTAGCAGTCGTGGTAGTAGTAGTAGATGTGGATGTGGAGGGATTGCACTTCCCATCCAAGGCAGTACCGAATCCGCAGTAGTGAGAGACTGGAGTGGTTGTTGAAGAGCTCGTCATCGTTGCGGAATTGCACTTCCCATCAAGAGCAGTGCCGAAGCCGCAGTAGTGAGAGACTGGAGTGGTTGTGGCAGAGCTTGTGGTAGTTGGAGAATTGCATTTTCCGTCGAGAGCAGTACCGAATCCGCAATAGTAAGAAATTGAAGTCGTGCTGGCGGTAGTGGTAGTCGATGTTGGAGGATTGCAACTTCCATCTAGAGCGGTGCCAAAGCCACAGTAATGAGAGACTGAGGTCGTGCTGGCGGTAGTAGTAGCCGATGCAGGAGGATTGCAACTTCCATCTAGAGCAGTGCCAAATCCGCAGTAAAACGAAGGCGAAGTGGTAGAAGAAGCAGAGCCGGTTGTGGTAGGGGTTGCGCAAGAGCCATCGGCATTGGTACCGAACCCACAGTAATGGCTGGTGGTGGTGGTGGTGTCGGTGGTAAGGGGAAGAGCGAAAGCGCCAGTGGCGAAAGCCGCAACGAGAAAAGAAATCGTCGAATGCATTTTTGGATTTGTCAATTTAGGCTGAAGTGTCGAATATGATTAAATGCTTGTATATTGAGGAAAGCGAAGGTGGCTAGGAAATGCGATGAGCCCCCAGAGACAAACGAAACAAGGAAATAATAGGAAATAATAGGAAATAAGTTGAACGATTGTGTTTGTGTGGTGTTTTTGTGTGATGAGGAAAGAGAGGTCTTTGTTAGAAGAGACTCCTCCTACCTTCTTATACAGCATTGAGCTATGCATTGCTCTTCGTAGAATGATGCGATGGTATAGCAGATGCAATGTCACTCAAGCAGTTGCATTCAGTGGAATGTGGCCCATGACGCGGTGGGCTAGCAGCTGCTGTAACCTGGAGAATAGACCACGGCTAGAAATAGCTCATGATTGGAGCATGCCAATGTGCTCATGCGAGGCATTTCGATGTGGCTGAACAGTATGACGGCCGGGTCTGGGGAGAGACTTGGTTGAGCTTGGGCCAGCTGAGCGAAAAGGAAAACACAGGGTGCATAGAGAAAGGCGCAGCACGGAAAAGATGAGAAGTCGACGGGGAGGGAGGGAGAAGAAGCTCGTGCTGGAGGGAGCTATTGACTTTGAGCTATACCCAGTTTGTATAAGGCAGCCGAATGGAGGGCCTGAATATTCCGGTCTGACAACCCGCCTCGTGGTTGGAAAGTAAGTGAGCTCTGCGAAGAGAGAGGACTGTCAGACAGGAATTCTTTCACCTCCAAACACGGCTCGGAAAAGCAGTTCTCCCGATGCGATGGCGGCCACCAGCCCTTGCGAGCAAATCGTACTCCGTGCTTTGTACCGTCAACAAGGACCATCTCCATGGACCCCCTCCTCGAATGAAATCCAGTGGTTGATTTTATTTTAAGACCTATCCAAAAATGCACCATGTGACATTGTCTTTCGATGAGATGATATTGCCGGCTGGGTGAGCTCAGTCTTGCAACCTCAAGAGGCTTGAGACCTCTCTTGCGTGGCCTCTGCCTCAACGTGGCCAATCAATACGGTCCGCCAAAGGCTTAGCATCACAAATTGCATCCTCTAACTCTTCCATCCTTTATCGCCCACCGCATTAAATTCAAATTCATTTGCTCGACGCCACCCGAACTGTGGATGACGTTTCGCTGTGAGTGTACAATCTCCGGCATTCAAAGGTGTTGCGGACCTACCGCGAGGTCATTGCTCCATGTCGAGGGTGTGTACACTTCTCAACTGCCCCACTGAGACACCTCAAGCAAATTGGATGTAAAAGCCGTCGGGAGATATTGAGATGGAAGATGGGCAGGAATTAGACCCCTGGTAACACATTACGTGTAAATTCGCTATTTTATAGTTCATCGCTGTTGGAGGCTATTAAGACTAAGCGATACCCTATTAACGCCTAGT